TATACAATCGGTGATCCTGAGGACTCAACCAAGATGGCTTTGCCTTTTGACTTCCCATTTTCTACTGGACCGATCGGGGAACATGACACTGCAGATTCTGAAGATAGTAAGTGGGCCTCAAGATTAAGAAGCCCCAAATCTCCTTGATAACCAAGCGGGTTAGCTTCATCCAAATCTTCAGAAAATAAAAAATCTGGATTTTCATCGCAAAATAAATTACCTAACCCAAAGGAATTGGTCGGTTCCTGAATTTGCAACGGTATTGGGCTTTTCAAATTTGGCTTGCCATTCGTTTGCACATAGCAATTTCCAGAATTGGGCTCCCTTAGAGGCCCATTTTCAATCAATCTTGGAGAAGCTTGATTGCTGACACAGGCCTTTCTATTCGGCCCAGCGCTTAAACCGTGGGCTGCCCTCTTGAGCCCAACCGCAGGTTTTCCATGAGGGGGAATTGGCCTTGAGTTAGAGCCTTGGGCCTGGCCTCGTCCACGTCTTCTAGCCGCTCCAATTCTCCCAGCCTCTGAATCATCAAGATTCGTTCCATCCCGTCCCTGGGTGTAGTGCAGCGGCGGAGCCTCAAGGAGAAATCTAACTCCGGCTTGGCGCCGGACAGTTTGCCCCGTATGTCGCCAGACGTTGGCTCCCCTGCCGCGTCCACCATTTCGGACCGAAGCGTACGAGAACTCATTAATTTTTGGTCCCGTCTTATTGCCAATAATCTCCGGGCCGAACCCGTCGTCTCTCGCGATTAAATCGAAAGGGCAATTATGTTGGTTGTGGCCAATTCTCCTGCAACGGTAGCACACTGTCCTGATTCCTTCATATCTCAGTGACACCCAAAACGACGGTCCGGACGAACCATCTGGATTCCTCTTCCTTGCTTCCAGCCTGTGTTCTAGCGGAGCAGAGACATCGATCTTAACACGGGCTTTGAAGACGCATCCCGGGCTTTCCCAGACCGCATACATAGCCGCATCCTCCACGGTTCCCAGCCTTGAAGCCAGAAGGGAACCGAGTGCCACTGTTCTGTATTCCTCTGGTAAGTTCCAGAGTTGAACCAAATACGACACCCTGGCCAGCTCCTGGAATAGCTCTTCCGAGGGAGTCTCCCACTTCTTGAATGTGAGGATTTTCGATTGGATGAACCAAGGGGCCTTCCCTAGTGCTTCATTGTAATCGACTTGGTTTGCAAAGACGAATTGGAAGAGTCCGCATCCGGCATCCAATACCGTAACCGCTGCTCTTTTGGCCCATATGTTATTGGCCATATGTTGGGCTCTGATTCGGGATGGATGGGATGAACAGAGGAGACGTCCAACAAGGCTCAGCCTTGCTCTGTTCAGCCCAGCCTCCAGAACCTCATCTGTGAATTCAACCGGGGCAGCCATTGGAGGGGAGGGTGGAAAGGGGAAGGCTCTGCTTATGGAGAGGAGAACAGGGGAAAAATGAGTCGAAGAAAGAATGGCGGACACGAGAGGGACTTGATTTCGATGGGAAAGGGGGAAAGGGGAGGGGTAAAAATAGGCCCAACTGGGCAAGAGGGGAGGCCGGTAATTAAAGCCCATTGGAGCGGGCTTAAGTTTCGCCATCAGAGCGGCAGGACGTCCCCAAAGAGGCCCCAAAAATCAGACTCGTTGAGTTCAAGACAGATTCCAAAAAACGGTCCAGGATTGATTGGGGCATAAATTAAGGAAAGCCAAGATTTAAAATTACAATTACTAGAAAGGAAGGGGCCCATTAAATCCCTGATTGTAGACTCGCAGGTCCATCATTCCCAACGGTTAGAACCGTTTTTAGAAGGATCTCTCTCTTCTTAACTCTCGATCACGAGGAGTAATGGCCTTCCGGACCCGATAATTACGCCGGCAATGATTGCTAGAGACGCAACTGTCGCAGTCTTGAATCCTCTAGTAATGGGGGCAAGGAAAAATAACTAAAATGCATTCAATCACCAAAAAAGAGCATAACGGTTTCAACAGATCTTCATGGTGATCGGCGGCCACCTTGCCGGTTGCCGGGAATTGAACCAGGCTGATATTCTGGATCGAAGGTTTGATTTCGGCGCAGGGAAGATTTCCGAATCCGTAGCGGATTTTTGGGTCGATGATTGCGGGCCGGCAATTCTTCCGGTATCGGGGGCACGATCTGAGGCGAAATGGGTTTTTGGACTGAAAAAGAGACCAGTAGAATCTGGGTTTAAATACTACTGTCAACTGCCAATTTAAAGCACTAGACGGTGGTTCCCGCCTGAGTGTGCCGTTCGTTCCCTCCAGAATCTTGGCGCCACCGCTAAACTTTCGAGCCAGTCCGACCTTAGAGTGGGGTCGTCGGAGGAAAATGCAGGGGTTGGCAGCTGAGCAGGCAGGGTCTTTACCAGAGGATTACAACCGGACGGTGTTGTCGTCAGTTGCAGGGAACCGCTTTGCCTTCCCTCCGTCTGAAGGATTCATGCTCGAGATCCAGCGGGAAGCTCAAAACTTGGAGAAAATTCTGAATACCAGTGGTGAACCCACCATTGCCGCACCGGAGCGTCTCCTCCATCTTCCAACATTAGGTGATCAGGCGCAATTAGCATAAAAATATTATGAGAAGGGTTCAACCAAACTCGATCAACATAGGTAATAGCTCAAGTAACTAAGTAATTAGAGTAGGCAAATTAAGATCATTTGCAATCTCCAAGTGAAGTTGCCTCTTAATCGTGTCATACGAGCATCAGAATCTCTCTGCCTGGAAACTGCCCAAATTTTAGGCCAATGAGAGCTTAAGCAACCAAATACCTCATCAAACTGTATTAAACTTTAGGGATTTCATTGACAGTGTAGATTCAAAAAAGAGCGATTACCTCACCAATACTTTAAGCATTGTAAAATTCCTCTATTTAATATTCTCCTATTTAGGTGGCACATATACCATATTAGAGAGTGGATAGAATGCTAACATTTTCAAGGTATCGTTTGCTTGTGGGATTTGGGTGATGGATTTGGCACCCAAATCCCAAGCATCATGGATTTGGGACAACTCCATTGTTTGCTAAGTGACACAAATCCGTGGGGGCACGGATTTGGACCCTTTTTTTTAGATCAAAATTCGTGGACCCCACGGATTTGCAAATTCCTCATTTCATTTGGGATTTGATAATGGAAGGCAAAGTTGCGAGACAAATCAATGATAAATCCATGATAAAAATTAACCAAACAAACAATGAACTCTTCCAAATCCATCATAAATCCAAAGGTTTTTAAAACTCAAAACTCTCATTTTCAAATTCAACAAGCAAACGAGCCCTAAGTGTTAGCATCATACTAACACTTACTATAAGGTTATTATAGTAACTATCATTTCTCTCTTCCCCTTCCCTTAGACTATCCCTTCCCGGGATTCTTCCAGAAATAGCACTGTTGAATTTTTTCCCCAAAAATAGCACCCATCCCGGAAAAATTCCAAAAATAGCACCCTTTCCCAAAAAAAAAATCGCGACGATCGGATACCCGAACACAAAGATACGTTTGTTTGAAGTTTCCACTTAGGTTAGGATTTTTCAAAAAAAAAAAAAAAAAGAGAGACCAAAATCGCATGGTGGGGGTGCGGTTTGCAAAACAGCACCCTACCCGTGCTGTTTTCATCGAAAAACGCGCCCTCGGGTGGCGGTTTTTGGGAAATGGTGCTATTTTTGGAATTTTTCCGGGTTGGGTACTATTTTTGGGAAAAAAAATTAAACAGTGCTATTTCTGGAAAAATCCCTCTCTTCACCTTCCATCTACGTTGTTTTTCTATGTTTCATTTACAAATTTTAGTTTTGGTACTCGAACTTAACAGGTATTAATATTTGGTATATAAAATGATTTTTTTTACATATGAGTCCTAAAAAATCAAAAGTTACATTTTAGTACCTAAATATTTATTTCTTACATTTTGGTACCTAAACGTTTTAATTTTTTACAGACAGTTACGACCTACTTTGAGGAGGTTCTGGTCTACTTTGAGGAGATCCTGGCCTACTTTGAGGAGGTTTTGGCTCACTTTGTGGAGGTTCTAGCCTGCTTTGAGGTTCTCTGGCCTACTTTGTGGAGTTTCTGGCCTACTTTGTGGAGTTTTTGGCCTACTTCGGTGTAGGGGTGGGCATTCGATCGATTCGGTTTCGACCGAACCGAAATTATGAATACCAGGTCTCCGAATTCTCTCAACTGTCAAACCGAATTCGAACCGAATTATAATTCGGTTCGGTTTTCACACATAACCGAATTTGTGAAGCTACTTGTATTTTCTCACTTTTAAATTATTTTTCATCCCTAATATAAACAATAAATATGCAATTATATGCATCATCAATGATAAAATCAAACTTTTCAACACATAAATCATTAAACATTTCAAATATTTAATTCTAAAAACAACAAAAAACATAAAAATCCCCCATTTGGAGCTTGCAATTATAGTATTTCGGTGTTTCGGTCGGAAATTCAAAAATTCGGTTAGGTTGAAAGAACCCTGATTTCCGAACTATCTATATTTTCCTTCCGAATTCTGAACCAAATAGCATTTAATTCGATTTTGGTTCAGTTCGGGTTTATCGAACCGTTTGCCCACCCCTACTTCGGTGGTCTCCTTTTCTTTCTCACTTTTAATGCAAAAAAGACATGGGTACTCCTCTCCTTCCCCCAATTATTATTAATGACCAACGTGTCCCTCATTTTTTCCTTCATTAATTGTGGTCAACTCATTTAAATAAAAAAAATTATTCAAATAAAATGTTTTTATTGGCTGGAGCTAATGTTAGCATGCTAGCCTTTTCCATCCTATTACTTGGATCGATAATGACATTCTCACTACTATATGTGAGTAAACAAATCTGTTAATTTGGACGAAATTGTTACGAGTAGGATTTGAAAAAGAATAAACAAATACTTGGAAAATAAAATAAGAGAGTGAAAATAAAATAGGGACTTTGAATGAACTTCCTGTAAAGTTTAGGTGCAATTAGGTGAATTTCCGTCATGTGGCCCAAAATGCCTGGAAGAAAGTGGAGGCTAGTAGACAGTGGGGAGCAAATAGTTTGGAGACTGGAAGGGAATGGCGGAACTCGGAAGGGACACCTGTGATTTGACTACAAAATGTCTGGGTCTTCAGTCATTCTTCCGCCAGTGATAGATTCGATTCCGTCGTATCAGATACTTCTTCGTCCTCCTTCCCGCGTCGGATCACAGCCATTCCCCACATCTCTTCTTCGAAAACCCCCATTTCCTCGGAAAAAACTGTCTGCACCACCACCGCGAGTCATCAGAAACATGACTGGCACAGCTGATACGTGAGTCCCCCGAATCTCAATTCGTTTTCCTGTATGTTTTTTGGGTTCTCCGCTCGCATATCTGAAGTGGGTTCTCTGCATTATGCTTGCTTTCCTTGTCCAACGCATGGAATTTTTGAATATGCATGCCATGCGCTTTCAGTTTTTCTGGGTCTAGATTAGGTGCAGCTCTGGGAATTTCAACAGAGAACTGGGTTGTCGTTTGATTTTTATCTTGGATTCAAAATAAGGTTAGGTATTAATACTATGAGATGTATGCTGGGTGCTGAAATTGTTTGGCGATTGTCGTCGTTACACTAATCCTGCCCTGTTGTGGCCCAATCTTGACTCTTTATGCTGCACATTTCATCATTTGCTAAAGGGCATTGCTTTTTTAGGCTTTGAATTGGATGAGTGCCCGTTGCCTGCTATTCTGCAGTGGTTTGGAGGGAGAGAACACTCTCAGTCTCAGACCATGCGTTTTCACTACTGCTTTGAAAGGACAGTATCCCAACTTTTAGCAAGCTGGGAACTAGGTAGAGGATCTCATGAAATTTTCCAGCTGAGTTAAGGAAGTTGGTGAACTTGTGTGAATGTGCCATTGCAACAAATAGGGATCTTGGCTGGTTTGTATTCAAAAGGTAAACCTTCAAAATGGGGGAGTTCATGAGTTATACTACCAGTAGGTGTTACTCCATTGCACAAAAGCCAACCTTAGAATTGTAGTTCCTTGAGAAATCTCATCTACCGAGGCTTGGTTGACATGACATTTGTGTTAAGACTATTTATAAGGAGCCAGCTTCAAATTGAGAAACTGTGATGAAATATAATGTACAAGGCCAGCGCATTTCAGTTAGTCTCCTTCTCATCAAGAAGCTTAGACAATGGATGAGCTGTTTTTGTTTCTATTTCTATATGTTCTTTAGCATGCAGTAACACTATGTAGCTTTTTTTCCCCAACTTTTACATGCAGTAGCAGTTTTCTCGCCTCCACTTACAGTTTTTTCAATCGTTACATGCAGTAGCAGTTCTCTCGCCAAACTCGCTCCAATTGAAGCTGTCCTTTTCGATGTTGATGGAACTCTATGTGACACAGATCCAATTCATCATCGTGCCTTTGCTGAACTGCTTCAAGAGGTATTACCTTGATTCATTCTCAGTTTTTATTTTTATTTTTGAAAGGAGAATTTGGACCTATAGGGGTTGGCCATTTTTGTTTAATGTATATCGTATCAGTAGGTTAACATGTTATTTGGAATAAATAATCGCTCTAGTTCCGTTTTGAACCATTGACTCACATGAGTTATAATAATTGCATTCTTGTGCTGCTGAACAGATCAACTACAACAACGGGGAACCAATATCTGAGGAGTTCTTCATCAAGAATATTACTGGCAAGCACAATGAGGAAATCGCAAAATTTCTTTTCCCCAACGATATAGCTCGTGGCATAAAGTTCATGGTGGACAAGGAAACACACTTCCGAAAGTATAAAAACAAATCCTCCTTGATTTCTTCTCATCTAAACATGAGAACCCTCTCACATCTTCCTGCCACAGTATGATAAACTTAAAACTTGATGTTTCAAAACAAACGCAGATTGGCCGCTGATCACATTACAGCGATAGAAGGCCTCTACAAAGTGAAGAAGTGGATCGAAGATCATGGTTTGAAACGTGCTGCAGTCACCAACGCTCCGAAACACAATGCTGATCTCATGATCTCAAAACTTGGGCTGACAGATTTCTTCCAGGCTGTCATTCTGGGAGACGATTGTGAGCATGCTAAGCCACACCCTGAACCTTACCAGAAAGCACTCGAGGTCCTCCAAGTGTCGAAGGAGCACACGTTCGTGTTTGAGGTCTCTCTTACTCTTTTACTTCTGTTTTATTTGTTTTCTGCTTGTTCCACAAAAACCTTGAGAAAATCTTGACTAATGCTGTTTTGACAGGATTCTGTATCGGGAATCAAAGCTGGAGTTGCAGCTGGGATGCCAGTTATCGGTATAACCACTAGAAACCCAGAGGATTTGTTGATGCAAGCCAAACCTACTTTCCTGATCAAGAACTATGCTGATCCGAAATTGTGGGCTGCTCTAGAAGAAGTTGATAAAGCCATGGGAGCTGGAAATGGAGCTTCTGCTTGAAGAGGAGCTGATATGGTCGCCCAACCATAAGATCAGCAGCATTGTTTTCTATTTTGCCATAGCCATGCCATGTAAGCCTAGATGTATATTTGATGATGATGATGATGATGAGCATACTATTGAATATAGATTGCTCGATAGAACGAATGTCGAAACTGGCTAGACAAGTTATAGATTAGATCATAGCATTCATAGCATTCAGGTTATTTCGGGTTGGATGGGTCATTATATTTATGGGTTTGATTCTGAACTGCCAGACTAAAGCGAACCGGAACGTACTGAAATGATATGCATGCATTTTGATCTTATCCTAATTAGGGATGTCAATCAAACCCATGACTGTGCCCCCTCCGACCTAGTCAACGTGGGGAATTCCCGCTTTGATTGGGTATGTGGCGAGTATGGGTAAAATCCGCAAAATATTTGATGGGTACTCGCTCCATACCCATACCCATTTCCGCCCCATTAGGATAATTTCTTCACATATAAAATAAACATTGATTAAATTGTAACCTATCTATAATAGTGAAGATAACTCAAGAAAATATTAAGTAAAAATGTAATTGGGTGGCCACCAAGGTTGTCAACCTGCAGGTCGACCCACTTTGACCCTGATCCGGTGAGAAAAACGGGCCGCATGCACCGCCGGGTCGACCGCTATAAGATACAGGGTTGGAGGTCAAATTGTGTCATTTTTTTATTTGTGAAATGCGCCTATTTTTGGATTTTTCTTTTCGCTTAACTCAATTTTTGGAATTCTAAGTTGAATATTTGAATATTGATGTTATACAAGTGTGTGCGAATTTTCACTATATGTTGGATCTAACTACACCATGTTATTTTGGTGTAATATTATATGTTCTAACTCATATGTTATACGAGATTTGATATAATTTATCAGGATAAGTACAATATAATGACTTTTTTCTATATTTCCGAGCTAAACGGGGCTAAAATGGGTGACCCATTATCCCTTAACCCACTAGCTCAACTGGGTCCGGGTCAGCCCGTGAGTTGACAACCTTGATGGCCATCCAAATCAAAATCTAATTCTTTTTCCTCAACTCTCTCTTCACTCTTTCATTGTTTCCCTTGTTAACAATATTATGTTAGTTAGTTATTACTTAATAGATGTATTAGAGTAAGAGAATAAATGATTTGGATTACATTGTATTCTAACTTAAAGATTAACGGATGTTTTAGTATAAGATGCTTTGACCGTGTTAAGAACGATTGTCTCTTTGTCGACTTTATGATATAGTAGGCGCGTTTGGTGTTATAATTGAAAATGTACTTCTAAAATTTTAATTATTATCATGTTAAATTAACGGACGGGTATTACCTATGGATACCTAAAACCCACGGGTATAGGGATGTGGAGTAGGGCTGGCTATTTGGACCGGGACCGGATGAAAAACCGGAAACCGGACCGTATAACCCGGACCGAGACCGGACCGGGACCGGATAGTAAACAATCCAATCCAATCTTTGGGCTTAGATTTGAGGTAAAAAACCGGATAAAGACCGGATAAGAGAGCTCAACACCCAAAACTTAAGGGTAATTTGCATAAACGGTCACAAACCTTTGTACTTAGTACAAAACTTAACCAACTCCTCACCCTTTTAGGCCTTAGGCCACTCAAATTCCCACAATCTCAATATAAAATCAAGACCGAATTGGGACCGGACCGGGTCAAGACCGGACCGGATCAAGACCGGACTGTATCCAATCCAATCTTCGGTCCTTATATTTTCAAAAAAACCGGACTGGACCGGATCAATTTGGGCCAATTTAACCGGACCGGACCGTATAGCCACCCCTAATGTGGAGAGTATGGATTTGAATATTTGAAAGCAAGTATGTGGATGGTTTAGGCAAACTCGTCCCATTGTACAGGTTGGTACAAACTATTCCTTTCTAATTGCCAAAATTAATCTGATATTCTCATCAGACCTCGTTAGGGATGTCAATCTAACCCGTAACCATGGGTACCCTACCCGACCGTAACCGGTCAACGAGGGTAATTACCCGTTTTGACGGGTTAAGGGGCGGGTACGGGTAATACCCGGTTTCAAAATAAAGGGTAGGGTACGGGTATGGTAATCGATAATACCCGCCCCGTTATACCCGCCCCGCTAACCAAAGGATCAATTTCCCTTGAGAAATCTATTTTAGCTTGAGAAATTGAGTTTAGCTACCATTATTGATGATGAAGATGAAGACGATTATTATGTTTGTGTTTTTTTTTTTTAACAATAGATAGCTTTTATTACCAAAATCAAAACCAGAAAAAAGCACTGTTTACATCACAAGAAATACCAACTATCGAAATCAAAACTCTCCACACTCGCAGGCAACAAAGAAAGGGTCTTCCTGGCCACATCATGAGCCACCCGATTGTTCCTCCTGCCAACAAAAGCAACGTCAAACCTCGTAAACCACTGTCGAATCCCACCAATCTCCTCCAAAATCCTTCCTCCTCGCAAATCCCTAGCATCAGCCCTCTGAATCTTGTCAATGACAACCTTTGCATCTCCATAAAACTTCACTTCAGTAAGGCCCTTCAAAGAGCACCACTGAATCGCATCACGGAAGGCTATCAACTCAACTAAGAAGGGATCTACCAAACCTGCATAAGAGAAACCTTTCACGAAACAAACATTACCCATCACATCTCGAACCACCAAACCCCCCGCACCATGAGACCCCTGTGCCACCGCACCATCCACAAAACAAGAATATGCCATTCCACCCATCACCTGACTAGAACGACCCCCACCACTCCTCTCCCCACCCAAACGACTAGCCTCAGAACGTCCCTGCACTGGTTGAACAATCGCCAGCCATTCCTTAACCTGACTTTCATACTGACGCATAAGTCGCGGAATAGTATACTGCACATGATCGAAAACCACCCAATTCCGACTCTTCCATATTCTCCATAACAACGCTACTAATCGGACTATCCTCTCAGTACTAGGATTCTGGTCAACAAATCGGCGAAAGAACAAAGCAAAATTAGCAGAGTCAGGAGAGCTTACCCCTCCGCTAATGCCCGATCTATCCCAAAGCTCCCTAGCCACTGGGCACGATAAAAGCATATGCTCCAAGGTCTCAATCGGTGCCCAACACACTGGACATTGAGGCGAGGTCGCATTTTCATCCACCGCCCCCTCCACTACCACCGCCGGCACCTTCCCTTCTTTCTCCACGATCGCCTCCATGGTGGGCAGAATGCGTCTCAGCATTTGCCAAACAAAGAACTTTAATTTCGGAGGAATGGGGAAATCCCACACCTTCTTCCAAAAAGTAGCATAAAAAAAAGAAACCTCATCCTTCCACCCTGGCAACTTTCGACTAAGCGAAACAGCTAGATGATATCCCGACCTGACACTATACACCCCATCATCCTCTCGTGACCATACTATCTTATCCCTCACTGGCTGCACCGGCAACGGAATGGAGCAGATTCTATTAGCCACCTCTGCCGGGAAGCACTGATGCAGGCATTCAACACACCAACGCCCCGTACCTGGAATCATTAAAGACTGCACTGTCGCACCCTCCAAGTTAGGACCAGAAGATCTACAAGCAAGCTCCTCCGGTCTCCACCCCGGGACCCAGTTATCACCTAGTACCTGCACTATAGCCCCATCACCAATCTGCCAAATCAATCCATGCTTCAATAAATCCCTCCCATGCAGTATGCTAGTCCACCCCCACGACGGCCTCGAACCTCGACGCGCTTGGAGAATCGCCGATTTGGCAAAGTATTTGCCCTTCATGACTCGAGCCAGGAGGGACCCCGGCTCTTGACCAATTCGCCAAGCAACCTTCGCCAACAGAGCTTGATTAAAGCTTTCAAATCGCCTAAAACCAAGTCCACCATCAAACTTACTCCTACAGAGATTTCTCCAAGACACCCAATGCGCCTTATCCTTGTCCGCCGAAAATCCCCACCAAAATCTAGCCATGTGCTTATCCAACCTGCGGCAGAGAGTCACCGGCAAGAGGAAGCACGACATAACGTAAATAGGGAGAGCAGCCGCAACTGCTTTCAGTAGCACCTCCTTTGCTACCCAAGATAACTGCTTCTGCTTCCAACCTTGGAGCTTTGCAAGCAAACGCTCCTCCAGATATCGAAAGGTCTCAACTTTAGACCGCTGGACCAAAGAAGGAAGTCCCAGGTATTTATCCTGTACCCCTATGGCCCCAACCCCAAGGATAGTCGCCATTGCCTCCACGTCATCGGGATCGACATTCCGACTACAACAAACAGCCGATTTACTCAAGTTAACTTTCTGGCCACTCAACTCCTGATAATCTCCCAATAACTGAACCAAGGTCTCACATTCCTGTTTCGATGCCCTCAAAAACAGGTAGGAGTCATCAGCAAAAAATAAATGAGAGATGCTCGGACATCGCGGATTAACTTTAACCCCTGCTAATCTCTTCTCCTCCACAGCCTTTCTCAACAAAGCTGCAAATCCTTCAGAACATATAGCAAATAGCAGAGGGGACAACGGATCCCCTTGCCGGAGTCCTCTCGTCGAGCTAAAATACCCCATCGGTGTACCATTCATCATAACTGAAAAGGTCGCAGTTGATACACACTCCCGAATCCAACCAATCCATTGGTCATTGAAACCCATCTTAGTCATAATTGCGAATAAGAAGTCCCACTCTACTCTATCATAGGCCTTTTCCATGTCGACCTTCAGAGCTAGGTAGCCTTTCTTACCTCGTTTCTTAATCTTAAGATAGTGCATAACCTCATGTCCTATAAGAACATTGTCCACAATCTGGCGGCCTCGAATAAACCCATTCTGCTCAGGTGAGATAATTGAGGGCAAAATAACAGCCATCCGCTCCGCCATAATTTTAGAAATAATCTTATAAAACAGTTGACACAGGCTAATCGGTCGGATTTGTTTCATAGTCTCCACCGCTTCCACCTTGGGGTTCCGTCTACGGCGTGTTCGTGTGACAGTATGAAAATAAGAAGAATTCTGATCTCCTTTCTCCAGCCACCGAACTCGCGATTTTTGCCTCCAAAATTCCTCCTCCAAAGCCCATTGCTTCGAGAGGTCCCTCTCTAATTCACCAATTCGGTCCCAATCAATGCCATCCCCTTCTTTCAAGGCCTCGATCTCCGTCTGTAAGATCCGAATATTCCTTGCGGAATTATTCGTACCTGCACGACTCCAATCAAAGAGAAGATGACGAAGGGCTTTGAGCCGCTGCCAAAGCCGGTACATAGGAGTCCCAGTATATGTTTGTTGCCAAACATAACTGACCAGCAGTCTAGTCTCCGGATTTTCAACCCATCGAGAATCAAACCGAAATAACGGTTTGGAAACTCTTGTAAAAGGTTTATCCGCAACTACCAACGCCCTATGATCAGATCCCAGGTCTGTGCAATGCTTGACTAAAGTCTGCGGAAATTTACTCGCCCACTGCGGCGAAACCAGGACCCGATCAAGGCGTTCCATAACACAAGCCGCACCCATTCGCCTGTTAGACCAGGTGAACTGCGGACCCGTAAAACCCGCATCCTGTAAAGCAAGAATATTCATGAAATCCCGAACACTCTCTCCTTTATTCGGATCCCAAGATTATCCTGTAAAGCAAGAGTATTATGTTTGTGTGGATTGTAGAAGCAAGAACAATTATTATGTGTTTGCTGTTTTTATTTGTGTGGATTGTTAAAGCTAGAACAGGTACAAGTATTGAGAATTTTTAATGGACAAGAGTATGTATGTGCATATATGTGTATAAGTTCATAGTTTAGGATTCGTACCCATGATTACCCGAATACCCGTGGTTACCCGGTGGGTAGAACATGGTTAGATAATTTTCATACCCGGTGGTTATTTGGTCGGGTATTTTAGAAAGTTCTACCAAACGGGTTAGGAGTTGGTATAGGGTAAACCCGCACCCGACCCTACCCATTGCCATCCCTAGAACTCGTCAACAAAAAGCCGACATTAATCTAAGAACCCTCTCTACATCTTTTCCCCTGGCGGACCGCTACCTTTCTATTTCACTAATTATTGTCGTCTCCATTCCGCCAATCCGATTCTTCTGTACCTGCATCGAATCTTCGGCGCTATCCATCCTCCTCTTTCGCTTGCGGCCTCAGAAGCATAGCATAGCTCTGCAAAAGTCCTCTCGAATTCGAGATTTTCTCTGTAGCCGCCGAGCCGCGACTTGTTCTGTTTTCATCGTGTTTGTTCGTCCTCTTCCCTATTGGGTTTGGTTAATCAGAGCAGCAACCATGGCGGGTCAGGGGACAGGAGGGAGGGGAGGCAGAGTTGTCGGGGACTACATGGTTGGCAGGCAAATCGGGTCGGGTTCCTTCTCCGTGGTCTGGCATGCTAGGCACCGGGTGCATGGCACGGAAGTGGCGATAAAAGAGATTGTTACTGGTAGACTTAACAAGAAGTTGCAGGAGAGTCTCATGTCGGAGATCTTCATCTTGAAGCGGATTAATCATCCTAACATCATTTCCCTTCACGATATTATCGAGGTTCGGTCAAGTTTCCCCCCCTTCTCGTGCCTTATCTGAAAGGCGAATTTTGGTTTTGTGGGAGAATTGACTCTTTGGCCTATCCAGTTGAATTTTTGAAATCTCCCCATGGAATTGTTAATGCTGATTGCCAATTAGCTCGCCTTCCTCATTTAAGTTCGGTTTCTGGGTAGCTGAGAGAGCCATTGGAATGGCACATTGTTTTCAGTTTCCAGGAGTTGTTGTTGTAAGCATCGGTGCACAAGTTGAGCAATCACTATAGCAATTGTTATACTTAATGTCGTTCTTACTCTCTGAATTTGTGCCATCCTGAAATAGGTTCCCGGTAGAATACACATTGTATTGGAATACTGCAGAGGGGGCGATCTTTCTATGTACATTCAACGCCATGGAAGAGTGCCAGAAGCACTTGCTAAGCATTTCATGCAACAATTAGGTATGTCTCTAATCTCATGTCTCATGTCGAGTTGGTTGATGCTGGCTGCCTCGTAGTTTCTAACCCTGACGATGTATGATGAGCATTTTGCTTTCTGCAGCTGCTGGCTTGCAAGTTCTCCGTGATAATAATCTCATACATAGAGATTTAAAACCACAGGTATGTTCACACTCAAACTTTGTCAGTGCACCCACTTTTTTGGTAAGTGCTATGCACCATCTTATAATCGTCATTCTAAGTAGGCGATTTTATGACAAAACAATGTCAATCGTCACTTGTGATTTGATTGAGAAGAAAATTCACGAATTTGCACAAAAATCATTCAAGATTTACTTTGATGTTAAGAAATTTATGTTTAGAGATTTATAGGTTTAGGGTTTATAAAATGGGGTTTAGGATCAGAGTTTAGAATTGAAGGTCGAGGATTAGCGTAATGCATTGATTAGTTGTGATATTATGTTATGTCATTATATTAGATTAATATTTCACATTGAAATTAAAAAATTGGTGTTTAAGGCTAGTTTTAGAGTTATGTGCAAATTATGCACTCATTTTTGTGAGTGAGTGCACCGTATACATATATTTTTTTGAACAATAAATAATTTTTTTCTACTCAATTGTACTTCAGGTTTGTCTTAAGAGAATTTGAGTCTGGATTATCCATTAAAGGTTATGATGTAATAGCATACTCACAAGTTAGTTAAATTTATGGTCTACATAGCATGGTTTAAAAAGGCAAGATTAAGCTTATGCTTAGGCGCTTGGCAACGTAAAATGCCTCGCCTAAGGGTTCCTCAATGAGAGGAATGCAGAACACGTTAGCGGAGTTCGACAACACCTATGTATCTTCTAGGTGTAACTAGCCGGAGTTAGGCAACTAATATCAAAATGAGGAAATTAACTTCATCTACAACCTCAATATTTTGCACAATCTTTTTAATAACTCAAGAACCTTGTGAGCTATTGAGCTACGAATATATGAACTGAGCTAGTTTTCTAATTGCTAAGTGTTAAGTTATTGGTCATTTGAAATGAAGTATAAGTGTTGTAAAATAACTATTTTATTCATTATTTAGTACAAATGCTAATTTTTTCCTCTAACGTCTAAATATACTTAGGCGAGCTAGGTGCTAAGCAAGACCCCAACGCTCGCCTTCACACATATTATTTGTAGATGGATAATTCCGACGAATCAGAATCGTTGGTTCATTTTGAGATTAAATGAATCTTATAGTTTGGGTTAGAAATTGGGAACTGGGGTTCGGCCAGTAGAGATTAGGGTATGTTATTGTTCGGTTTGAAGTCTGGAGTCTCGGCTATAGTTTTCTTGACTATGTCAGGTAGAGAACAATGTGCTTATCTCTCTTTTTGTGACGTGTACTTAAATCTTGCTTCAGAACCTCTTGCTGTCCACCAATGACACCAATGACATACTAAAAATGGCAGATTTTGGGTTTGCTAGGTAATTTCTATCACAATATTCCCTTGCCACTTCTGTATCTTTTCTGACACTTTTGATTGTTCCGTTTGAAGATGGTTATTTCCATTTCACTTTTTTTTCGTTGGTAGGAGACTTCCATTTCTCTAATATTTCAGTTTTGGATTTTTATTCTCCGTTCCAGATCTCTTCAACCAAGAGGCCTTGCTGAAACCTTGTGTGGTTCACCCCTTTACATGGCTCCAGAAATAATGCAACTTCAGAAGTATGATGCAAAGGTGATGCTTGCTTTCACATTTTATGCGCTGTGTTTTGTGAACTGAGGGTAAGCACTAACCTTGCACCGGATACGCAGGCAGATCTCTGGAGTGTTGGTGCCATCTTATTCCAACTTGTAACTGGGAAAACCCCATTCACTGGGAGCAACCAAATGCAGGTATGATTAGCTTCTCTTTATTGCCATCGAGATTGCATACTAAAGTCATGCTATAGCTTGTCAAAATAGATAATGCAGCTTTGCTGATGAGTCTCACTTTTCTTTCTATTACAGTTACTCCAGAATATCATGAAATCAACTGGATTGCAATTTCCACCAGAAGTTAATTTGAGTACTGAGTGCACAGATTTATGCTACAGATTGTTGCGTCGAAATCCAGGTATCCCATTCATACCAACTTGAAATGGGAAATACCTTCTCATGTTTACTGAAAGAGCAACTTATAGCACCAAGTCCTATTTGGTGTACACGGAAAATATTCCTCGTTAATTTTATCTTTCAATCTAACATTTAGCAGATTTTGTGGCCTAAGAACTGGAGTAATTACTGTATTTGTAGACTATTTTTGAAAGTATCAGGTAGAGAATCATTTTATTAGTATATTGATCTTTGGGAAATTTTAGTATCTCAATTTGCATTTGTAACTTAGCTTCACTTTTGTACATACAGTGGAACGGTTGACTTTTGAGGAATTCTTTAACCACCCATTTCTTTCTCAAAGGAGAGCAGATGAATCATTGAGGTATCTCTTGTAGAAGTTCAGTCTGCTTGACCATAATGCATCTCTCCTCTCAGCTTCTAAAGCAAGTTTTTTCAGGGCTCAGAGACCTTCAAGATTTGCAGATGGCTTCTCACCGTCTGAAACTAATTCCCTTGGGAAAAGCAGTCCTCAGGAGGATTGTCTGCCATTTTTTCTGGATGATGATTCTAGTGGTCCTGAGGGGAGTCTTGCTTTCTCTACTAGGAACTCATCAATCAAGACCACTTATGGATTTTCTCTTGACACTAGAACTGATGAAAGGGATGCGAAATTGAATGCTTTAAATAATGTAGATATTATACCTTCAAGGCATATCTCTGTCAGATACCCATCTGGTAATTCTATAGCTAGGCCCGCTATCAATAAACTTTTGGATGAAAATCAAAGTGAAACTCCAAAGACTGCAGCGCCAAGGCCAGTGAGCATCATCAGGCCGAGAGGTAACCGAGACATGTCTAGACCCATGACTTGTAATTATCTTTATACAATGCAGTATTGCTATCCAGTCGTTGATTCCTGATTTCTTACACATCATATGGTTCATGCAGTCGTGGATTCTCTAGAGTCGATTGATCTTGATTATGTTTTGGTTTCTGGACCACTTTTGGATGTGTCTTCTTCTTTGGCTGGAAATTCCAAACCTAGCCAGATACCTTTTAAATCTGAGAGTGCCCCTCAAACATCGGGCCATTTAATACCTAGACCTACCGCCCTTGTTCCTTTAGTTGGAACTGGCAATCCTACTACTCTTGCCCGCATTGCAAGCATCGATTGTCCAGGCTCTGCTCCTGGCACTTCCCAAGGATCTACAGATGTAGGAAGTTCCCTAGAGCAGCCATCACCTGACTGCATGACCAGGATAAAGTCTTTGAAGCAGTGCGCATCGACCATAACTGAACTTGTCCAAGAAAAGGTAACATATTCGACCTGTCCTCTATCATGGGTATGCTAGGCTCTGCATAGTTCAACTGATATGAGGTCATTGGGTGTAGTTGTCGACTGGAGCAAAGATTAGAAATGAAAGTGTGCGAACAAATTATTGAAATAAACACTCTTTTTAGAGCAGTTATTGAAGTACTTGAGTGGTGTGAAATTACTTGGTCCCTGAAGCTTATTGAGTTTGATAGAAGAGAAACGGGTTGAATTAGAAATGAAGAAAATAATAGAGTAAAGTAGGGTCCATATGATTTTAAAATTAGATGTTAAAGGAAAAAGTTGGTTATTTGATTAACTGATGTCCACTGGTCGGAATCAAGTGTATAAGTCTATGGAAATCACAAGACTTTACCGTGACTTCGTGAGTTCTGAATTATGTGAGGTCTTTCCTTAAAAGTATAGTACTGCTTTCTTATCAGCACTTAGTTGTTGAATAGATTGAGGCTGGCAGACATTTGGAAGCTTTCTCAATCCAACTTGTCATACTTGCAATTTGGAAGCAAGCCTTGCATATATGCCATGCTCAAGCTGCTTCAGCCATTGAAGGAAGTCCAAGCCAGGAAAACATAAGATTGATGAGGAGAAGCAGCAGTAAGATTAAACATGGTACATCAGAGATGGAATGTTGTTCTGATGATATTGGGCCGGAGATAAACACCACTCATATTGAGAGAGAATTTCTCCGGGAGGTTGAGCATGCTGAGGAACTTGCCAATGCTATTGAACCTGGTATGTTTATTTTTTTTATTATAAAAAAAGTGTGATGCATAGCTGCAGTTTCCCAATTTACCTGAGTAACCTGGAACCGTTCATGACATGCAAACCCTGTGCTCTTTTATTTTATAGTTTAAGGTTCGTCAATATAACTTTCCTGGTTTAATGCACTTATAGGCTGCACGAATAGATGTAGAGACTGTTGAGTTAGGAAGCTGTTTGCGTGTAAGGGATCTGTTTGGCCCAGCAAAGCCCTGGTTAAGAAAATCAATTGAGCATTTGGTTTAACATTTCAAAATAACAAATGACGCTAAGTGCCCTTATAAAAAAAAAAAAAAACAAATGACGCTAAGTGACGCTAAGGATGAGAAATACGAATAAAATTTGAAACATAGTCGATACGGATCTTGTTGAAATTCGGTTATGTTATAACTAGTTTAGTTTTAAAATAGTAATGATGTAGAAGGAAATAATCTAGAAGCCATCTCTAGTACAGCTTTTCATGTCTGCACTTGTGATGAAATAATCCAGAAACCAGGTTCTGAAAAACTCATTGAGCTCCTAGAATAGCCGTGGGGTAAACATACACTAAAATGGACTAGTTGGGCGTGGCAGTAATATTGTAAGCATGAGTGGATGTCTTAGTGTGTTTATTTGATGTTGGAGTCAAGCATGCACTTTTTTTAAGGTCATGCAATCATTTATGCACCATGGGGGTTGATGCAGGGAGTAGTACAGAGATGCCAGATGCGCTGGAGACTATTTTCCAGTCTGCCCTCACTCTTGGAAGAAATGGAGGGGTAAGCTCTAACTTAGGAAAAAAGGTCGGTTTAATTTGATTCAATGCAGACAGAGAATGAAAGCCAATGGCATCTGAAGGTAATTGTTTTATGATGATGATGTCTTGAGCAGGTAGATGAGCTAATGGGAGAAATGGAAAGCGCAAGTTTGTTATACTCCAAAGCAGTAAGGTTGTTAAGGTTCCTTCTTGTGGAGGCACCTTCTCTCATTGTGAACCCTCCATTTTCACTCACGAACTCGGACCGGTTCAGGCTTCGCAGTTACATTGATATCCTCAACAACAGGCAGGGATGTTCTCGTTCTCAAAGGATGGCCCTTGTGAAATGCGATTCGGATCAGCCGTCGTCATAGATTAACAACAACAACAACAACAACAACAAAAAGTTGTCACCTTTTTCTCTCCTCTCTTGGACTGACCCATGTTCTTTACCATTTGTAAATGATTTGTTTGTACAGGCAGCCATTATTCTTTTCAGGTGGAAGTAGGGGACTCATGATACTTGATTCAGCAGAATTCTTGATTCTTTTGGGGGTGAGGATGTTGTGTAATATGTACATACAAACGCTGGTTCGTGAAAGCGTGTGATGATGAAGACGAAAAAAAAGTAAGTTGTGAGAGAAAAGATAAAGGAAGAAAGACCTGCACATGAAAGACTCATGCAAAATTGATTTGTGTTGGTTATGGTTGTGGGAAGAGATGATTGTCGAAAATGAAGACGATCAAACTCAAATTGTTTCTCAGTACAAGGTTAGGGTTGGTGCAACGGTCGACAAAAGTGATCATACTTAATCTTGTGGTCAAACACGATCAATATTGGGCATGAGGCTAGGGTTAGGTGTAGTGACTTAGGCATGATTGCTTTAGTCAAAAGCGATCTTGTATTGATCGCTTTAGCCTCAAGCGATCTTGTGTTGATCAGATTAAAATATAAAAATATTCAACCTAAACACCCCTATTTCATTCTCATTTCTCCTCTTCTCCACCTTCATAGCAGAAACTTACCTCTTCTCCACCACACTTGCAGAAAATCTCACGATCACACCAAAACTCTATTCCCTCATTATGACTATAAGATTTGTATGAATTTGCTATGATCATGTTTAAGTAGTTGTGTGTTTGTGCTTCACTAATTAAGCATCTTGTTAATTGTGCTAAATATTTGGATTAAAGTTGAATGTATGATGACTTATGGTTTGGATGTTATATACTTATGTGTGATCGTTACTTATTTTAAATTGCAGACATGAGTAGATTTCGAAAGTTCCATCTTTTTACTCTGTGGAATGTATGACAATGACAATGTATGTTATATGTGGTCATTACTTATGCTAATTATGTTCTTTCTTGAGTTTTGTTAGCCGTATGACAATGACAAGTCATTAAAGGTTAATAGTGATAATGATTTGACAGTGATACACTATCATTACTACATGAGTTCAGTTATCGACCTCAAGTTTCTGGAGGTTAAATAGAAGGTTTAAAATAGACAAGTTTCTAATTAAACATAAAGTACATAACTAATGCTAGCTTACCCATGAGTTAAAGGTTTGACACCTAAAATTTTTCATCAACATACTGCTAGCATGAGTATTTTTCGGATGGTACTTTTGTTTAGTGGGAGTCATTTATGGATGTTCAATAGATTATGACTAAATCAATTTCTGCATAATAAAGTGATTGTTTACTAGAGTCTATTTTGGAATGTAAAGTTCCTTCAATTATGCAATGGTTACATTATATGAAGGAATTTCTGTTGATCTCGCTAAAATTAAAGTTTGACCAGTTCAAAATGGGCTTTTTCAAGTTCACATTGCATTTAATTTTCATGCCACATCCGTATTTAATCTATGTCATTGAGTGTATTGGTGTAGTGATCATGGTGGTTTAATTATTGTCATGTCGTGATTAAAGCCGCATTAGCTCCACTACAATACTTGATCTGGGCAAGATTGTTTCAGGAGATGTTCTAATCACAAGTAGTATACAGTTGCGCGCCTAAAGAAATATAATTTTCGAGAAAAATATGCAGCCCAAGTGGGAGAGTTTTGAGAAATGTTATTTTTCAATTATTATGAGCCACATATCTTACACAATTATATTAGCTATTTGATTATGTGGGATAATTACAGGTAATCCAAATTATGAGCCCAAAGATATCTTGTTTGATATAAACCTATATAGGTTGTTTGCATGATGGATTTGGATCAATTATGGGCTTTGTCTAAACTCTATTGTTTGTTTCATGGATCTAGGGGCAACAAATTTGTGGACTCCACAGACTTTAAGAGTCCATGACGGAATAGTATATAAAGACCATTCTAGATATTGTGGTCCCTAACACACCAAAACCTATACACTATGTTGCTCACCCCATTATAAGATTAGAACATCTCGTATAGTAACTAAACTGACTTGTTGAGAAGGTCACAAAATCTTATGTATCGAAATCCAGGAGTATCGTCAGGTTCTAGATCATTGTTAATAAGACTCGGGTTCTTTCCTGCGCGGCCCGACAGGAAGATTTTCCTGGATGGGAACGGAATCCTATTAAGAGGCTTTGTAGATAATGGGCTTTTCTTTTGCTCCTGGGTCCAGATTCCAGAGGGCTTTGCATCTTCCACCTTCCCGAGCGACGCATCTTCCCCGATTTCTCGACTCAATTCCTACGCCAAGCAAATCTAAAACCCTAGAGCAAAGCAGTCGTCCTTTTCCGCCGTCGTCTTCCCGCGTGCCAACAAACGACTATGATACTAGAGAAACTAGCATCATTTACCAAAATCCCACCTTGCCCGGACGAGTCGCCACGCCACTGAATTGATCCGTAACCGGCATTGATACTTAACTCTGCTCCTCGACGCCAACTCTGTTCCCCACCCCTTTTACGGTCAGGAAACCCAGGAATCCGAAATGGCCGCTTGCCCATCTAGCATCAGGCTCTCGCAAGCTCTTGATTTTCACAGAGACGTCACCATCAGCCGGGCATGGCGTCCGAATCCGACGATCCGCCCCAGGTTCAGAACCTCAGCCTTCCCGTCCGTCAAAAATCAGAAACTAGGCATCGTTATGAGTATGTCTGGGCCGGACGACCCGACCCATTCGAGCGGCGTGGCTGAAGTGATTGGCAAAGAAGTGGGTACTGATTTCGGGTCCGGGAAGGCTAATGGGTTACTGGACAGTGGAAGCGAACTGAAGACTGACGGTGGCTCCGGTGGAAATGGGAGCTTTTCCGGTGGAGGAGGGGCCGGGACCGGTGGCGGAGGAGGTGGCGGCAGCGGCGATGAAGGGGAGAAAGGCGAAGAAGAGGATGATCAGTTTGGGCCGCTTATGAAGTTTGAAGAGGTGATCAAGGAGACGGAGGCTAGAGGGGCAACCCTTCCTTCTGACATGCTGGAGGCTGCAAAGACTGAGGGGATCCGTAAATTGCTTCTCTTCAGATACTTGGAGTTGCAGGTACCAAAAGATGATCGTTTTGAGATCATTATTGATTGGTTGTTCGATTTGATCCGAGCTTTCGCTGATTCTTGTTCTGTTCCTTTCACTCATTCAGGGTGCTGGTGGGATTTTGGGCTTTCTGATGGAGTCTTGTGCTATTCTTCGGAATAGAATGTTGGCAGATCCCTCATTTCTCTTCAAAATTGGAACTGAGGTTAGTGACTGAAGCTTTTAGTTGTTATATTTGCAATGCACGCACTTGATCAAATAGGCATTTGGGTGAGATTTTGATTGTTGGCATTGCTACGGGTAGGAGTGATGTAAGCTAATTCAATGGTATGCAGATAGTAATTGACACTTGTTGTGCCACATTTGCTGAAGTTCAAAAGAGGGGCAAGGACTTCTGGGCGGAGTTTGAACTGTATGTTGCAGATATGTTGGTCGGTGTGGTGGTTAACATAGCTTTAGTTGGTATGTTGGCCCCTTATGCACGTTTTGGGAAGTTAGCAGCTTCCAAGGGTTTACTGGGACAACTCCAATATGCTTATGCAGCTCTTCCCAGTAGGTTAGTAGTTCCATTCAAAAATGGGAATCCAGTTGCCTTCCTTTATCACAAAGAATAAAAAGGCATCTACCTTCACCGGTGTTCTTATGGTTTGTGGTTTTTGAATTTGGAGTTTGCCGTTTTGTTTGTTTCTGACACTGAAGTCATGACATGGTGCAGCGTGTTTGAAGCTGAAAGGCCAGGGTGCAGATTCTCCACCAAGCAGAGACTTGCCACCTACTTCTTCAAGGCAAGCTTGATTCTCTTGCAAAGCTGCAGTAGTTAACCAGTTGTCTCTTATCGGTTTAACTCCTGATCACGAGCTGTCTAATGTCCAGGGTTTCATGTACGGGGCAGTCGGGTTTTCATGCGGTATTGTAGGCCAAGGCATAGCAAATCTCATCATGACTGCTAAGAGGTATGCCTTATATTGTCTAGATGAGCATAATTTATCAAAGCAGTTTGTTTCACTTATGGCCCCAACGTACTTGATTACTGGAACATAGAGCATAATAAACTCGTATGAAACGTGGCTGTGCCCTCTACTCTTAGAGTGGAATTTTGTGGTGTTATCAAAACTGCTCCAATCCTTCACAAATGCAGCTATCATTGATGTATCTTCTTTACATATTTCGAGTCCACTTCTCTTCCATTAATTTGAGATACAATATGTCTGAGTCAGGAGCATAAAGAAGTCAGAAGAAGACGTACCAGTGCCACCGCTGGTGAAGAGTGCAGCTCTCTGGGGTATTGCTCCTAAAACTGTTTTTTTCTTTTCACTTCCTTTTCCGTATTGTAAAGTTCACGACTTATAATAGAAACAACTACATTGGATCTAGGGACATCTATGATCACTATTGCCTGCTTCCACCAACTGGTTCTTGACTGTTCCCCAAACATTTGCAGGTGTTTTCATGGCAGTGTCGTCCAATACCCGGTACCAAGTCGTTAATGGATTGGAATGCCTTGTAGAGGCATCACCTCTGGCAAAGAGGATCCCACCAGTTGCTATGGCCTTCACCGTTGGGGTTCGATTCGCCAACAATGTATACGGTGGAATGCAGTTTGTCGACTGGGCTAGATGGAGTGGTGTACAGTAGTTGGGGTGAGGGGAATGGTTTAGCAATCTGTTGTATCATCATTTTTTTAATGGCTGCAACTGCAATTAGGTCTTTTCCTTTGCCTAGGTGCAAATGAAATGAAATCGGCAGATGTAGTAAGTATTTTGCCTCAATGAATGGGTCTTGATGTCGGCCTTCGTATTAGGGGTTGGCATTCGGTCGTTTCGGTCAAGCCTGAACCGAACTCGATCGAACTTGACTCTAACTACACCTCTATCAGCAATTGAGTTTGAACTTAGCTGTATTTCGGTTATTTTTACTTTGCACCAGAAACACACTTATGCTCATGTTCTGCCAAACTACTAAAACCAATCACCCAAACAGCAAGTACACACTACACACCACTTCTCACATCCATAGACAGTGACCTAGATCAGTTCACATTCGTTGGAGCGCCTAGCGTTTTTCTCGTATAAAATCGGCAACCAACTCCATGGCGGAAGAGGAAGTCACAAGTGGAGATTGACAATGTCGATGAAGTTTGGAGTAGAGAAGCTCACCGCGTCTTTTGCGGAGAAGACGGAGGAGAATTGTTGTCTGTTCGTACTTGCAACGACTGTTGGTCAGCGGTTGTTGTTGTAGGAGGCAATATAGTAAAAAACGTGTATTAAAATGCAAAAACGCACGTTTTTACGTTTCTGACTAGGCAAAACGCTTCAGTTTCTATGTAAAAACGTTAAAAAAGGTAAAAACGATCAAAAAAGTGTTTCTGATATGTTTTTGTACGTTTTCAGTTGAAGGAATTTCAACCAATCTCACACCGTCTCCAAACAAACCAGGAATCAGAACATTGATCCCTACAATCAAATCAACCGACAACCGGTATTAAACATGTCCTCAAAGTTTGAGGACGATCCAATGGTTGGTTTCTTTGGAGTCCTCCCTGGAACCAAATGCCCAGCTATAAGAAAATAAGGTTGCATCCTGTCTAACCAACAATATTTTTCCACTAACCAGAAATCATAACTACAATCCCAACGGTCGGATCGGATTCCATAAAGTATGGAACATGTTCTGCAAATTTGAGGACGATCCAACGACGGTTTGTATGGGAATTCTCTCTTGAACTCATTGCTTTGCCGCAAAACGTAAACTTGGCTGCCACTTAAACCATCCAACTTTCCATTAGTTATAATTAAGCTCTTCAATTTTCAATTCCCTTAACACTCTTTTAGATTTAAAATGAGTTTAATCATAAGCCAATTAATCAAACACCTTCCTCATGTCGTAGTTAATCAATTCAACTATTGCTTCATATTTAAAAATCACTCAATATTGGGATGGTGTTACCTTGATTAAATAGGAAAAGCATGGTGCCGGAGTTGAGAAGGCCCACGGTGGGAGAGACCACGACAATCACATGCAGAGGGCGACTCGACGACAAAGGAAGCTGGGCGCGACCCCTCTGCGGAAAGAGTGGAGTTGCGGTCGGCGACTGATGCAATGTAGTTGTCAGCGGAGGAATTCTTATCCAATTCAAGGTGGCCACGCTATGGGGCATGGTTATATACTTTCGACATGCCCTGTCCACCTCCTCCCCTCTCGACCGCGTTCTATGCACATTCTATTTCAATTTCTTACAATATGTATTTATATTTCTCATATTTTGTTTTTCCTAACTAGTTAGACTTGATTTTTCACCTAGTTAGACTCAATTATTTATTTTATTATCACTATTTTCATTCCTAAAGTAATTTTTCTTTATTTTAATGTAAAAAGTATATTTTGATTATATTTTTTAAAATAAAATGTAAGAGTGGGTCGATCCACTCGGATATTACCCGCCACAACATATGGTTAGTGGGAGCAAGAACGGGTATTGACTAGGGGTGGACAATGGGTTGGTCCATACCGGACCACATCAGATCAAATAAATGTTTGGAACGGATCACACCGAATTGAATATAATATGGTTCGGTCCTTGTTTCTATGAATTTCATAAATATTGAAGAAAAATGGACCGAATTTACATTTGGATCGGACCTAATGCACTTTTGGTCCGGTTCTTTATCATTAAATATCTTTCACCATTGAACCGTGGTTCTCCTTAGTTTGGTCCGATCCGGTCCGAAGCGGACCGGACCGATGCCCACCCTAAGTATTGAGTATTGACTATTCAGATACCCAACCTGCCATCGGTAGAGTTGACTGCCAATGAGCGGGGCAGGCGTGATTCCAGACGGAGTCTGGTCGCCGGAGGAGGTACATGAGGGCAAATTATGAGCGTGTGCTGGGTAGCGCTAACTCGGAGTCCTTTGATTTGATTAACCCGGACGAGTTGGGAGGGTCAAGAACTCGGCGTGTTCTCGATGAGGAGCTGCTGACAAATCAAGCCAGCGGCCATTTCACAAGTTATCACTACTGCTACTGCTACTTCAGGGAGCGAAGAGAAAACTGGGTTCGTTTTCTTGGTGTTCGGATTGGGTAAAAGGAGGATTCTTTTTCGAGAAGTATTGGAGGGGGATTGAGAGAGAAAAAAAAGCTACGATCTTGGTAAAACGAGCTTCCTTTAATCTTTATGTCCCCGTTCCCATTTTGCTTGCTGGCTGGCTGGAATTTCTTACGTCCTGCCTTCCTTCTGAATTTTGATTTGAAGAGCTCGCTAGTTTAACCAGATTGTGCAAGGAAAGTCCGTTGTGTTTTCGTTGCTGTTCGGTCAAAAAAGGGCTAGCAGAATCAGGAAGATTCTTTTGTATGGCTTATTCAATGAGTGTGGCACCAGTTTGAGAAGATTGTGTGTCCACATAATGAGGGGATATCCTGGCCATACGAAAATTTACCAGGAAACAAACAGAAGCAGAACTTCCAAGAGGGGAGAACTACTATCTGGAGGTCTTGTCAATTGGTCATGGACATGGCGATGGGACCCATTTTACTGCCAGGTAGTGGCAGTGAGAACAAAAGGATTATTCAACACATCTTCTCAATGTGACAAAACTGCAATAATATGTGGTCTGAAATCTTTTCTGGGTCATGGAATGGAATCCAGACAATTTCAAGGGTTCCTTCGAACACCAGATATTTCCTTTTGTTGCTACAGCTGTGTTGATTTGAGCAGCCAGCTTCTGCAATTTGCAAACAAAAAGTGCAGGCAGAAGTCTTGGTAGCCAGCCTAGAACTTGCAAGGGAAAACCTGCAACACTTGCAGAGGTGATAAGAATGTTGGAAGGGAGGGGTGTGGTGAGGGAGACAGACATGCCAGAGGAGATGCAAGGGCGTGTACTGGAACTGGCATACCAGGCTCTTGATCTTCATGAGGTTTCTGATTGCCAATCCATTGCTCATTATATCAAACAGGTGAATTCCTTATCACTCTCATGTTAGAAACGCCTTTTGGTCTTTGTTCATTTCAAATGAAAGTATTAGATTCTGGGGTATGCGTCTACAGTCAAATTCTGTGGAAAGGTACATTTCTTTTGGTGGGGAACGTATTTTCTGATTAATAGATTGCAAAAGGGATCTGCCTTATGTCGCAACTAGAATCTTACATCTCTTGGATGGATGGAGGGAAAGTAAAGTGATGCTTTAGGGTTCACATATAAGTTAGAAAGAGCATAGAGCCTTACCCTTTTGTATTGTGAAATCCTGTATCAAAACTAATGTTGCCCCCATCACACTCTTTCAATTTTGCTTATAGAATAGGGAGTTGCTTTGAGCCTATAGTTATACACATGTGATTCCCCTTTTTGGCACACTTGTAAGCTGAATAGAGAGAATGATGAGAGAGAAACCCATCTCATTTTCCATGGAAAAAATGGATCTTGTTTGTTTCTCAATTGAGCCATTTCATTGATATTGATCTTTCACAAGGAAAAGCCACTTTTCTCCCATAAACTTGTATTGATTCCATATGATTAATGGTTAGGGTTCCCTGGGTTGCATTTCTTGCTACTGTGCTGGAACTTTTACTTTATAGAGTGTTTAGAATAATAAGCTCGGGGAATAAACTCCTGAATGAATAATGCTTTGAACTGATCAAATTTTTTTATTTGAATATGCTTTTTACTTGTTAGTGGGTCAAGAATCATGCATCAAAACCTTTGAGACTTTAGCCTTTAAGCAAAACCATGCATCAGAGCTACTCCAAGGCCTCACAGACTGCTGCTATTGTTGCATCAGTTCAAAAGATCATCCTATCTTCATTTTGAAATGTAATTTTTTTTTTACATATTTCACCCGTGTTAAAGCTTTGGGGATCGTGCAACAGAAATTTGATGAAGACTATGGAGCAGCATGGCACTGCGTGGTTGGCAAAGAGTTTGGTTCCTGCATCACTCACCTCCGTGGAACTTTCATCTTCTTTGGGGTGGAGATGATGGAGTTTCTCATCTTCAAGGATGGCAACGACTTCAGCCTCACCAAGGAAGAAGCTGTTGGAGTTCTGCAACTGCAAGACTCCACCAAAAAGATCAAAACCTGAAAATAGATTTGCATACTTAATCTCATTTTGTATGACTCGTCGTCCCTTTTCAGAATGTTATGTTTCTTCTCGTGAACAATTCAGAATGGAATATATCAGTTAGAATGGATTAAGTAAACACAAGCCAGCCGTATTAGGATCTCTGTAAGAATCATAGTTTCAACTCGACCTGGTATGAGAAGAAACCAAGAGGGTGCAGACAAGGATGTAACCTGTGATTTGCACCAGTTCCAGACACCAGAGTTTCATTCATGCACATAATATGTAATACCTGAAATGGGAGATTCACTTGAAAATAAGGAAGAGGTGTTTGATTGTGAATGAGTGAGGAGGAGGTAATCTGCATCCCGAGGATTAGAGCGAAAAATGTGATATGGCAATCTAAACCTCAGGATGCAGATTACCCAATCCTGACCCAAATATAGGTATGAGATAGCACAGACATATGTAGTAGCTGATAGTTCTGGGTGGACACTTTCAGAAGAAGCTCCCACACTGGTACTGATGATGTGCATTGATGATTTAGGGGGAAGGAAATTTATAGGGGAAACTCAGAAAGCAAAGCCAGATATTTACTCAATGGAAATGAAAATGAGTTTGTATAATTGAGTTTGGAAAAGGAGGAGGGGGAGACATATAAGATAAAGCAGATGATGATAAGGTGCTGGATGTTGGAACCCTCAAATGATTCTGATGGGTTCCTCTCCCAGCCAATCATCATGTTGATACCTCAAACTTTCTTTGGACAATGATGGCTCTGTCTCATTTGACTGCTTTTCCCCCCCTGAACACAAGACTCCATTGACACACAGGCAGATCTTTTCTCTGCTGCTTGTGATAAAACGATTCCTTTCAAATCATTGCTCAGTTAGAAAGAAAAGGATGGGGGAAAAGCCAGAAATGGATACAATACAACCCACATCATGAGTGTCAAGAACCAGTTGTTTTCAATAACTCTAGTTGTTGCGAGAGATTCAATCGTAAATCGTATACCGTTTACTGACACGGAGGACCAACCCTGGCAGAGTGAAGTTGAAGCTTTTGAAGGAACAAACGGTATAAACTGAAGAATATGAATGCCCTCCAAGATGTTTATGTATATGTATATGTATAGTATGATGTTCTTGGTCTGGATTCTCAAGCGCCACAAGGTGGAACCATGGAAGTGACTGATGATCATCACCATGGACAATAATGGCATATTCCAATTTATCATGACCGAGGGGTTCTGATAGGTTGAGCCTAGCTGTCCCCAGCTCCATTTTTTGAACTTGGGACTTGTCTTTTTGGGTAAAAAATGCAAGCAGGCCATTGCTGTTGCTGCATGCAGTAGCAGGGTGCTCATTCAAACTTAGGATACCCAATTCCTGCCTTCCAGGTCCACCTTTCCACACAAATTTGCCAAAACATAAATTTCCCACAAACCGTATATAGTTCGCGACTTATGGAACATAAGTTGTTGTACAAAGATCGAAGCTAAGGACTTGATTGTAAACACTGTAATAGTTATAGGAATGTAATGTAATATTTTTATATACTGCTAACTGCTTAGTACTTTGACTATTCGATATGTAACCAAATCGTGCTTAGTTTTTTGATGTATCTGAAAGAATACAATGAAAGTGTACTTCTTCTCATATTCAACATCATTACAGGGCTTTGCCATTTATAGATAGCTAACATAGAGCTGTACAGATTTGAGATAGGATTTGCATAGATATGATAATAAATGTGATGGCAGGTGTATGATCTGGAAGAGATTTGAGACTTGAATGTAGGAGTGAACTCCAAATAGTGTTTGCCTGTTGCTGTTCCATTATGCCCCCGCAAGTGAAACCTCGTGGAGGTGAAACTTGGAACAAAACCGTTGAAAGGGTAGCCGAGTGAGAGGCTTTGTGAGCACATCTGCGAGTTGATCTGTAGCGGGTAGGTAACGGACATGTAGTTGATTCTTGTTCACACGGTCTCGGACGAAATGAAATTCAATTTCCAAATGTTTTGACCGATTATGAAAAACAGGGTTATGCGCCAAATAGGTGGCCCCTAAGTTATCACACCAGAGCACCGGGGATGAAGGAAGTGGTTGACCGAGTTCGGAGAGAAGCGCTTGAAGCCAAATAACCTCTGATGCCAATGTAGCCAAGGCGCGATACTCACACTCGGTCGAAGATCTGGCCACCGACTTCTGTTTCCTAGTAGACCAGGAAACTAGGTTCTGTCCGTAGAATACAGCATAGCCTGTAATTGATTTACGATCTTTTGGACAGGAAGCAAAGGAGGCATCTGAATATCCATGAAGCTGTGGTTGAGATGAGCGCTGGAAAATGAGTCCGGTGGTGAGGGTTCCTCGAAGATAACGCATAATGCGCTTCACAGCAGACCAGTGGGCATCCGTTGGAGAGTGTTGAAACTGGGAAACATGATTGACTGCGAAGGAAATATTCGGCCTTGTGAAACTCAAATACTGTAGACCGCCAACAATACTGCGGTATAACCCAGGATCATGAAATACTGGAGATGTATCAGATGCACTTTGAATAAGCTGATCTGCAGTACTGGGAGTAGAGATCGCTTTTGCTTCAGACATACCAGACCGCTGCAATATTTCAATAATGTACTTGCGTTGATGTAAAATTAAACCTGTAGCAGAGTGATGGACCTCTAGTCCCAAAGAATATGAAAGTTGCCCAAGATCTCTAAGAGCAAACCGGGATCGAAGAAATGTTATGAGTTGCTGAATTGTGGAGGAATGATTGCCGGTGATCACTATATCATCCACGTAGACCAACATATACAATGTAACCCCTCCAGCTTTGTAGATGAAGAGAGATGGGTTCGTCTTCGACGCAATGAATCCAAAATCGCGAAGAGCTTGTGACAAACATCGAAACCATGCCCGGGGTGCTTGACGAAGACCATATATAGACTTTTTAAGGCGACAAACATGGTCGGGACGGTCCGGATCGATGAATCCTTGTGGTTGACGCATGTATACTTCTTCCTGTAATGTGCCGTGAAGGAAGGCATTGGAGATATCTAGCTGATGCAGCGGCCAAGAGTGTGATACAGCAATGCCCAAAATAAGTCGTAAAGTTGCTGGCTTGAGAACTGGACTGAAAGTTTGGCCAAAGTCATGTCCCGGAATCTGCTCAAAGCCACGGGCGACAAGGCGGGCCTTGTAGCGCTCGATTGTGCCATCAGGATTAGTCTTGATAGCAAACACCCATTTGTTAGATATCAAATTGCAATCAAGTGGTGGAGGAACTAGGTCCCAAGTGTGATTGTGAATTAAAGCATCAAATTCGGAGGCCATGGCAGCTCTCTAGTGAGCAATTTTCATCGCCTGGGCAGCCGTGGTTGGAAGAGCTGTTGTAGTAGATGCTATGAAATGTCGCGGCTTTAATTTGCCGGTTTGTGAGCGAGTGGTCATGCGTTGTGGAGGAGGAGGTGGGACGGAGGTAGGAAGGATCCTGGGTGAGGGGTTAAATGGAGGTCGAGGTTGAATAGATGAACGGCGGAAATAAGTTTTGAGCTGTGGAGGAGACACGGCTGAAAGGGGAGCAGATGGGGAGGAGATTGTTGTTTGGTGGGCAGGGGACAATGGTTTGGGGTGTGATGTGGATGGGTCAGAGATGGGTGGAGGATTGGATGCGGATGAGGAAGCGGAGGGAGACAACGTGGTGGTTGAAGTTGGGCCAAGTAAAGGTGGCCCTGGATGGGGAGATGTAGGAGGAATGGGGCCTAGAATGGATGGTTCAGAATGTGAAGTTTGAGAAAGAAGGGGGTTGGGTAAATGAATGGGGGAGCTGTCTAAAAATTGTTGGAGGGAAGGAGTAGGAGAGGGGGGTTGAGAAGTGGTGACATAAGGAAAAATGGACTCATCAAAGAGAACATGTCGACTGATATAAATTCGACTTGTTGCCCGATCAAGACAACGATAACCTTTGTGTAACTTACTATAACCCAAGAAAACACAAGGAATAGAACGTGGCTGAAGTTTATTAGATGTATACGGACGAAGCCACGGATAGCAAAGACACCCAAAGGCACGAAGACTAAGAATATCTGGCAGCTGTTTGAACAAGACAGTGAAAGGTGAGAGATTATTTAGAAGAGGTGTGGGAGTGCGATTAATAAGATAGCAGGCGGTGTCAAATGCAAGAGGCCAGTATTTGAGGGGAATTTGGGCATGATGCAACATGGCAAGACCGTTGTTAACTATGTGACGGTGCTTGCGTTCAGCACACCCATTCTGCTCAGGAGTATGAGGACACGAGGATCTATGAGTAATACCATGAGTTGCAAGATAAGATGTGAGGGCTTGATATTCTCTACCCCAGTCAGATTGAAAATTTTTAATGGGAAGGCCAAAATATTTTTCAACAAGCTGACGGAATTGAGTGAACACGCTTATAAGCTTAGACTTATAGCGAAGAAAATATATCCAGGTGAACTTACTGTAATGATCATAAAACAAAACATAATACGATTGTTGATCATAAGAACGAACAGGAGCGGGGCCCCAAAGATCACTACAAATAAGTTCTAAAGGAGCAGATGCACGATAAGCGGAAGTTGGAAATGGAAGTTTATGAATCTTACTAAGTGAACATCCATGACATAAAGTAGAAGATTCGGGGGAGTATTTGATTTGATGAGAAGACAAAAGGTGGCGAACAACTCGCAAATTTGCATGACCAAGACGCTGATGCCAGAGATCGAGAGAAGCAACAAAAGCACGAGGAGAAGAACGTTGGTTGAGGTGAAGCGGAAGAGAATAAAGACCATCAACCGTAGAGCCTCGATATAATTCATGCTTCGTGTGACGGTCCTTAATAACAAAATAAGAGTCAAAAAATTCAATGGATATGGGGTTAGAACGAGTAAGAGAACTAATGGAAAGAAGATTTAGAGGGGCATTTTTTACTCGAAGTATATTATCAAGAGACAGTGAATAATTAGACACACGAGCGGTAGAAGAGCTAGAATGAGAGATGGGAAGAGAGTTACCATTGCCAAACGTGACTTGATCGGTTCCATTATACTCAGAATGGTGAGCTAGATTATCCAAGTCGGAGGTGAGATGATGATTGGCTCCAGAGTCGAGAAGCCATTGTTGAGAGGAGTGAATAGGCTGAGATGATTGGGCTAGGTACGAAGCTGGGTTAGAAGAATACGTGGGGATTTGATATTTGGGGCTTGGACAATTGGGCCGGATATGACCTTTTCCCCCACAATTATGGCAGACCACAACAGATGGGCCGGAGGGTCCAGAACCAAGAACTCCTGCAGACATATTTTTATGAGATGGATTAGAATGAACATGGAATTGGGCCGATGGAGGAGCCCGTAGGTTGGTGAAGTTGGTGGACTGACGGGCCGACTGGCCACGTCCTCTCCCTCTTGAAAACCTGCCGCCACGACCACGGAATCGGCCAGAGAAGAAGGCTGACGGAGGAGCAGCACCACCAGCGGAGGTGAGGGACTGAAATCGGCGGAGTTGAAGTTCTTCGCTGATGAGGAGGCTGCTGAGGTCTTCAAACGAAATCGGCTCCAACTTTGCCTCCAAATTGCGAGTAAACGGCCGGAAATCTTCATCAAGACCGTCAAGGATCGCAGTGACAAGTTCAGCTTCTGTAATTGGGGCGCCAAGCGCGGCAAGTTGATCGAAGATGGCTTTGGCGCGTTGGAGATAGGGATGGCAAAAATATCTGTAACCGTGGATATCCACCCGAATCCGGCCTAATCGGGTAGGGTAAAACCCGAACCCGAAGGACATTTAGTGGGTACGGGTAAAACCCGAACCCGAATATTGCGGGTAATGGGTGGGCATGGGTTTCTAACTATCCAACCCGTACCCGCCCGATTATACGCATGCATGTGTATTTTCTCTAGAAATAATTATTATTTTTCTCTAACATATTTTATATTCAGCATATAAATATAATATTTTCATGAAATTGTGTTGTTTTAGTTAATTTTCTTCATTCTAGTGAACTATTGTCGTATTTTTCCTCTTACGTAATGTGAGAATACGTGTGAATGTTAACATATTAGTTGGAGTTATGAAGATAAATTATTATCCATGGATAACCGTGGATACCCGAAACCCGAACGGGTATGGACATGGTTTTAATTTTCTACCCGTTTCACATGTGGGTATGGGTATGGGTAAAACCCGAACTACTTTGGATAGGGTAACGGATATGCACTATCCGTCCCCGACCCGACCCATTGCCATCCCTAGTTGGAGATATTCATGGGCTGAATCCTCACCACGAGATATGTGATTGAGATTTCTCCGGAGCTGCCCAATGATGACTGGCGACCCGGAAGCATAAATTCGAGCCAGAGAATCCCAGGCCGCACGAGCAGTCTGCTTATTGATGATGGTTGGCATGACCGCCTCAGACAAAGAGAGGGTAATCCAGGTAAGAACCAATTGATCTCTTTCATACCATTCAGTATAGTCCGGATTTGGCTGAGCGTCAATGGTGAGCGGTGGAGCCGTAGAAGTGCCGTCGATGTGGCCGATCAAGCGATGGCAGCGTAGGAGAGGCTGTAGTTGTGCCTTCCAAAGCAGATAATTGGTTGGGGTGAGTCTCACTGTCAGTTGAGGGTTGGAAGGAAGAGACAGACGAGGAGGTGTGAGGGGCTGTAGAGAGGCCGAGGGGGTGGAGGTTGTGGAAGAAGTTGACATTATAGAAGCAGAAGAGTGGAAGGAGAAGCAGAAGCAGAAGATTGGGGGAGTGGTGAACTCGTCAGAGTATACTAAGCTCTGATACCATGAAAGAATACAATGAAAGTGTACTTCTTCTCATATTCAACATCATTACAGGGCTTTGCCATTTATAGATAGCTAACATAGAGCTGTACAGATTTGAGATAGGATTTGCATAAATATGATAATAAATGTGATGGCAGGTGTATTATCTGGAAGAGATTTGAGACTTGAATGTAGGAGTGAACTCCAAATAGTGTTTGCCTGTTGCTGTTCCATTAGTATCATTGATTCATTATACAAATGCTTCACTAGTGACTGTTGAGGTAGGTTTGTTTGCATGCGAAGTTTGATTCTATGCTTGGTTTTTTGCTTTCACAGAACCAAAAGTTTAAAATGGATGATACATTTTCAAAGTTTAACCGATTGAGTGCCAAGGGAGGGAGGGTTTGATGACCTTAAAGAGGCCCTTACTCTATTGAATAAAGGCAACATGTATACAACTCTCCTAGGAGTAGTTCATAACAGATGACTACTTCTGACTCACCAAAACTACAACCCCAATCAAAGACCAAGTGGAACTAATGACAAGGACGCGATATAATAGTAAGTTTTAATTGTCAGCTCAACGTCTCTAGATGTACTACTACTCATTTTTAGTCTTTTATCCAGTAAATAGATTCAAAAGACGACAATTACACTTAAGAAAGCAATAAAAAATTGACTCGAGTTTCAGGTATCAAAAAGATGACCCACTTATTGATTCTCCCTAATCTCTAACCAGATTAATGAGCATTGATTCCCTAATTTGTTTCGTTCAATATTTATACTACGGAGAATTCTTAATTAGCCTTGAATCTTGATTAAAACATACATTGTCCTCTTGAATAGAATGCTTAGTGGGACAATATCCTCAACTGAGATAGAATACCAAGGCAATGCAAATTAGATTCCCTCTACCAAGGCAATGCAAATATATTTGTATGGCCTAAACTTTGACCATAATAAACATTATGACCAATTTTTTCTATCTATAACATACTGTACCAAACTATACATCAAAGTAACGACATTGGGCAAACCCGATGTATGACCGTTATCTTGGACGGTTAAACACGTTGACTAATGGTCAACCCTCTACGTCACTGCCCGCTCAACATTAACTTAGGGGTCGTTTGGAGGTTGAGATTTGAAGTGAGGTATTTAGCAAATACATGTAATGATAAGATTAAGTCGTTTTTTTGGTTCACTTTGAGTTAGAATGCATGCATTACCTTTTTGTTGGGCCCACCTACAATCACTCAAAATGAATGATTATAAATCTCTACTAAAAGGTGAGATTGTTAATGAGGGATTGTCTACCATACTTTTTGTTTCATCATTGCTCTTCCAAACAAAGTATTTCCTAATACATGCATTGAATCAATACATCAAATGATAATACACTAATTGACCTAATACATCAATTTGAAGAATCACAATTTCCAAACGACCCCTTAATTAAAAAATTCTCAATTTTCACAAATTCCAAAATTTCAAATGTCCGTCGGCAGAGTTGACGGAGCGGAGGGAGACCACAAGCGTGGTCGACGAGGAGATCGACAAAATCGCCGCCAGCGGTAGATCCGCCTTTGTTGCAGACCAGGAAAGAAGAAGATAGAGATTTCAAGATTGGGATGGTTATGTTTAATTTTTGTTTTAATTAAGAGTAGAGTTTGACTGGTCTGTAGAGGATTATGTTTTATTTGGGGTTGGGGTTTGGTAGCAGATGAGAGAGCTCTCTATCGAAGAAGAGGTTGGAGGAGTAGACGGAGGAGCCGTTGGTGGGGAGTTGTATTTCATTGTTTTTATAATTTTTGTTTTAATTAATTGTCATAATTCAAAAAAATCAAAATTAGAAAATATGTGTAAATTGTGAATATTTTAATAATGATCGGACGATGGCGTGGCATGTTGACAATTAGTCAACGCATTCGACAATACAAGATAACAGTCAAACATCGGGTTTGACCAATGTCGTTATTTTGATGTATAGTTTGGACGAGAATATTATAGATCGAAAAGATTGATAAGGATGTTTATCATAATCGAAGTTCAGGTCATACAATATATTAACCCATTTAAAAAAGTTAAATGTGCAAAAAATGTTTTTTTGCAAAAATGTGCATTTATTTCAATTTAACACAAGTTTTCTCGTTACAAAGTTACTGACAAAGTGAGTAATGGTAGATTCGGATGATCTTCGCGTGACAATACGAATAGCCGATTATCTCAGTTTTGCTCAAAATCACCTGGATCCGGTCTATTGCGGGTAGGGCTGCAAATGAGCCAAGCTGCTCGCGAGCAACTCGGTGTTCGAATCGGGAAAAAATCGTTCGACACTCGACTCGTTATTTAACAAGCCGGCTCGCGAGCCAACTCGTTAGTTAACGAGCCAAGCTTGAGCTAGACCATGCTCAGCTTGATAAGCTCGCGAGCTAGCTTGATTCGGTGGCTTGTCGAGCTAAGCTCGCGAGCTGCCTTGTTTTGAGCTTGTGGAAGGATGAATTACTCTTTTAAACATGAACATTGTCTTCTAATACAGATGTGTATGAAATTTAGATGTTATTTATAGTTTTTAGTGTTCTTTCTATCTTTTAAATTCTTATGTTTATACATTTTTCAAGCAAAAATGATTTTAAATCGAGCTCATCTTGAACTGAGCTTATACTCAGCTTGACAAGCTATATTAATGAGCATTTATCGAGCTCTACCGAGTCGAGCTCGAGCTAGATTATTTTTATTCAAGCCGAGCTCGAGCTAGATTATCAAAATTTGAGTTCGAGTCGAGCTCGAGCAGAAAAATTAATAAAAGAGTTTAGCTCAAGCTAAGTAAAAACTCGACTCGACTCGACTCGTTTGCAGTCTCAGGGGTTTTTCTCAAATTTGACGCGGTCGGGTATATGCTGGCCCAGTCTTTTTTTGCCGGCCTAATAAAATTAGGGTTGCTGGGTTTTAGAACTGAAGGGTTTTGCAGAGATAAACGCCACCTCCACTGCTTCTACTCATTTTCCCGCCCCGCTCCGTCGTCCATCGATTCCGGCTGGCTGCTCTGTATCTTCTCTTCCATCTCCTCTCTGGTAGTAGCTAATGGGGGTTTCTATTCCTCCTAAAGAGGCTGACCGCCTCAAGAACATTGTCGTATGTCGCCCGTGCTTTCATCCCTCACATGTCCAGACTAGTTTCTCGCAAGTAAGATCACGATGAACTCTGTTTTTGTTTTCCCGCAGGACGAGAATGGCGGCAGTAGTGATGAATTTGACAGTGAAGGAGAAGCAAGCGAAGGGTCAGAGGTAAGTGAAGTAGCTACTGAAGAGGATGGTGGTTCTTCGGGCGATGAGGTATGCTCCACAATGTTGTTCCTTTTTCTCTGCTTGAGCTTAGAATCTGTTCTCGGGTTTGAAATGATTTTAAGAGTTGATCATTTGCAGGATGCCAGTACCAGCGATGGTAGTGGATTGGTTGATGATGAAGATGAAAACGAAGGCTCTGAAGAAGGGGCTGACGCGAATGGTTCTTCTTCTGATGACGAGGTGGGTGCTATGCCTTTTGGCTTACCTTTAGCTGAACTTCGGTTTTTACCCGTGGAGTTAGTCTGGGGGTAATGGAAAGTTTATTCAATTGTAGAAGGCCTCTGCAAGCGTTGATGATGGACTGGAAAGTGGAGAAGGAAGTGGAGACTCCGACTCTGAACGCAGTGAAGTCGCTGAAGAGAGTGATTCTTCGGAGGATGAGGTGCATTACGTTTCTCCTAACTCGTTTCTGCTCTTAATCTCCCTAATGCACACACCTCTCCTGTGTTTGTCTGCGAAGTGGCTCTTTAATGTTCCTTTTCTTTGTTATTTGTTCCGAGTAGGTAGCTCCCCGAAATACTATTGGAGATGTTCCCTTGGAGTGGTACAAGGATGAGCAACATATTGGATATGACATTAAAGGGAAGAAGATAACTAAAAAGGAAAGACAAGACAAATTGGACTCATTCCTTGCTAGTGTTGATGACTCAAAAAATTGGTAAGTTTCCCTATTTTATGCGTTGATCTCGTTGAGACACATTCCGAGTAATAGATTCATCGTTTTCATGTCATCCTTGAAGTTTAAGCATAGACCGACTGGTTTAAGATATATTTACTTGGCATTACAGGAGGTGCGCTCCCTCCTGTCCCTAAAAAAGATATATTCACTTGGCAGCTCTGATTTTGGTTGATGCATGCCACTCTTCTTTTGCCAGCCTAGGGTTCTTTCTTTCAAGAGTGCAAAATGATTGCTGGTGTTCCATTTCATTGGATCTTTACTTCATTAGGCAATGGAAGTTGGAATTTCTGAATGTGTATACTTCATACTAATTATGGGATTAGACTGCATTTGTTAGTTTCTGTTTGTTGTCTGATTTAGATGCAAGCTGTGCCAAGTTACTAGAGATAGAAGGGAAACTCGACAGAGGGCCTGATAATTTGAATGGAGTTACTGATTTATCTGTACAGTCATTTTACACTATGTTAAATTGTGACATCCAGGCGTAAGATTTATGACGACTACAATGACGAGGATGTGGAACTGACCAAGGCAGAAGCAAAAATGATCAGTAGATTGCTCAATGGGAAGGCACCACATGCCGATTTTGATCCATATGCAGTAAGCATCAGTCTTATATCTTTGCTCATTGGTGCCATCTATCTATCTGTTGTTTGCTTGTAATAGATACACAATATTCAAAGTCTGAATAAGTTATGTTTTGTTTGTCCAGCCGTATGTTGACTGGTTCAAATGGGATGATGCTATACATCCGTTGTCAAATGCACCAGAGCCAAAGAGAAGGTTCATTCCCTCAAAATGGGAAGCTAAGAAGGTATTTTTTACGGTTCAAGCTCTTTATAAGAACTCCAGACTGGACTTGAGATCAATGAATTCAATTGGAACTTGCAATACCAACTTTACTTGAATGATTTGCTGTTCTAGCATGGCATTATTATACACTCCTGCTTGTGCTCTCTAGGTTGTCAAATATGTCAGGGCTATTCGTAAAGGGTTGATAAAGTTTGAGAAGCCAAAAGAAGAACCGCGTTTCTACATGTTGTGGGGGGATGATTCAGGTGCTGCAGATAAGACTAACCATTTGTCTTACATACCTGCCCCAAAGCCAAAGTTACCAGGTATGAATTCGCCCATCCTGAAGGTTTTGTTTCCTTGAATTATGTGTATATCCAGTGAGGTTGACTGTTTATTTTTAGGCCATGAGGAATCCTACAATCCTTCTTTAGAGTACATTCCAACGCAGGAGGAAATTAATTCTTATCAGCTTATGTATGAAGAAGACAGACCTAAATTTATACCTAAAAGGTAAATGAAGCTTGTGCTTTGACTGGCATATTTTGTTTTCGACCAAAGCTATTGCTAACCCTAAACGATATTTTTAAAATTTTGATCTTTCCCAGATTCACGTCTATGAGAAGCATTCCAGCGTATGAGGATGCTGTAAAAGACTCGTTTGAGCGCTGTTTGGACTTATATCTCTGCCCTAGAGTCCGAAAGAAACGTGTAAGTGAACTTGACATTGATGTTTCTCTACTGAGTATGACGTGTAGTCTATTCTATTTATACATCATCCTCCTTATTTCAGATTAATATAGATCCCGAGTCTTTGAAACCTAAGCTTCCTAGTCGAAAGGATCTGAAGCCTTACCCATCCACGTGCTACATGGAGTATATAGGTCATAAGGGTCCTGTTGTGTCGATTTCAACTGAATTTTCAGGAGAATGGATTGCATCAGGTATGGATGTCTACTACAGATGGTTACTGTAATCACATATATTTCGGTCCCATATATCTGATTCATGTTATTATTTCCTTTTAAGGTTCTACGGATGGGACTGTACGGATTTGGGAGGTTGAGTCTGGTAGATGCCGCAAAGTCTGGGAGTTTGATGAAGCTGTGCAGTATGTAGCATGGAATCCGATGCCTGAGTTTCCTATATTGGCAATCTCTGTGTAAGGCTGATTGATTATCTGTGTTTATTGGAATTTCGTATTGTTCGTGCATTTTAATCAACTACATAATGTTCTATAGGGGGCAGGATGCATATCTCTTGAACACTGGTCTAGGAAATGAAGAGACACAAAGAAAAGTCGGGGAACTTCTGCATGTTGAGGCAGCTAAAGTCTCGGATGATTCGAGTTAGTATGGACTCAGTATTTTACCCTGCCATACTAAACTGGGTGGTCCCAATTTGATCTTTATATTTGCTTGCATAGATAATTCGATATGTAGCTGGAGCCAAGATGATGAACATGGAGGAATCAGGTTGAGACATGCAAAGGTAAATCACCTTTTGTTTATCTTAAATCTTCTGCTTATTTCAGTGTCCATATTGCTTTCTCCTGTGTACTGGACAAGATTCAATTCCTAATTTCTGAGTGGCAGTTCTGAACTGGGGCATAAATATTGAAGTTACATTTTGAATCAATGTTTCAGATTAACAGATTCCTAATTTCTGGAATTTTTAATCTAGAGTGGAACCTCAGTTAACTTCTGGTTTCATGATAATGCGGAAGAAGTCATTCAGCTGATTGTTTTTGGTACTTCACCTCATTTTCTCTTTCTCTTGTTATTTCAGACCGTATCTTCTGTGGAATGGCATCGGAAAGGGGACTATTTCTCAACTATAATGCCAGCAGATATCCTTTTCTTGCTATTGTTTATTCTTGCTATTTTTAAACTGCATGCTTTTCTGCTTTCCTATCTTGGTCTTTGGCCTTTGTCTATGCAAGCCTGTTGCTGCTTAGATTTCCATATGAATGAGATATTCATGTCATATCATTTCAAGATCTGATTTAGAATGGCGTCTTATATTTGTTTTACCATTGTTGTTTTCTCGCAATAGGGTCACCACCTATATTAAGTCCCATGGTCTTATGGCCCGAGTTCATTATCATGAAAATAATAGATGGTTTGATGTGTATCTCTTCCGCCCGAACCCTAGGAAACAACTAGCCCACTTTTACTATTTCTTTCTTTCATTTGCAGTTGCTTGAACTAGGTGAAGTGTCTTGTCTGTCTTGATGACAACCAAGAAAACATGTTTGCGAATTGCTAAAGCGTAAAACTTAGTTCTTTTAAGACAGAGGAATTTACATCTACATGGTAGTATGTTGCCTTGACTTGGTCATCACGTGAATCGAAATCAGTTATGATACACCAGCTCTCAAAGAAGCTTACACAAAGGCTACCATTTAAGCTGAAAGGAATTGCAGTGTCATCAGTGTTTCATCCTACGCGTTCCATATTCTTCGCTGTCACAAAGAAGAATGTAAGAGTATATGATCTGCTGAAGCAGAAATTGATTAAGAAGCTTGAGACTGGTCTCCGTGAAGTCTCATCTATTGCAATTCATCCTGGTGGTATGATTCTGCTTCGTAGATCTGGACATCACTGTGTTATCTTGTTTTGCTGTATCTCATATCACCATGTTAAAATGTATCATGCAGGTGATAATGTGATTTTAGGAAGCAGAGAAGGAAAGCTATGTTGGTTTGACATGGACCTGTCATCTAAACCTTACAAGATTCTCAAGTATGTGCCAATTGTCGTTCCATATTCTGAACCTTCTTGTGTGGCACATGCATCCTTTTTGATAAATTTCTTTCTAAATTCTGGTTGTGATATTTACAAGCAGTGTGTTCAGCACTCACCAGTTGGGCGCCAATTGGTTGGCACCTGTTGATTTGATAATCAACTTCTTCAGTCAAATACACACTTTTAATGCCCAACTTCTACAGCTAAACTCCATTTTTTGGTTAGGTTTGGACCCATATGGCCTTGTCTACTCTACATGTCCAATTCTATTGCTAACCCTTTCTCTTTTGCAAACTTGGAAACCTCCTGCAGTCATTTGTTCGTGTTAACAACTTCCGCTTCTACTTTTTGTTGTGTTAACAACTTCTCCAATTTGAATCAAATAAATGTCCCCATTATTTAATTGGATTCTTTTGTTATGTAGTTTCCCATGCTGGGATCTGTTTCAATGTTGGTGGCCGGGTCTCTGATGCATTGCTGTCTTATGTCAGGTCTCATTCAAAGGACGTTACGAATGTTGCATTCCATCGTTCGTACCCACTATTTGCATCATCTTCTGATGATGGCACTGCATATGTCTTCCATGGGATGGTGTACTCGGATCTTAATCAGAATCCTCTGATTGTTCCATTGGAAATTCTTCGTGGGCATACAACCTTTAATGGAAGAGGTTGGTACCTTTCCCCTTCAGTGTTGTACTTAGAGCTGCAGTCAATTAAGATAGAAATTTGTGTCTGTTGATTGAAGTTCTGGGTTGATGCATATTACTGCTCATAAATTTCTTTTGGATTCCGCTTGATGATTGCAATGGAAGTGCATAGAAGTGAAAAACAAGGTCTTTTTCTATACAAGACTAAGTACGAGACTCGACTTGGTAATGTAATGTATTTCTATTAGGACCATAAAACTCAAGAACTTTCAGCTGCGCAGTTGTTTGCAATGAATTATAATGTAGGTTCTGATATCTAATTAGTCATGTATTATTAGAACCAAAAACCTCATCAGCTTTGGTGTATGATAACGCTGGATCGAGAAAGAGCAGTTCTGCATCCCATTACCTATTGGTTAATTCTGTTTGTTTGTCTTGCTCTCGTAATACTGCAGGAGTAATGGATTGCAAATTCCATCCACGACAACCTTGGCTGTTCACTGCCGGTGCCGATTCATCGATCAAGTTGTATTGCCATAATTAGGTGCTGCTGTTGTGGAAGAAATCATCACAAGGGCAGAAGCTGTGTATTTGAGAGTCCCTACGGATTCCAGTTCCTGATGAGTAGGCTCCAGGTCAAACAATTTTTGTTAATGGATTGCAAATTTCATCCTCTGCCAGAGCTGGAGTGCACCCTATTCTTTCTCCTTAGGGTTGTCACTAACTATGGAGAATTGTATTTTGATCTAGATGCTTTCACGCATGGATCTATAGTTTTGTTGTCTTTCATATTGTCCCCTGGAAATTCAGTCAAAATGGACATCAGAGCTGTAAGTGTGCCTGTGGCTGTATATGTATCAAAACGAAGCAGAATTTGCAAGGAGAAATAGGCCTAATTTTCTTGTTGCATCATTGGGAACATGAAGATGAGAAAACAGAACCAAACAACAATTGCAACATACATAAGAAAACCCAAATTTTCTTGGAAACGCCTCAATGCTGTAGCTTAAGACTGTTCCAATCGAGCCTTAGTTAGTTAATATACTTCGGCAATAAGAAGCTGCTTCCAGGTTGGAAGGGGGTCTGTCATTTTTTGGGTTCTGCCCTTGACTTCTATGCTCTGCTGCCGCTGTTCTGTTGGGTTCTGTGTTTATTATTTATTTCCAGATTCAAGTCGCAACTTCGAGTATTTCTATAAATTCCACCATTCTCTGAGGCCTGAGCTTTGTATGTTATTTAAAAAACGAAAATTTAGTACATGATAAGTGGACGTGCCGGAGTGGTTATCGGGCATGACTAGAAATCATGTGGGCTTTGCCCGCGCAGGTTCGAATCCTGCCGTCCACGATTCTATTTTATTTTTAATTCCATTTAAGCCCTTAAAAAAGGGTAAAGTTTATCTCCCTCTTGTTGCTGCCGCAAGTGCCTAACGTGGCAGATACTAAAGAAACAGAAAGCTGGAGTTTTAGGCAGAGACTTGGTCTTCAAGTCAAATCGATGCTTGCTTCACTCGTAGCAGAAACGTCATCTGTCACAAACTTGAGGTATTGACAATACAGCAGGTTAATAATGGAGGTTGGTACTAAAGCGCCCACTACGAAAGCCATTTTGGAAGAACATAACAAGTTAAAGACTCAGCTTTTAGTTTATGTATCTATAATGACAAACTTGGTTTCATGTTCTTCACATTTTCCCTTCCAGTTGTCACGGAAGGTAAAATACATACTAGAAGTACATAATAACAAGTTAAAGTTGTATTTTTCCCCATTAACAGTATTTGGGTTCAGTGTACTACAGAGAACCAGTGCAACCACAATTCATGAATTCTGGTACACAGACAGATAAAGCATCAGCTACTTGTTGAAGAGTGGACCTATTACCTCTTCATACTGATAGCCATTCACCACAACTGAAACACTATCATGAGTGTGCAAATCTTTTGCACATCACTTATGCAGCTGGCTCCACTGATTGTTTCAGCTTCTGCTCAACTTAATCAGAGGAGCCAAAGCCAGAATGTTTGTACTGAAATAACAAATCCACACGATTCAGCTGCACCCAAATACCGGCCATCTCAGAATCCATAAGTTCCATCCTCTTGCAAACTCATATCATGAACTTCAGAGCCTGAACTCCTGGAATTCACCCCAGCTCGATTCATGGTCCTACGACCATTGTCATGCTGAATCCTACTACTGGTCCTGATGTCCCTTCTGCTAGACAAAGTCCTTCCTTTGTGCTTTATCTGGGATTGGAAACTCCGATCATAAATCTCAGAGCCCGAACTCCTGGTATTCTGGAAACCTCGAGTATCACCATCACTATTGTTCTGAATGCTTCTAGTCCTGCTCTTACTTGTCCTTGATACAGTGCTTCCTCTATGCTTTACCTGGGATTGGAAATTCGCATCATAAGTTTCAGAGTCCATATTTCTGCCACTCCTGAAACCTCGAGTCTCACCATCGCTACTGTTATGGATCCTACTAGTCCTGCCCAAACTTCTGCTTGACAAAGTCCTTCCACTGTTATTTATCTGGAATTGAAAGCTCGAATCATTAATGTCAGAGTCAGGATTCCTGCCATTCCTGAAACCTCGAGCCTCGCCTTCACCATTGTCCTGAATCCTACTACTACTAGTCCTGCTCTTGCTTGTGTTAGACAGATTCCTTCCTGGCAACTTCCTGTGAAACCGACCTTGACTCGAATCCAATTCCCCACTAGCATTCCCAAACCTCCCACTCCCTCTATTCCTCACTTCACCGCCATTTCTCCTCCCACCAACACTCTTGTAATTGTTCAAGCCCGAGTTTCCACTAGAATACTGCGAGCTGTCATCTTCCAAGTCAGAAGAGTTCTGGGTTTTAAACCTCCTTCTACCTCTTTGCATCCCTCCATATCTCCCAACACCGTTCTCCCCTGCCGTACCCGGCCAATCACCCAATTCCTCATTCTCCAACTCCTCATCGTCAACCCCAGCGACCTTCCCGTAGGGCTTCACGCTATGAACAACCCCTTTAGGGAAAAACCTAGCGGAAGGGATGCCGCCGTCGGGGGTCTTGAACAACTGGGGGCCATCTCTCTCCGTCCACAAATCGAACCCACCGGGCTTCTGAAACCTATCGGCCAAAACCTTCACCTGCTCGTCCGCGCCCACGGAGAAGAGAGTGGGCGCCTTGTTGACAACCTCCCATGGGCGCTCCAGCTCGGCCACCGCCGCCTTGAGCTCGGCTCGCTTCCGCATCTCGTAGATCTGCCTCTCGCGGCTCAGGCGAGCCTTGAGGAGCTGCTTGGATTTCTTGGCCTGCATCCGCTTCCACTGCCACCGCGATACTCCGCCTGGGTAGGTTCGTGGGCCGCCGCCCATTCGGATTACGGTGGATTTCCTAGGGACGGGTTTGGGTTGGATGGAGAGGTGGGAGAATTTGGAGAGGAAGAGAGGGCTTTCGGATGCTAGGGTTTTGGAGAAGGAGAGATGGGGTGGGAGGATTGACATCGCCATCGGCTGTGGATTAGCGGAGACACCACCGGAACAGAATACCAATTTCCCGACGACGGCAGTAGTACTAGCAGAGGAAAAGAATGGGTGGTCCGTCGCTCGACAATCGATCACATTTAGTTATCCGTTATAGGAGTACTATTTTGATATTTTCCAAGAGGGATGGGGAGGCGAGAAAATAAGAGGCGAGAAAAATTGTTGTTTTACGAGAAAAAATGAAGGAAAAGTAGGACTGTAGGAGTGACAGTTTACTAATAAAATAAATAAACTGATTTTATTAATGATGTGCTACCAATGAATATCTTTTAATAATTTTATTTCCGTTTAAACTTTTAAAGCTAAATCTTTTGCTACTTTGAGTTTGTCAAGAACCAGTTGATTCTAATAATTCGAGTTGTTGGGAGATGTTAAATCGTGAATCATATACCACTCACTAACACACTCACTCAAACGAAAGTCAATCAACTCATAAGGGCTTTCGTTTGCACATGTCCTGAATACGATAAACTTCAAAAATGGGGTCATCGGAATTCAAACACAAGATCTCTCGGTCACAACAGGATCTGATACCATGTCACGAACCGGTTGATCCTAATAACTCGAGTTGTTGGGAGAGATTCAATCGTGTATTATATACCACTCACTAATAGCGGTTATGATGATTACTCTGAAGTAGTAGACACTAGACACCATGACTACAAAGAGAAATTGGGCATGAAATCTGGTTATCGGAAGTGTTGTAGGTTCGGTAATCCATATTCCATGCTGTCATTTCTGTTCCTCTTCTGGTTTTTTCGATACTCCACACAACAGTTTTGTTCCTTTTTTGGTTTTTTACCTTTTAGTTGTACTTTGCATGAAAGTTCAATAGAATCAGGTTGTTTGTATGAGTCATTTATAAAACGAGTCATTTGCTTAAATGTAGGCATTTGAAAAATGTAGACAATAAGATGCAAAAGCAAGCCTAAATTATGCCTTGATGCTAACAATACAACATGCACAAAAGGGTATGAAGGCTAGGGAATTTAACAAACACTTGGTGTGTATATCATTCAAAAGCCAAAACATGAAAACTTTTTCCATCTAGGCATCCACAAGCCATCATACACCTCAAACCGCATTCATCCATTCATCATTCAACTAATCACTTGCCTAATTCAATCATATAATGACAAAAGTACAATTCTCCTCACTTAAGTACCCTAGAACCATTTTTCCCAAATTGACAAGGTAGAGGCATTTACACACCTAGAAACATAAGTAAGCACATTGGGGAAGGTGAGGAGAAGGCCAAAACATTAACCTGAGGAGGTTGCTGGAGGCTCGCCGGAGCCTCGACATTGGTGGAACAATGGTAACAGATCACCGCGAGATTGGCACCGAAGGAGCTCCTAGGGGATATGATCGTGGGCGTGAGCTTGTTTTTTGATTTTGGGTGGTTAGAAGTCGATGAAAACGTCTAACAATCGTTAGAGGATGTTTTGCGGTGACTTTTCAGAGAATTGAGACCACCTGGGCAATGTTCAGGGCTAGACGGAGTTCACAGCTTTACATACTCGCCCCATGCAGAAGTCACTGTTTTGTGTTGAAAGTCACGACCAAACTGTGAGATCGATAACAAATCGTGAGTCCGATGCAAAACGATGCACATTGAGTCAAAAGTCATGGGTTCAACTTGACACTCACACACATATCTCTCAAACACACGACAACACAAGAGAGAAATAGTAAAAAGAAAAACAAACCTATGTTGGGTTGTTTCCCAACAAGTGCTACTTTTTACGTTATTAGGTAGACGCAATTGGTGACTCATCTTGATTTGTAGCAACATGCCTCTAAGATTGGATCCACCACACTCTTAGGACACACCATTACCCTGACACTTTTCAACTTTTCCTTCATCGAGCCAACCTTCCTTCTCCTTTCCTCTTTCCTTCCTATGGGGCATCTTTGGGATCATCATTTTAGTTCGCCATACCCTTTTGGTCTTCACCTTAGCTACCATGGGAGGCTCCACAACTTGTTTCACATTACAAGAAACAAACACATGATTTTTCCACCAAATGGGTCAAAGAATTGACCGAGGTGGACTTGCCCTTCAAAGGCTGAGGGTTCTCATTCACCTTAATTACCTTGGTCAACATGAACATTCAAGGGTACATCTTTCACATTATTACCCACGAATAAGGTGATCCTCTCATCATCTTCTTTCAATATCAATGTACTCTCATCGACATCTATCAAAGCCTTGGTAATGGCTAGGAATGGTCGCCCAAGTATAAGTGGGAATTCTATGTCCTCGTTAATATCAAGGATCACAAAATCGGTACAAAAGTAGAAGTTTCCCACTTGTACTAGAAGATTTTCTGCTATGCACTTAGTTTGAACCACATACCTAGCCGCTAAATGCACACACATAATTGTATATGTCAATTCACCTAAGCCTAACTTCATGTAAAATGTATCTGGCATGACATTTATGCTCACTCCTAAATCCTCTAAGGACTTCTCTACAAGAAATGAGCCTAATTGAAAAGGGATAGTGAAAGTCCTTGGGTCTCGTTGCTTTTGAGGGATCTTGCTTTGGAGGATGGCAGAGCATTCCTCGCTTAGCTCCACCATGGAGATGTCGGTGAGCTTCCTTTTCTTCTTGAGAACATCCTTCATGAAATTGGCATACTTCGACATTTGGGCCTAAGCATCCAAGAAAGGCACGATCACATTGAGCTTCTTGAGGACATCCATAAACTTGCGGAACTCGACTTTAAGTTGGACTTTCTGCATCCTTGTAGGATAAGGAAGGGGAGGCTTGTACTTAGCCACGGGAAGTGGCGTCGACAATTTTTTCCTAGCCTCTTCCTCCTTATCCTCATTGGAATCTTCTTAATCTTGAATTGGTGGAGGGAGCTCCACCTCTAAATTCTTCTTTGGAGGAACATCTTGGGTCACCTTGCTGCTTCGGAGGAAGTTTGCGTACAATCACGCCCTTTGGTCTTTGGGGTTGGATATTGTTTGAGCTGGAAGCTCCCCTTTCACTCTCTCTGTAAGTATCTTGGCAAGGTTCGTGGTTCGCGTCTCCAAGTTTCGGAGGCAAGCTTGATGACCCTCAAACCAGTCTCAAGAGAAACAAACTTGTTGATAGATACCTCCATAAAATTCTCGATAAGATCAAATTTCTTCATGGTTGTGCTCAATAAGGCATTGACAAGGTTCGCAAGCTTTGAAAGCTTGTCCAGTTGTTTTTTTGTTGGAAACCTTGTCCGCCTTGTGGTTGGAATGATTGAACCTTGTCCGCTTTGAAGGCCATTAGACCGTTAATCCTGAACCCATTTGCTTGATCGGACCAACGACGTAAACCGGCTTGGCAACCTTGGTTTAGGTGTATTTTCGGGTAGTGGTTGTTGGTAATGCCATTTACGTTGACCTACTTTGGATCGGCTAAAGTTTTGTGACAGTTCATTTGGTGTATTGGGTGGTCTCTGCTACGTGAGTTGGGGCAATCCCATTGACTTGGGAAATGTAATACCATTTTAAAACGATCACCAATTCCAGTTATCAGCATGAGCTGCTAGTTGCTTGCTGTACCGTCCAGCCTTGGATGCAATTCTTAGAGCGGGCAAATTCATAACTAAACTCAAAGCTTCCAGAGAGGCCGCAAAAGCAGAATTTGACTTGAAGAAGAGGGTGAGAATAGTCCTAAAAGCCCAAGCCACCCACCCACCGTACGTGCAACTTCCCCACGCCAAACTAGCTAGCCCACTTGGAGAGAGAGAATCATTTTCCCTTCTGTTGATATGACTTGAATCGGACTATCAGCCGCTACGATTAGAAGTCACGGGGTCTGTAACCGTTTCCTTTACGAGATTGGATTAGGTTTTAGACCCATTTCCTTTGTAATCTGTATCTCCTCGAAGTATAGTGAAAACTGGCTCTCTCTCCTGTCCGTGGACTTAGCTAACACACATTGTGTTAGTGAACCACGTAAATCATGTGTAGTGTGCTTTCTGTTTTCGTTTTCCTGCTTTGTCGAATCCTCCGATTTCCAGATCCGTAGCAGCGCAGTTATAACACCTTCCCAATAATCTATATCTGACAAATAGCTGGCAACCAGCCAACCGTGCAAGCTGCAGCAGGCAGTGGATCTCCAGCGAGCAATCAGAGAGAGAGAGAGAGAGGCAGTGAAGGTATTTGTATTTTTTGGGAACAGGAACCTGACACTCTCCTTCTTTCTCTAATTATCACTCAATTCATCATATTTAAAAACAAAGATCCAAACAGAGTCACATACCCTTGTCTGCCTGCCCGCAACGCAACCACCGCAGATGTAGAAAAAAAATATTTAGCTAGGTATCTCAATTCTTGTTGTTTTTTACGTTTGTGCCCAGAACCGACAAATGATCGTAGGAATTCTTTTAATTGCATTTAAATGTTCAATAATTATGTTGGTCTTAATTTACTCAAATTATTTTATACTTTGGATGTTCTGTAAGAATCTTGGACCAAGATTTTGTCCCGATTGTTAGGTAAGAAATTGTTTGCCTTGTTCACAAATGAACAAAAAATGTTTGGCTTGTCTCCTTGTGGAAGATTAATGTAGTAGTAGCATAGTATAGACACGTATCTTAATTATGTAGCGAAAACATAATCACTACCTAACTGATCAGTGTTTTACCACCTAAAAGGAAACAAAACACAAGAGATTTGGTGGGATCACTGTTTCTTGTTCTTAGGATTGTGTGATGAACTAAGTGAAAAAAAAAACATTTTAAAGAAAATTTAGAAGGGGATCACCGTCTCTGGAGTAACTGGAGCGAGAATATATCAACAATCTTCTTTCTGCTCTTGAGGGAAATGGCCTTGTAGTGAGCCAGTGGATCTCTGGGATTGGGAATGGTGTTGGGCCGGGAGAGTGCCTCGGGCCATGTTGGTCACAGTCTGGACCACGTCCCCAATTTGGGTCTGGAGATCCCGCAATATGGCCTGCTGGTGTTGCTGGCCAGTCTCGAGGTCTCAGAACTTCGGGAGTGTCAGGTCTATAAAACTAGTCCATCTTATTAAACCTCTTAGCACTAGCAGTCAAATACAAAATGGTGTTTGTCCTATGTAATGTATAATTGTAAAATGATGTTACATGAATCTTAGAGAAAATGACTGTTACTACGAAAGTCTTAATGTAAAACATCTGGAAATTCATTTTTACGTAAACATTGAGAAATGACTGTTACTACGAAAAGATAGCGAAACGTTTTTAACATTAAAAATAGTTGGGATAGCTAGCATGTAATAGATGCTTACCAAATTCATAAAACAAAAAAACAAAATGCTATAGCAAGCAATTTCTCACACAGCTTCTTCTTTGACTAACGACCAATCATCATCTACAATCCAAAACATACCAACTCAATCAGTGCAAATAATTAAGCACAATACTCCAAAAAACAAAAACTCTGTTCCCTTCCCTTCATTCATTTCAGTACTTGGTTGTAATTTCCTGATAACAAGCGGTTCCACGTGCATTTCCATCAATTTGCTCTGCTTAAGCAGACAGCCACAGAACAAGAGCACCATTAAACAAAACCCAGCTGGGAAATTTCCCCCCTGCTGCTGCTGCTACTTCACCTTCAGATCCACAAATTCCCTTTTTTCTCAGAGCTATATAACGGCCCTCAAAAAGCCATCAACTTTAATTCCACAGCTACTCCACTCAAAAGAAATGGCTGGATCTCTCCTTATGTGCCTCATCCTCGTAGAAGCTTTAGTGGGTCTGGCCATGGCCAGTGAAAAAAATGTTCAAACTTTGGTCCAATCCAACTCTGTTGGAGCACCATCAACAAATAGAAAACTTGGGAATCATGGCCCATCCATGGCGCCAAGTTATGATCAAGAGGGAGAGAGGAGTGCTCATGGAATTGGCAGTTCTTCTTCTTCAGGGGGAGAGACTTCCCCTGTTTTTGATTTGGAGCACAGGCATCACCGTTCGGTGGATAAATCGGTGGCCGGCGGTGGAGTGATTCTTGGTGGGCTGGCTACCATGTTCTTGCTGGCGGTATTCTGTTACATTAGAGCTACAGGAAGAGATCATAAATCTGAAACTAGCAGCAATGCTTGATTTCCATTTAATGAAAAATAGAACAGAGGAACTCTCTTTGATGAGGGTTTCCCTTCGTCATGTTCGAAACTGTAAATTTATTAAGGGTTGGATTCTTATCTAGTACATAAAATTAATTTCATTTTACTTGAAAGAAACCGATCGCTATCAAGTAGGATAGCAATGTTGACATGGGACTCTGATCTATTCGACTCGGTATGTTCGGATGTTACTAGTGTAGGATAGTGTGTGAGTTTTGTTTCTCCATTGCACTTTTTTTGGATATGTTCTCGATCTGTATGCTATCTGGAATATCGCTAATATTTGCACATATTTATAAGGATTGTCAAAAGTGTTCTAAATCGGTTGGTCTGAGTGAAAAAAAGCAATGTGGGTTACTAATACGGGAATCAGCCTTTAAATATTCAGAAAATTGCCTGACGGCAAGTTCATCAACTGTTAACCGCCTAAACTGCCATACCCGTTTGACATATTTTTGGGTGACCCATTGATGATGATGTAGCGTACTATCAAATTTACTAAATACATGAAGGGTATTTAGATCGTATTAACTTCAATTTTCTAACGTTTGACTACTCAAAATTGCATGAATTATTCGATCACAATAAACCAAATTTGAAAGCTATGAATAAAACTTGAATTAAATATAGAGCAAAGAAAGCGATAAATTGACTAGTAACATGAATCGGAACAGGCGATTACCCAGACCATGTGACCCCAGGTTCGATGGATCGACAATTCCTTAGAGAGGGTTGAATGCATAAGCGATTCTTCATGTCTTATGTCACGGAAAATACCTAACTGATAGGCTACAAGAAGCCTACGATTTCTCCATTAATGCGTCACACAGTCAAATCAATTGAAGATTGTGTCAATTTGTATACGATAAGCTAAAGAACACGAGGATTTAACGTGGTTTCCCTGATGATCAGGACTAGTCCACGAGAGATATAGAAATCTCCAAGGGTAAACTCTTATTCGCGTTAGGGTTTTTCTGGTTACATGCTACGTACGTATTTATACATACAAAGGCGGTTGGCTAATTACAACTAAGTACACAAAGTAACATATTTCAAACACCCTCCCTCAAATTGATGTTGGGTACGTAACATCAATTTGGATGAGAGGAACCAATGTCTACTCGAAGCCAACGCCTTTGTCAAGATGCCTGCAGTCTGGTCCTCTGTAGAAAGGTAACCAACTTGTATCGTACCTTCCGCGATCAGCTGTCTAATATAATGGACATGTACCTCAATATGCTTCGTCCTGTCATGCAACACCGAATTTATAGCAATCTGTATCGCACTAGTATTATCTCCATATATCCTCATTGGCCGACGACAGGTCATGTCTAGTTCCCCAAGTAACCGATGTAACCACTCCATCTCTGAGCTCACCTCAGACATAGATCGATACTCTACCTCTGTCGAGGACTTCGACACTCGATCTTGCTTCCGACACCTCCACAAAATGAACGATCTTCTTACCCGTATACACCATCCCGAAGTAGACCTTCTAGTATCATTACACCCATCCCGAAGTAGAACTTCTAGAAAATATCTACTGTTTCCAAATGACGTTGGGGTGATTGGTCCATAGAGATCAGCATGGACAAGCTCAAGTGGTGCATTAGCTCGTGACAGGAACTCCTTTGAAAAACTTGCCCTGAATTGCTTCCCAACTAAGAATCCTTCACACAACTAATCAGGATGATTGATCACGGGCCGACCATGCCCCATCTTCTTCTGATTCAGTAACTTTCGGCCTTAAAATTTAGATTGTCATACCTCAGATGCCATAGCCATGTAGTTTCCTTCACACATGCTTTTAAGCACTTCGCCATTTCAGTATGAATGTTCGGCATGACCATTCTATTTCTCGAAAAGGCTTTTGTCCTTGATACAACAACCTCCTCTGTTCTGGGCGGTGATTGATGTCCTCAGGCGGATCTGGCGAACTCGCAACTGGGTTGTCTTTGAAGGCAAGCAGTTTGGGATCCCAGCCTTAATGCGCCAGTTTAACTAGCAATATGAAGAGTGGATGAGTCTGTCGGTGAATAGGGTTCTTCTGTCTTCCTCCCCGTTGATACAACGCTTGGGTCCTGTGGGGCCTAACATGGTTATTTGTATGTGGGATGGGGCAGTATGGAGTGAATCACATTCGGCAGGCAGGATGGTCATTATGAACCCTGCTAGGGAGGTCCTTTTGGTGAAGGGGGATCAATTTCCGTTGATAGATGATCCTCTGGTGGTCGAGTTGTTTGTGCTCTGAGAGCCTATTTTATTGTGTCTGACTTAGGGATTCACATATATAAGATTTGAAGGGGATGCCAAAGTTCTCATCCAGAAGATCCATCAGGTTGATGTCAGTGATAACAGGGTGGGGGCGGTTCTTGAAGAAATAGTGCATTACTTTGTCATTCACTCTGGGTTTAGTGCGCGATTTGTAGGTCGACGTAGCAACAAGATAGCCCATATGGTGACTAAAAAGACCCTTTTTTTGTACCCGATTATGAACCGTTTCTTTATTTTCCAAACCTGACTGAATTCCAGTATGTAACTATCTTTTTCGAATTAATATATAATTACATTTTGTAAAAAAAATCATTTTCTTCCCTTGTGGAAGAGGGGAGAAAGAAAAAACAATAACTAAGCCAACCTGGAATTGTATCAGGTTGATGTCAGTGATAACAGGGTGGGGCCGGTTCTTGAAGAAATAGTGCATTACTTTGTCATTCACTCTGGGTTTAGTGTGCGATTTGTAGGTCGACGTAGCAACAAGGTAGCCCATATGGTGACTAAAAAGACCCCTTTTTTTGTACCCGATTATGAACCGTTTTTTTATTTTCCAAACCTGACTGAATTCCAGTATGTAACTATCTTTTTCGAATTAATATATAATTACATTTTGTAAAAAAAAAATCATTTTCTACCCTTGTGGAAGAGGGGAGAAAGAAAAAACAATAATTAAGCCAACCTGGAATTGTCTGGGGTTTTCCATTTTGTTCTTTGTTCTAGAAGGCCAGACTAATTGAAAGCAATTCTTTTCAAATTTTCATTTCACTTTTGTCTCGTTATCTGTCCCACTCTCCCTTCCTTCCGATCATGGAGTCACTATCCCCTCTTCCCTTCTACTTCTAGATTCAACAACTGTTCAGAAAACCAAAACACCATTTTTCTTCCCATTAAAAACTACCACTCATCCTTTTATATTCCCGAGCCTTTGTCTCTTCTTATAATAAAGGTTCCGCATCTCCCCCTTGACAGCCAATCACCTCGTTTGATATCCAAACCAAACCCTCATCAGAAGACGAAGGAAAGACTATGGCGAGCCTCAGAATCTCTCTGCCTCTTCTCCTTCTACTCCTTTCTATATCCGCCAATCATTACCTAACAACTGCAGAAGCAAGAACACTTCCCTTCTCATCTACCCACCTGAGTAAGTGTCTGGATCATTTCTCTGCATCAACAATTTCATCTTCACCCAAATCAATTTTTCTCCCCTGAATTGAATTGGTAGAGTCTCTGTTTTCTCATCGTTCCCCTGTTATCCCTTTCAGGATCTTCAAAGATTTTTGCAACTCTGGGAGTCATCTGCAAGTGCTGTGACAACAGACAGGGCGAGAATGGTGAATGTTCAATCTCCTGGAAAGGGTCCTGCAGCGATGTTCAGTGCCTTCCCTGGAGAACAGGGAAGCAGCATCCTCTGCCCAAAGCTTCCTGAATTTTAGTCTCTGTTTTTTTTTTCTTCTCTCCATTGCTTTGCTCGTACATATAGAAGACAGCAAGCTTTGGATAGGTTTTTTATGGCAATGGATCAGAATCCGCAATCAGTATTCAGTAATCAGTACCAATTGCATTCTTACCTTGATGCGGGCTTGCTTGCTCTGACTCAGATGTTCTTGTTTCAATCATTGGTCGTGCAAATTCCAAAACTGAAACACATGGGAAGAAGCGATTCAATTGCTTATTGACCATTTTTGTTACTGTTGCTCTCCCACTAATGGATCCCAATCATCTTCCCTCCGCCATTGTCTACACTTTGAGATCAATAATTCTTCTAACAATGGTGTTATAAACGCGCTGGTACGGATCGGGAAATCGCCGGAATCGATAAAGCAAAAATACGAAAGTGAGAATTGAAAAACACAGACACACGATTTACATGGTTCACTAAAACGATGTGTGTTAGCTAGTCCACGGGCGAGAGAGAGCCAGTTTCACTATATCGAAGAGATTACAGAGGAGTATGAGAAGTATTTATAGTACTTCTCCATGTGGGTCTAAACCTAATCCAATCTGGCAAAGGAAACGGTTACAAACCAAGCCCAGAACCCGAATCCAAATAACATTGAGCCCATACAACTCAGGCCAATAATCCGATTCAAATCACATCTAACATATGAAAATTTATGAGAAATTTGCTGGGGTAGAGAGTTGACTTGGCCAATTTGTCTAGCAGGTAAACGGGGAGAAGGGTCAATTGCTCCGTCTGGATGGTAGGGTACAAAACAGATCAATCCAACCTGTAAAACAATACATGTTCCAGAAAGAAAGTGGACATCATTCTTCACCAAACACCAATTTGCTCAACATGACCGGAGAGGCAGAGACAGATTCCCCATGCCCTGTCCTGCTCTGCTCTACTTTACTATTAAATAAGTTTGAAGGCGTCATGATTGTGAAGTCCAGGTGAATGTTGATTCCATCTCCAAACCGCCCCTCAACTACCAGAGTTGGTAATCAAGAAAAATTACTACATAAAAAAAGGGTTTCTAGAAGATTAGTGTGCAGTTATCAGATTATATCCTTTCAAATTTGCTTGAACCGATTTATACCTACTAACATCTAGCTCTACTCTAACTAACTTATATATGTGAGTTTTACGGTACACAATATGAGTATTATATACTCATATACTACAGACCCTCAAAGCACTACCAATTAGATTTGAGTATAACTCACTAATTATCCTTAGAATCAATATTTTCTTCAGGTGATCCAAACAAGTTCCAGCATAAAATCGAATCTCGGACGATGCAAACACCTCAAACGTCACAAGAAAATGGAGTATTAATATGTATAATTAAGCTTCTTTCGCCATTCCGCCGTCATGGAAGATGAGCAGAAATGAGTCATGAACTTGATTGAATATTCGCCACCCGTGGAGTCATGTAATAGTCCATGGTCCTCGGTTCTTCATCTCCCACTTGGACGTTCCCTTCCGCCATGATTTCGGTCCAATTGTACACATTTTTACCCCTGTTTTACTTAGATGTTTGAGGCATTTTTACTCTGTGATGTTTGATTTTACGCTAGGTTGTGCTTGTTTCTAGTATGTTTCGGATCCTAGCAGGTGGAGTCGACCTCGGAAACGAAAGTTGGACGAAAAGTGGCGAAAACATATCAAAAGGGAGAAAATAGCAGAGGTGCACGGTGGAGGCCAGAAGTTCACGGTTAGCCTGATCGTGATAACGAGGCCGAGACCGTGAAGTGCAAGGAGTCCAGAGAAGTTTTTCCACCTCGCGGGCATACGAGACATCACGGTCACTCGACTATGATAATTCGCTCCAGACCGTGAAGAGCATTAATGAAACGTCGCTCTTTTGTTCAGGATCACAGTTGAGACTCAGAGTTCAAGGCCGTGAGCTAGGACCGTGAAAAGCCGTCAATTTGGTTATAAAAGGGGAGTTGAGCTGAAAGAGAAGGAGGCGAGAGATTAGTGTGAGAAAACTTCTTCCTCAAATTTCTAGAGAGAGAAAATGACGAACAAGAGAGGAGAAGAAGGTTAGGGTTTCATACAAGCTCCAAGATTTGGCAATCTCATCCTCCAAGGTTGATCTCCACACCAAAGAAAGAAGGCAAACCTCTCAAGATGTTCTCTTCTCCTTCGTGTATTCCCACATCTTAGCATGGAGTAGTCCCCCTTTTCACTTGAATGTTTGTGATACCTAGCTAGAATTATGTGAATGTTTGTATGTGTTGAATGATTTGTGTGTGACTGTGTTTTAATGCAAGTATTGAGGTATTTTCATGAAGGTTGTGTTGTGTTTTCCATTTCCAACTCCTATGCCAATTTGACCTAGGTAGAGGGAAATCCCCTTCTTGCGAAGAGGCTTTCATAAGCTGGCATTCCTTGGCCAAATTGAGCCATTTATTTAGACCGAATTAGGGCAAATCTCATACTACGTTTTAGCATCTTGGGTAGGTTGTATTTTGGCTGTCCGAACTATGGTTCGAGGGAGAAACCTAGGCAACCCTTAGTCGATTGGCCAAGAGAGTTACTTTGTTACTTTAATTTGATACCACTTGACCTAATGACCGAGAGAGTGAAGCTTCTTCACTTATTGCCCTTCTCTACGGTTTACAACCGCTTTTACCACACATTTGCATTCGATTCAACAAATCGTGCTTACTAGATAGGGGAGCAACAACAGGGAGAGCTAAATGAAGATTAAGGAGGATTATTTTCCATATTGGGTGAAGACTTATTGGAGAAAAGAAGATCAAATTGAAGAGTGAAGCTTCCCTCATGAAGATTTTCTTCTTCCCTCTTCCGATTTACTCTTTCCTTTCATCTATGGGCTAAAACCCCTTGTACTTGGTACGATGAATGCTAACTTATAGTATGTGATTGTATTTTTTTTTTTTTTGGTGAAAAGTATGTGATTGTATTTTAATGTGATAAATGTATAAGAACTATAATTTGGTTTATTTAATTATAAAAATATGCATTCATTAAAGGGGCTTAAAATGTGTCCCGAGAGTCACCAACATAATCCTCTTACAGTACGTTAATAATCTCAATAGTTAATGGCTGTTGAGATTATGGTGTGATCAGGGGCGTACCCAGGGAGGTTTGAAGTGTCCGGGACACCCCTAAATTTTGAAAAAAACGATTATTTAACTTTCGGTGGTAATTTATGTATGGAAAAAATTAGGATTAATAGGCATACAAGCCCCTGTACTATCAAAAGATAACAAATGAGCCCTTGTACTATACTTTTAACGAAATAAGCCCCTGTCCTATACTAAGATAACAAAGAAGCCCCTCCGTCTAAACTTCCGTTAAATCACCTGCCACGTGGCAGAAGCACACTGAGTCAGCAAAAATATGATCTTGAAATGTCCCTTTTGCCCTTATAACCAAGTCCCTAAAATTTTCCTAGCTTCCCAATCCCAACCCATGTACGATTGTGATGTATATGGAACTAAAATAAATAATAAAAGAATTTCCCCTCCATTGCATCGTGCTTTTCATTAAACAAAAAATAAAAGGAATCTCAATGTAAAAAGAGCTGCCGCATACCTTCACAAAAGAAGACTGCCGCAGCGTGAAGAAGCCGCCGCCGCCTTGCAGTTCTCGAATTGGACTGAAATTCAAACCAAAATCAGGTTAGGAACTCTCCTTAACATCGTTCCTATATTAATATAGAAGGTTGATTGCTAGTTGAATTGGGGTTTTTTCATGAGTGTGTGATTCTCAATAAAAAACCCTAATATTTATCTTTTTGGGTAAGTTGGTTCATTGTCGTTGCTCTGTAGGGACCAAAAATACAATATTATGCTTAAACTATAGTTTAGGAGTTGATAGGCATACAAGCTTTTTGTATTTCCTAGGTTTGTCGTTTGTGGTTGACTAATTTTTGCTATTTGGTTTGGAACTAGAAAAGAACAAATGGCTGCTGAGTCCACCCATCAAAATTTGCAGACACAGGTAAAGGGTCTTTGTACTTTTCTCTTAAACGTTGGATTTTAATTTTTTATTTGGTCCAACTCTATTATTTTGTTTTGTAGGCTGAAATTCCATGTGAAAAGGAATTAGGTGGATTGGGTGATGATATTAGTGTGACTGTGAATGATGAGTCACCAGATCCAACAGGTGAATGGGATGAAACATCAGATTTAGAGGATAGTGATTTTGAGATTGGGTCTTGGGCAAGTGAGGATGAGATAGAAGACAGAGCTGAAGTGTTGAACAATATCAAGAGATCCAGATTAAATTTGAAGAAAGGTATACCAATCACTTTTGAAGATACTGATCACTCAAATGCTGACAAAGACAATGGATTTAGTTCTGATGATTATGGGAGCTATGATGACACCGATGAAGAAGATGAAGTCGCAGATCATGGGATTAGGAGAAAAAGTTACTACCCCAAATACAATCCAAACACACCAACCCCATTTTTTGAGTTGGGCATGACTTTTACTGATATAATTGAAGCTCGAGGAGCTATTAGAGATCATGCGGTGAAGGATAACAAGGATGTGAAGATTAAAAAGAATGAGCCGAAGCGCTTCAGGGTGACATGCAAGTGGCCAGGATGTTCGTTTGTCTTCTATGCATCATTTACCAAGAAGGCACAAAGATTGCAATTGAAAACCTTTAAGGTTCATAATTGCCCGATCCATTTCAAGAACAAGTGGATTTCTCCCACAATCATTGCTGTGAAGTATAAAAGGCGCATGAGAACAGATCCTCGATGGAAACTTAGAGACATCAAACAGACCATTAAAGAAGAAATGGGGGTGGATGTAACTACTATGTTGTGTTCTCGTGCCAAGTCCATTGTGATGTACAAGACTCAAGGATGCTATACACAAGAATATGCCCTCTTGTGGACCTATGCAGAAGAGATTAGAAGGAGGAACGAAGGATCGACAGTTAAGATTATGGTTGATCGACATAATCCTGGACAACAACCATTATTCAAGAGAATGTACATATGCATTGATGCACTGAAAAAAGGTTTTCTGGAAGGATGCAGGAAGATTATAGGATTGGATGGGTGCTTCTTGAAGGGCTTATGCAAAGGTGAGATACTTGCTGCCATAGGTAGAGATGCAAATGACCAATTGTATCCGGTTGCATGGTGCGTCGTAGAGGTGGAGTCTAGAGATTCTTGGGATTGGTTTCTTCGACAATTGCAGGATGATTTAAACATTGAAAGTGGTATCGGCTGGAGCTTCATATCAGATCAAATGAAGGTAACCCCACTGTTCATATTTTGTTTTGACTTTTACTTCATGAGACGTTGCCTCTTACTATTAGGAGCTGTTTGTAGGGGTTGGTTCCAGCAATAGCTGAGTTATTTCCAGATGCAGAGCATAGGCTATGTGCTAGGCACATATACTGTAATTGGAGGAAAAGGTTCAAGAAGCAAGAATGGCAAAAAATATTTTGGCAATGTGCCAAGGCTACCACTTTGAGAGGCTTCTCTCGTGCCTTTGAGAGACTGAAGGCACAAAACAGTGACGCTGCATCCGCAATGCTTTCAGTAGACCCAAAATTCTGGTGTCGGGCTCATTTCTCAACCCATACCAAGTGTGATACAGTAGATAACAACATGTCTGAGAGTTGGAATGCCTTAATCATTGAGCCTCGACACAAGGCTATACTAAGCCTGCTTGAAGATCTCAGAATAATGCACATGGAAAGGATAGCACAAAAGAGGGCAATTGGAGCAAAATGGGAATCCAATATTTGTCCCAAACCACTGAAGAAATACACGAAGAATGCAGAAGAGGTTCGTTTTTGCCACATTGTTGGAAATGGGCAAAGTGGTTATGAAGTTACCCATCGGGACGATCGATTCACGGTGGATCTTGCTGCCTTGTCATGCTCTTGTAGGGCATGGGAATTATCTGGAATCCCGTGCCCACATGCCATAACATGTTTGGTGTATGAAGAAAAAGATCCTCAAAAGTATATTTCGGAATGGTTCTCCATCTCCAAATTCTGGAGCACATATAAGCATGTGATTATCCCAATGGCAGGACCATCATCATGGCAGCCTAGTGAGTACGAGCCATTACTCCCTCCTGCATTCCGCAGAATGCCGGGCAGACCGAAGAAAAAAAGAATTATCACTAGAGAAGAGAGGGAAAATCAAAAGAAGCCAAAGAAGAAACGTGTATACACTAGAGAAGAATTATTGGCACCGGATAAGAATGATCCCTCCAAGTTGTGCCGAGCTGGGATAGTGATTACATGTACAGAATGTCGTGGAGAAGGACACAATATCCGGACGTGTCCTGTGAAGAAAGCCAAAGAGGTATGATCTCTAGTTATCTTACTAATGTATTAGGCCTGCCAACTCTTTCCCTCTGTTGCTGCGGTGTTTACACTTCTAATAATGAAGGGATACAGAGTAATGAGTGTGGTGTTTATCACTCTTTAACTTGCAGTTTGGAATGTCATCTCAGAGGGTGGTTCAAGACAAAGGCAACAACAATCTGCAGTCTTGAATCAGGAACTTAGAGGAATACAAGAAAGCTCAACCACCACCACGACAACACAGCTCTAGTTCACCTTACATTGTTTATGGATGAGTTTATTTCATATTGGCCATAAACTCATCAAACAGTAGTTTTCTCAACTAGGAAATTAAACATTTATTTGGTTTAGTTTATATAAGCACCATGAACTGGTTGCAGGAGATGGATTTTGTTTTGTTTTTTTATAGTGGATTTTATTTTGTTGATGCAATATATAGTTGCTGCTTCTGGTTTCTATTTGTGTTTCATTGGTCCATGAATAGCTCGATCCTCGATGTAGATGGAGTGGCAATCCAATTATTTTATTTTGTATATATGTTACATTCGTACAGGTTCAGTTTTTGATGGGAAACTAGAAAAATTGCATGGACTTCATTATAAAGGCGAAAGGGAAAGATGGAGTGGCAATCATTTTATTTATTTAATTATTATACATATATATATATCACATTCGTACAGGTTTAGATGGGAAGCTAGGAAAATTTTAGGGACTTGGTTATAAGGGCAAAAGGGACATTTCAAGATCATTTTTTTCTGACTCAGCGTGTTGCTGCCACGTGGCAGGTAATTTAACGGAAGTTTAGACGGGAGGGGCTTCTTTGTTATCTTAATATAGGACAGGGGCTTATTTCGTTAAAAGTATAGTTCAGGGGCTCATTTGTTATCTTTTGATAGTACAGGGGCTTGTATGCCTATTAATCCAAAAAATTATAATTAATTGTTCGAAATACCCTAAAATTTGGAAAACCATTATACTGCTCTCGTTTGTAGTTTGCTCATGGGAATATAAGTGGTAATTTGGGTAATTCAAAGCCGGGACACTATACTAATAATAAATATAATTTCTATTAGGCAACAATTTTTTTTTGTTGTTCTATTCTAAATATTGTGTAATAGCAAAATTGTAGGAAACATAAATATGTATTTGAGTCATTACGTTGGATTTAGTCAGAAATCAGTAATCAAACCCTATTCAGTTTATTCCTCTTCTTCTCCTAATCCCTAATTCCCAATTATGTTCTCTTCCTATCTCAATTTCCCAATTATTCTTCTTAAATCCCTAATTCTTTCTCTCGATTCCTAAATCTCTTTCTAATTTATCTGGCTACGTTAATCACAAGTTACCGCAGAATCGTAGTTCCTTCAAAAACCCTAGTCTCTATCTTTAATTATTTTCAAAACCTAACAATTCATCTAATTACAAGTTACCCTTAATTTATGATTGTACGGCAAGTATTGAAAGCGTCTGTTCGTGAATGATTGTCTAGTAGGATATACCGAGACAACTTTGTTAAGCAGTGTAGAAACCAAGTGTATTTTACAATTTTTTCAGAATACGAAAATTACATTATGCACTTTTTTTAACTTGTTCGTGAATGATTGTCTAGTTGGGTATTTTTTAACTTTTTTTAACTTGAAACAGGACACCCTTATGTAAAATTCCTGGGTCCGCCACCGGGTGTGACACAAGGAGCGGAAAAAAGGATAAAAAAAATTATATTTAAAGAAAATTTTGTCTGCAAATCGGTAAAAGGTGCAGAGAGCAGTTGGCGAGACGGATGGGTGCATCATGCATGACGCATATCCAAAGCAAACAAACTTGATTCTTCCTTCTTCCTCTCCTCCCATATATAAATTTATAGCTGCCATTCATTCTTAATTTACACCAATATCCAAGAGATCCACAGCAAAGCCGATAATAAAGCCATTCATCCTACTGAAACATAGAAGAAGAAGAAGAAGAATGGAGGAAGTAAAGTTGCTAGGATGGTGGGTGAGCCCTTTCAGCAGAAGGGTAGAGCTCGCCCTCAAACTCAAAGGCGTGGGCTACGAATACATTGAGCAAGATCTTGCCCACAAGAGCCAACTGCTGCTCGAGTACAACCCTGTTCACAAAAAGGTTCCTGTCCTCGTCCACAACGGCAAAACAATGGCGGAATCCCTCGTCATTTTGGAGTACATTGACGAGACATGGCCAAACAACCCCATCCTCCCCCGGAACCCTTACGACAAGGCCATGGCACGATTCTGGGCTCAGTTCATCGAGGAAAAGGTAAGATTTTGAAAAAAACCCAATCAAATCGATTATTTAGTGGTTTCCTTGTGTTCAAGTCGGTTTTGGGTATTGTTAGTCGTTTTCTTAGAGGAGTAGGAGTCGTATTCTAGCTAGAAGGGAAAGGGTAGAGGCGCTTCTATGCCTATAAATACGTACCTGTTTCGTTCGTTTAATAATAGGAAGATTGGAACCCAAATATTTCGGTTTCGTTCTTTATTTGCTATTTTCTTATTAGTTATTTCCTTTGGGAGTTCTTTGCGTTTTATTCCTTTTATGAGAAACCCCTAAAAACGCCACCCCCTGCGTCACATCACCGTAACATCGATCATCGTCAACACTAATCTTAAATTGTATGTGTATATATATGCATGTGTTTCAGTGCAATGGTGGGTTGTGGAAAATTATGTGGTGCAAAGACGAGGAAGAGAGAGGGAAGTTGGTGGAGGAAGCCTCGCAGTGTTTTATAACACTGGAAGGTGAGCTCAAGGGCAACAAGTTCTTCGGAGGGGAGGAGATTGGGATGGTGGACATAGCTGCGAATTTCATCGGATACTGGCTTGGAGTGGTTCAGGAAGTGAGTGGGATGGAGCTGGTGACTCGAGACAAGTTTCCGGTGCTGTGCAAATGGATGGATGAGTTTGTGGAGCACAGTGTGGTGAAGGAGACTCTGCCTCCCAGAGATGAGCTCCACGCGGAGTTCGAAGCTCGACTTGGCGCTCCGTCTTGGAAGTACTGATGCGTTAGAGCGAGTGGCGGTGCCAGAAATTTTAAGTTATGTAAGTGTGGGGGAGATCGAAAATGAAGTTTAATTGGATAAGGGGGTCGGTAACTTATCCATTATTCTACTTATTACCATCTTCATCGCCATAACATAGCTTTCGCGGCTGAAGTTTGATGTGTTGCATTGTCGAGCCAGCCTCTTTAAATGTCTTTGTTTTTTAATGTTGCTAAGCACGTTGTACTAACGAGAGTCGCGAGTTCAGACTCGGAATACTTGGTACCAAGTAAAATGAAGAATTGTTTAATAATTTTTAATATGATGACCTTAGCCCGACCCATTGCAATAATATGCCTTATTATTGCTCGTAGATCCCGTCCAGATAAGTACGTAGTAATTTTCTTTTCCTAATCGATCAATTGACGTGCATCACACAGACTATAATTAAGGAATCCACTGGTTCCGGCTAATAAATAAATAGTGTACTTGTAAAAAGTCTAACAGATCTAATGGAGTTGGAAGTGGGTGGTAGTAAATTTCCTCTTTTTTTTCAAACAAAATTTCCTGAAAGATTACAATCATGTTACTCTTAATATTTAATTTCAAGTTGACTTAAGACTTTCCAAGACTTTTGGGTAGGTGCATGAACCCAAATCCCAGCAAGCAAATACCAAGTCGCAATAAACAATTTCCAACCCACTACAATTGTTGAAACCTAGAGAAACCCGAGATGCCTTTATTCATTAGGGAGTAAATAAGTTAGAAATTAACTACTGATATTCTTAAATTATACATTCGTAGGTGTTTCCATGTTGTCATAATTGTACATATAACATACCAAAAAAATTCCAATTAAGATATTATCCGCTTTGAGTCTAAATCCGCATCATTTTTGTCTTGGGTGCATATTAAGGTGACTTCTCATAAAATCATCTATCATTTAATGCTCCACAGAACTCTCACAAGAACTCCTCCTTTTGACTCCAAAACACATTTTCTCAGTTAAAGTCAGCTTCTTACTTATAAACCATGGATCTCTCATGTGTCTTGTCAGAAGTTTGATTATGAGTTTTGTAAGCATTAGCTACCATGGTCATTTGTTGAAAAAGGTTCGGAATTTGATATTACGAAAACTCATCAAGATTCCATACATAAATAGAATTGGACTTGTATTTAATTTGGGTAATCGTGGGTTTTTATTTGAGAGCTAAGTCAGGTGTAGTGGGACGTGGGAATACATCTTAGATGAAGAGAGTTGGTTCAATTTGAGACGATTAATTTCTATTTCAATCTGACCTTCTATGTCTTGAATGACGTCATCCGAGTCAGTGACGATATGATCGTCGTTGGTAGAGGTTTTGGAGTGTCTTAGAAAGAGATAGTTGTGTGGAAAGTTGTTTAAGATTGGTTTTCTACAGCAAGCCTAAATTCGAGACTAAATTCTTTAGAAAATTTTAAAAAGGCTTGAAGGTAGGGGAATTAAGTTTGTTGGAAGGAGGGAAAAGGAGTATTATAAGTAGAAGCAAAAGAGAGGTAGGTTAATTTCAACATGAGTAAGTTGATCTCCTAAGGTTTTGAAGAAACCGATTTGTATTATTGTTTTGCTCAATCAGTTATCGAATATATTCTCATTTGACATGATTCACTATTTTCCCGATACAATTTAAAATGAGAGGCTTGAAGTGTTGTTCCACACTATATGTCTCGAATTTCTTATTTCGAAAATATATCAAAGTTGCTATCATTTTGAATAGCACAATTAATCTGATTTATCTATATAAAAAATTAAAACTTAAAACGAAAGAAATATAACCAAAGTGTTAGAAACATTATTTGGGACTCACATGGGATGGGAGATTATGCATAATTATCATGGACTCTCTCCCATAGCACTGTCTGCGGCTGCTGGGACACTTGTGGGGTTTGGTAATGAATTCTACAATAAAAAATAGTCGAGATTCTCGATAATACAAAGACGTTTGTGTTTTCCTTTATTATAATTCTAATCTCTATGATGATAAAATAAAGGCCCATAGGTTTGCTCTCTATTACATAGTAAGAAGGAAGATTTAGGGTGTGGAAATGATCACTGCTACTGCTATGTTCCTCTCCTTCCTCCTCCTTCCCCAGAAATCAAAACAACCCATTTGATGATAACAAGTCTAGAAATTAGAAAACAACAAACCGTCCAAATCAAGATTCATGAAATTAAAAAAAACACACATCTAAAAGTCCATCCCCAAATTCCAAACCCAAATCGTCCACAGCCTCATCTCGCTGGCTGCTGCTGATTTCAGTGCTTATCCTTGACAATGGTGACTGGGCAAGAAGCCGCGTTCATCACATACGAGCTCACGCTTCCCATTAGTATCCTGCTCCTCTCGCAAATCAACAAAAACAAACAGAAATGGAATCAGGTCAAATTGGAGCTTCGGAAGAAAGGGTTCCGTTCAGAATTTTACACAGATCATTTTCAGTAGTAACGATTTCTCCCCACCTCTTCACAGTTCCAAGCCCTCTGCTTCCCATGACAACAGAGTCCAGCTTCAACCCTTCGACCGCGTCAACGATCCTGTCCCTCGCGTCTCCTCCCCAGTAAAGCTTCGTCACGACTTTGATCTGAAACATAGAAAAACATCAGTTCCAAACTTAGCTCCACCAGCCCATCAATTCAATCGTCGCTCACACTCAACAGCTTCAACCCCCCCTTTTTTTACCTCTTTCTGCCTGGTAACAGTGTCGAGCAGAGCGAGAACGTCGGCATCTGGCTTCAAGTCGTACCCCTTCATAATCTCCGGCTCTCTAAACTCCGACAGCGGAATCAAAGCTTCTCAGAGGCAAAACGTCGAGCAGGTACAAGGCACAGAAACCCAGATCAGATCAGATCAGGCGATGAAACAATAACAGAGAGAGAGAAAAAAAAGCTAACCCTTTGGGGGGAAACAAACAAGAAGAAGACTTACGAGAGCCTGCCTTGCCCCAGAGTTCATTTTTACCCTCGGGTAGTTCGTTGGAATGGACATGGATGATGTAGATGGTGTCACCCTTATCCGCCAAGTTATCAAGTGCCCATTTCAGCGCGTTCTTGCTGCTGCCTGAGAAGTCCATCGCCACTCCGATCGTCTTGTCTTTCCCCATCTTTTCCCTCTGGTTTACGCTTTTCTTCTCTCTGCGATTTCTTCCTTGTTCTTCTTCTTCTCCTTCGGCTGATGTTTTTATACGGGTGAACTGCCGTGCGAGTGGGGAAAGATATATATTGAGAGAATCGCGTATAATTTTGTGGGATGGATGAGAACTGGAAGCAATTTGCCTTTATTAATATGGAGCAGGGCGGAAAGGCGGAGAAAGGTATAAAGGAAGAAAAAGCAAGCAAGCAAGCCACAATCGGTTTGGGGTAATGTGGGCTCCAGAGAATACCTTTTCTCCGAATCTGAGCCGTCCACGCATTTTTTATGGTCCAATTAGAGCATCTACGTCAATGAAATTTCAAAATTGATTGCATATGATTTTTTTTTATTATCTCAAATTTTATGCAATTCAATTCAACTTCATTTCATTACACCTACGTCAATGCAATTCATTTGCAATTGCATATATGATGATTTGAATGACTTTTTTTTTGTAAGAAGATTTAAATGACTTTATAATAAATAAAAATAAATAAATCAAGAGAGATAGAGAGATAAAGAATTTTTTTTATGTGGCTTGCATATTGAATTTCATTTGATGAAAGCTTGCATCTTTGCAAGTGGGCACTACGTCAATGCAATCTCCTTTGCAATTGAGAAAATACCATTGATGGAGATGCTCTTAGGGATGACAATTTTTTTTTTTATAACGAGGAACACCCTCCACGATCACCACATTTTGTGGTGCCGTAGTCGGGCTAAACCCCAGGACCTCCGCCGGCGGTCCGGGTGATAGCGGGATGCCTCCGGGAACACCATGGTGGTGGTGAGGATCGAACCTGGGACCTTATGGTCACCAGTCCTCCTCCCTTACCACCAGGCTATGTGACCTTTGGCTAGGGATGACAATTTTGATTTGACCCGTTTTACTGGACCTGTTCGATCTATTTTGGGGCGGGACGGGAATGAGTACATCTCATCGATACGACCTGCTCTGACCCGCCCTATTCTCGATTCGTTTCTTGCCTAAATTACATGTATTCTTTGTCGAATTACTTAGAATTTCTCTCTTATTACCTCATATTTTAGCTACAATAAAGTTGTAAATGAGTGAAAACCTCAATTTCACCAATAATTTAACTACGTTTTATTATATTATGGGTTTCTTTCTTGGTTTTTTAATGAAAATAACAATTATTTTACATATAAATTACATACTCATTGGATTGACCTGTCTCGACCCGCGCTCCATAATAAATTATCCGACCTGTCATAGGACGAGTATGGATATCGAGATACCCACCCTGAAACTGCATATTGCCATTGCCCATGACGATGAGTGATGAGTCTGCCAACGCGTACTGCCAGGGCACGTGATGGTTTAAGGGCACTAGTGGGCCGTTGTTAAATGATCAAATAATCTTCCTGCACCGAAACAAGACTTTGAATTAATACCTCTGACTGTAAAGTTGATTAGTCTAATGCATTGTTGGATTAGAAAATTCTTATTAATACAGCACAGAACCAAAACGTTGAACCAAGCTAATTCGGGAAAACGATTGAGAAATTGGATCTCCTGCGGTAAACAAACCTTTGTGAATGTATACTTATCGTGAAGAGAGATATCTTGTCAAAACGTTACAAGTAGAGAAATTCAATGTGTGTTAACAATAAAATATTTATCTCTCGTTGGATACTTGTCTTCGGAGACGTCATCGATCAGACCGATTTCTCCAAATTATGGTGAGTTCGGGTAATTTTTTCCCTTAATAGAGGTTCAAGTATTCCTTACTTTGTTACCTTTATGTATGTTTCTAGTTATGATATTGAGCGAAAGAAGTTGTAAGAAGAAATTTGTGGAATTAATGTCAAAAGTGTGCCCTCGACCATTGTTGGGGACTTCAATGAGTTTGCTTATCCATTTGAAGCTTCCAATGATCCAGTGTTGGATGCAAGTATGTTAGACTTTCAACAATAGTAAGTGGATTTGGAGGTAGATGAACATAATATTTCGGGTCCATGGTTTACTTGGACATATAAGCAAGAGGGTAATTCCATTGCTCGACGATTGGATAGGGGGTTTGTCAACCTAAAATTGTTATAAAGTTGTCGCGCTATGTAGTAAACCCGTTAGAGCCGGGAGTTTTAGACAATTGTCCTACCTTGATAGATACTGACAGTACTATCAAATCCCTCCCAAAACCTTTCAAGTTTTGGATGGATCGCCTAAAGTTTTTTTTAACTTGGTTAAGATCCCCTAGAAGATGGAAGTGGAAGGTTCCCCCCTAGTAAGAGTTTGTAAGAAGTTTAGAATATTCAAAGGATTTACAGGAGAGTTGGATAGAGAATCTTACTTCGATATTAGTGTTAAGGTACAAGGTTACTTATGAATTATTGATCTCTCACATACTTTGTCGATGTGGGATTCATCTAAGGTATTACAAACACTTTCGAGAGGAAAAAATAAAATAAAAATTCTTTTCTTCCCCCATTTTAGTCAACTGTGTTCCCTTCCCAAATCCCTAGCTCCCAATTTCCCCAAATCCATACACTCATGTTCCCAATCTCAACTTCCTCAAAATTGACAATGAAGATGATTTATTCGTCGGGTTGAATCGTCGGCTCAACTTGATAAAATGAGACAGAGGAGATATAATTTGCTAAAGGTTCATGTTTCTGTACTAAGCTCTTCTTACTAAGCTCTTCCTTAACTGTGCTAACTTGGCATGTCAACATGTTTTGTATCTTGAACTTTCTAAGTTGTGACCAACCTGACTAATGATGGATGTACCTTTTGTAGTACTTCTCACTAGAGGACTGGACTCTTCACTTGTTGTTTCGTCTTCCTAAGAGGTGGTTGAATGTAACATCTTAGGCAAATCCCACATCGACAAACCACGGGAGAGATCCATGGTTCATAAGTAAGAAACCGACCTTAACTGACAAGATGCGTTTTGGGGTGAAAGGGAGAAGTTCTTGTGAGAACTCCAAAGTTAAACGTGCTCAGTGTGGAGTACTACAAGGATGAGTGACCTTATGAGAAGTCACCTTGAATTGCACCCCAACTCGAAAATCGTGAGGATCGAGGCCCAAAGCAGACAATATCTTCATCTGGAAAAGGTTCGGGATGTTAGAAGTGGTATCAAAGCCTCCTCGCGTCCCTCTTGAACGATGGTGGGGCAAACCTCAACAAGGGCGTTGAGTCCCGGGGGAGGGGGGTATATTAACACCTTAGACAAATCCCACGTCGACAAAGCACGAGAGAGATCCATGGTTCATAAGTAAGAAACCGACCTTAACTGACAAGACGCGTTTTGGTACACGAATGACATACCGAACACCATAGTATATAAATGACAATTTCACTAAAGATTGTTATTCTCAGTGGCATTTCTCTTTTAAATATTAAAGTGGTTTTCTTTTTTATCAAATCATGAATCTTTTTAGATAATTAAATTTTACTATGAGCAATGGTAATATTTGATGCATGAGTGCTTTATTGAATCAAAAGTCTGAACTATACTTAGAAGATTTGAAATATGACTATTGAAAGAAATAAAACCCCCAACATCTCATCTACTATTTCACTAGACTGCTTTTACTGTGCCTTTAGACTCATGTTTACTGTTATAGCCTGGAGTGGGCTTGGGTGTGGGCGGTGCATGGTGTTCCCCAGTTCTCTTTGGACTACTGATTGGACATATGGTTTGCTGAATAGTGTCCATGTGAGTAAGCCTGGTTGAAACTTGGTTGAATTCCAAGTGATCAATCCCCGCGTTGATCATGCGGAGACTACATGGACCCATGGGGCTGGGATTGGTTCTCAAGATAGAGAATTGGGGTCGCCAGAGGCAGAGACAAAGCGAGGGAGCTATCAGATATAGGGAGGCTGGCAGGCTGCCATGGGATGTGATGTTTTTCACGTTGTTTAAGGCACATGGATATTTTGCTTTTTCCTTGAGCTGATCGTTGGCTCTACTTTGACCACATAAATTGTATTCCAACTTTTTTTCTACCATAATTATTACTGACACAAGCAAAATGCTATCTTTGCTTTAATCATCACACTGCCAACTAATTGACGACTGACGAGAGAGAGAGGGTGGCCAAGATAAGGAAGAACTCTTTTATCTGCTCTCTTTCTCTTCCCTTTCATTCGTTCTCTTATAAAATCCATTCGCTCCCTTATTCTGCTCTTATCTCTCATCTCTCCATGCTTCTTTGATTTATGACGATTTCCTCTATTTCTGTTGTTTGTTGTCATAGGTCTCTGTGGTGCTCATGCGGGATGAATGCGACACTGGCGTGCAATCGTAAGGGCGACCGCATGGATGTCATTTTGCGGAACTGTAAATGCTGGTGTAGCCACCAGACGCAATCCGAAGGTGGGACTGATGCTATCCATGCTCCTCCTGATTTGTTCTTCCCATTTCTCTCTTTCCTGTTTTAGTTTATGGATGATGGTTCCCTGATTTGTTCTGTTTCTCCCATCCCCTACTTGAAAATCGGTGCAGTTTCAAGATGATTGGGTGGCATATTTAAGCAATTTTGGGAGGGGTTGTTTTGCTTTTAGGTGATGTTTCTTACTCTCTCTTCACTGATTTTGTTTTCCCATTTTCTATTGGATGGATTCATGCTATATCTTTCTGTCTCGAAAGTTTCAGTTCGATCTCTTTTCTGACGAGATTCTGTTGGGTTCTCTGATAGCGATTTTTGAAGGGATGAGGTGTTCGTCGAATCTCAGCGCAAAACCCGCAGGACTGCCTGATTTTTTGGAGTTTTAAAGCGATCAAGCGGTGGATGATCTCGGAGGTTTAGATGGGATTCGAAGGTAAAAAACAGATCCGCAGATGGGTCAGGTGATTACTTTCTCTCTTTCGTAGATGGGTCCTCCTCTTCTTTGCCCTGTTCGTATTTTTTTATTTTAGCTTTCAGAAATATATATAAGTATATATATGGTGATGTATAAGGGTTAAAGATGCCGATAGTTGGAGGTTTTCGAATTCCTACTGAGATTTGCTCATTAATGTATTTTTTCGATTTTGCTTTGTTGTTGATTTGCCCTGATTTGTTACTTTGCTTATTGATTTTGGCAGGCGGGTTTTGGCCGAGAAGTAAAAACAAGATCTGGGCAAGGAATAATTATTGCCATGGTGTTGGTTCTTTAGTAGTCTAACTAATGTTATCCTCTGTTTATTCATCGCCATGGGGTCGGTTTTGCTCTATGTAAACCTCTGTTTTTAGGAGGCTTTTAATTTTTTTTGGGTGTGGTTTTGAACATGTTTGCAGTTCAGAATGAGCATTACGTTTTTCTTATATGCCACATGCATGTGTTCCATCTTGGTCACTATGGTGGTGCAGTGGTGCACTGATCTGTGGTGAAGTCTTTCCCTGCATAACAATTGCGTCAACTCTCTTTGCGTATCCTTTCTTATACCCGTTTATTGCAGATTTCAAGCAGTTTCTTGATATCTGCAGAATTGTCAGCCTCGCTTCTTTTCGAGCTCATTGTATTAGTTTCTGTTGAGCATTGGGAGGGGTTTGTTTGTTGTTTCTTTGATAAAAATGTGTACAGATGATTCTGATTTATAGGTTACACTTTATGCATTACGGTGCCTTCAAAGGGCCCGGGGTATCCCAAAGTATCTTGGGCTACTATCCTATTAACGATGCATTTGTTTGATATTTATCTTATGATTGTAAGAATTCACTAATCCTCTAAAATTCGGTGAAACACTAAGCTATATTATAGAACACTGCAATTAGCTTCTTCTTCAAAGATATTCCATAGTTGTGTGCATGTAAGATATTGAGGTTAATTAACTGCGGCTGAGCTGAATAGTTGCCATATTTCATATTGGCTTTGAGGCATTGATTTTTCAGTTACCTTAACCTTCTATACTGTATTTGGAAGACATTGATTTATCGATGTACGCCTCTATTTAGTATTTTTTGTGGAGCATTCTCCATGAATTATTATCAATTTGGACTCGATGAGTTAAATTGTAATTTTTTAGCTTTGTTAAAGTTTTAAGCTCCGTAGTTATCAACATGTTAATTAGGAAGTTCCAAGGCATGTGTAATTGTGTACCCATGACCCTCTTTGTAATTTCATATTTAGTTAATCTCATATTGTCCATGGAGAACTGATAACTATTTTTATGTAAACTTTAAAATAAAGTTTTTCCACATGATTTCATTTTGTCGTTCTAAATGCACTTATATTTATTCACCTATCCTGGCGCGAAGCGCAGGCAACAAAAACTAGTTATAATAACTTTGAACTATCCTCATATATCTATGTCAACTCTTAACAGCTACAATTTATTTACCAAGATAAATATTAGTTATCAAAGAATTAGCGTTTGATAATTTATAATTTCTTAATTATTGAATTTTTTAGATGATTCTTGCATAAAGGTTGAACTTAGTACGTAGTGAATTTATCCTTCCATATTACTAATTAATAAGTCAATTTCTTGGAGTTGCTAATTACTACCTCAATGAATAATTGTCATTTGAAACTAATAAAAAATTAAGTTAATGGTACCCAGTCTATGAAGAAATACATTTTAAGCAATTTATGATGACAATAAAAACGTAAACAAAAATTTTAAAAATATATAAACTATATAGCCAGTTATAAGGCAGGATGACCACATCAACAAAAATACTTTTGAACTAATTGTCACTTATTATGACACAATGAACAAGCAGCACGAAAATGACTTTCATATCATGAATAAACTATTTAGAAGACCTCAAATCATTTAAAAATATGAATGAATTGATAAATATAAGTAAATGATATGAAACTCATTTAAATTAAAAAAAAATTGGAGTACTATATACTTATGTTATTTATTCCCACGTTCTCGTTTTCTTACCCTTGAATTAAAGCCGAAGAATCAATGGGGTCTTGGTCTTAGATCAGCTCGTAGTCTAGACAAGGCCTATATGACCAAACTTGATTGGCAAATGTTGAATAACGATTATGAGTTATGGGTTCAAATTATGCAGGGGAAGTACTTTCACCATAAAGAGGGGAACATCATCAAAATGAAAACCAACAACCATTTTAACATGTGGAAGGCTATCCTTAAATCTATATATGCCACTCATGAAGAAAGCTACATTGTAGAGTGTTCGTGATGGGGAGACCACGGGCTTTTGGACACACCCCTTATTGGATTGTGATATAATCCTTGAAGAACATCTGTTGTGCAATATTCCTAAAGACGAAAGAGATTCCCCTATGACCTATTGGGTTACTAAGGAATGTGAGTGGAACTAGGAGAGGATGAGAACTTTTGGACACACCCCTTATTGGATTGTGATATAATCCTTGAAGAACATCTGTTGTGCAATATTCCTAAAGACGAAAGAGATTCCCCTATGACCTATTGGGTTACTAAGGAATGTGAGCGGAACGGGGAGAGGATGAGAACACTTCTTCCTGATGATATTTTGTCTTACATTGTAGTGATGGATGATGCTCTTAAGCATGGGCTGGGTGATGATCGAACGATCTGAGAAATTGAGCGAGACAACAAGTTTAGGCGTAGGTTAGCATACCAACTTGTTGCTGATGATATGGAAGAGGAGGAGGACGAGTTTTTGAGAGAGCTTTGGAGATGGAAAGGGCCTAGCAGAGTGAAGCACTTCCTCTGGCTTGTCCTCCACCATCGACTCATGACAAATAAGGAAAGAGGAACACAAATTGACCATGAATTGCAGCTTCAAGCGATGCAGTGGATCTAAAAAGACAGTTGAGCACATCTCGCGAATTTGTAGGAGGACTAAGGGAGTTTAGAACTTCTTCAAAGACAAAGTCTCAACAGGGACTTCAAAAAATGGATGGTGGCAAATATGAAGGATGAAGACAATGATGTCGAATTTTGCATTATTTGTTGGATTGTTTGGAAGCAAATGAATGAGGAAGTATTGGATGAGAATAGATTCACAACTCTAGGAACTGTGCATAGAATTTTGGCTTGGATCCAAATTTTGATTAAAGCAAAGGAAATGAAGAAAAAAGTATTATTTAAGGACAGACTAGGAGAACTAGAAAAGAGACTCAAATTGGATGGAACCCGTCGAGAGAAGGATGGATACAACCCCAATATGATGGTTCAGTTAACCCGTGAATAGGAAAGGCTGTTGCAACAGGTCTTCTCATAGATCACTTGGGACGATGCAAGGAGGCTTTCATCTGCAATCTTGGGACAAGCTCGATCAGTTGAGCGGAGCTAAGATGTGTTGCCGAGGGCTTAAAATTGACTTCGGAAAGAGACTACAGGAAAATCGAACTCAAGTTGGATTCCTCCACTACTGTCAACATTATTGGAAACATTGCAAAGTAAATTGGGCAACTTTTGGATTTTGATTGATTGGAATGTATCCCATCTCAAATGTGTATAGAGAAAGCAATATACTGCTAATATTTTTGCTAGTAACAGTCGTGATGTTTCTTTAGGCACACATTCTTTTGATGTGCACGACCCAAACTTATATTACGGACTTAGGTATAGTAGTACTAGTATCATAGACATCACGATAAATCGTTCTATAAAATTAGGATGAGAAATTTTTTGGGATATTAGTATTACACTCTCTTTCTTTAAAAAAAAACGCCTCCTCCTTTTTCCGGACTCGGCCAATTCTTAATCAACCGTCTCTCTTTCTTTTCCCCTCTATCTGTCTCTGTCTCCGAAAGCCTCCGTGTCAAACTCGCGTTTTTCCTTAAAACAGCACTATAACAGCGACGAAAGCACGACAAAGCTTTCGAATATCTCTCTCTCTCTCTCTCTCTCTAAGCTCCCCCTCTGCTGCATTTCATTTCAATTTCCCCCAATTCTGTGATTAAACCCAAATATCTGCTAGAAGCCTCCGTCGTTTGATCCTCTCCCTGATCCTGATCTTGTTCTACCGCCAATCTCTGATTTCCCCCTTCCCTGATCGGAGTTGCGGAAGTGGGTTTTGTTGGGTTTCCTTACTATTTATCTGGGTTCTTTCTTTAATTGGTTGAAATTTCCGGGAGGAGTTGGAAAAGAGGAAGAAAATATAAAGAGAAGTTTCTGGGTTACGTGTGTTTGTTGAGGGGAGAGCAAGCGATGTTGACCTTGTGGAACTAGAATGGAACTAGTGGTTACGCACCAACAGCATCGAAGGCAACCGGAAGAGCAAGGTAATAATAACCTATAGCACTAGCACCAGTAGGAGAAGAGGAAGTAAAATCACGATGACGCTTTACATTGGCCGGGAAGCTTCAAAGGTTTCTATCTATTTTGTGTTTTGTTTTAATTTTGGGTGAAAAGTAGTGACCTTTTGTTCATTGTTCTGGCTTATTCTGATAAGTTGGATGTTATTTTGCAATTCCCTGGGTGGCTGAAGCTATGGAAGAGAGTTTGTGCAGAGACAAGTACAGAGATCAATCTTCTAGCGGAGAACTGGAGATATATTCTTGCAGGCTTGATTTGTCAGGTTTGCTTCATTCCTTCCTTTTCTTTTTGTTTTGGAGGAGGATAGATGTTGACTTCACCTGCGAATTTCACTGCTTCATTCTGTGTTATTGAAGTCTCCGAAAGGAAATCATTAACCTGGTTCATAGGTTATGGTCACTGTTAACTGTATCCTTCAGAAATTGGAAGGGGTAAAAAGAAAGAGCTTTTGGTTTTAGCTCGAGGATTAGTCTCTATTAACTTACATATGTGGAGCGGGCTCAACTATGGAAGTCATTCTTCCGGCCATTTAACCTCAATTTATCTTTTTGTCTAGTACGGTGGCCTGAATTGTTTTGGAAGGGGGTAAAAGAATGGAGTAGCTCTGGTAGAATTCACAGTATATGCTGCACGCCATCTGGACTTAGTTAGTGTAGTTTTGGCTGTTTGGATCTTTGGTCCTGTGTTGTTGTTTTAAGGACTCCAACAAGAAGGGGAACAAAGTTATCCAGATGTTGTCATGTCTGAGAATCACAGAGTTTTTCCCTGTCATTCCCCTCGTCGAGAGAACAGCTCATAAGAATCTCGCTCAGTTCTGTTTGTGTTGTTTGATTCATTGTGTTTGACCTTCTGTTTTGTTCCGTTTTCTGTCTCTATTCTAACATTTTATAGTCACGTTCTGGCAGTACATTCATGGTTTGGCTGCGAAGGGGGTTCATTATTTCCACCGACCAGGACCGATATTGCAAGATGTTGGATTTTACCTACTTCCGGTATGGGTGTTTCCAACGCTGTGGTGCGCATTTGGGTTCACCTTCTAATAACATAGGAGTCTGCTTTCGTCTAACTCAACCCCTTTTGTGCAAATTTTAGGAGCTTGGCCAAGATAAAGGGCACATTAGTGAGATGCTGTTCACCTGTGTCTTTCTATCATTTATTTTGGTAAGCTACTTCAATTGGCTCTCCAGGGATTGCAGTCAACTCTATGCTTTACTTTGTCGAATTCTATTTTGATTTTTGGCTATACACTTCAGAAAACATGATCTTAATATATATCTTATGGAGATTGCTATGTTATACTCCTTAATGTGGTCCTTTGTTGCTGCTATTGCAGTGGACATTCCATCCTTTCATCTTCAAGGTCAAGAAGATATACACAGTCCTATTGTGGTGCAGGGTTCTAGCATTTCTATCTGTAAGTTTTTTATTTGTTCCCATCTGGTACCATTGTTTTCTTCTCATCATTAGTTTTTCTTTGTAATCCCTATATATAAGCTGAAAATATGCCCTTTTATTATTATCAGGCCTCTCAATTTCTTCGGGTCATCACGTTCTACTCCACGCAACTTCCTGGTCCAAATTATCATTGTCGCGAGGTTTGATAAAACTTATCTCATATGTGCTGCAAGTTCATTTACGTCCTTGAACTCATAGACTAATAGTCGTTCTTGTCCATATTTTTGCAGGGTTCAAAACTTGCCAGATTACCACGTCCTCAGAGTGTACTTGAAGTTCTCCTGATTAACTGTGAGTGTTTAAATTTCCAATCTTCATTCAAATTCACTTTTCGACAAGAATATAACGTTTTTATTTATTTATTTATTTATTTATTTATTTACTGACATATACTGGTCTGACAGTTCCTAAGGGCGTCATGTTTGGTTGTGGTGATTTGATCTTCTCATCGCACATGATCTTCACATTGGTATTTGTCCTTAGCTATCAGAAGTATGGATCCCATAGGTAACATATGACGTCTTCTCTTCCCTTTCCCTAGTGTCCATTGCCATATATACACTAAAACATTTAACTTATGAGAGTTTTCTTTTGTACTGTTTTGAAATTTTCAGATGGATAAAGAACTTAGGTTGGCTTGTTGCCGTGGTTCAGAGCCTTCTGATCATTGCATCCCGGAAGCACTACACAGTTGATGTTGTGGTTGCATGGTAAGTAGGATTGGACCTTTCACCATTTTCTGGACTTCTAATGCTTCACAAAACAAACTTCATTTTCCGGATTGCTGAATTAGTTCTCTCCAACGAATGAACGTACACAGGTACACTGTTAATTTGGTGGTATTCTTTGTGGACAAGAAATTACCTGGTATGTTATGTTTCCCTCTACCCTTGCCATTCTCTCTTTCAGCAAAGCTACTTTGGTAAAAATGCTGATATATGAATTTCTCTGCTTCCTCCACAGAACTCCCTGATCGGAGCGGTGGAGCTGCAACCTTGTTGCTACCTTTGACTACCAAAGACAAGGATGAAAAGTCCAAAGAAGAGAATCACAAGCTATTGAATGGAAACTCAGTTGACGATTGGGTATAATAGTGAATTCCACTCATTTGACTCTCTTCCGATTCTACCTTCTTCCTTCTCCAATTGGTGTCCTGATGAAGCTATGCAATGTTTTTCTTCTTTTGTTCTTTCTATCTCAGCGGCTGAGAAGCCAAGTGAATGGCAAGATCATGGAAGATACGAATGGCATCCCTCCTAATACGAATGCCATGAACGGTGCGTAGACATATGACAGTGCAATGAACGAAGCTCTTCTGCCACTCGAGAAACTGCTCTGCCGCGGAATGGACTACTATGGCTTGGCTCACTTTACTCTAGAGAAAGAAGAATATGAGTAGGCTCATGTAACTTGATGCTTTAGCAGTTGGTCCTTCCTCTCTTGTTGTGTGGTACTGACAAAATCCAGCAACACTTAATTAGTAGCAATATCATCAATGGTTTCCTTTGTGTAATGAAAAATTTTCGGGAAGCTCCTGTTGTTTCTTCTTTAACTGTGATTCTTTTCTTTTATTTATTGATTTTATCATTATTGAACAGTGAAAGATACTTCTCTTTGGCGAATTGAAGGCAGAAGTTATGATGGAAGTAAAAAGCCAACAAACAAGGAGTTGAGATTTTGTTTATGTTAAGAAGATGTTAACAGTTGTGTTCGGTTCGGTTGGAATTCCAGCGAGTAACTGCCCGTTGGTAAAAAAATGATTGAGAGGACATGTGCTGTCCCGTGATTTCCTTTTTCCCTGATTGCTCCTTGATTGACCAGCTCTTTCCCATATGTACTTCTATTTCAATCGTTTATATATTATCTAACAAACGATTTAAGGTAAAAGGTAAAGAAATTACAATTGAACAAGCAAACAAGGTAAGTTGTTGTGAATTCGATTTGAAAAAGCTTCATCCGGATTTTGTTCACTCTAGTCTCGTGTTAAGATGTAATCAATGAAACTATAGTGTGAAGAGAGGGATTATATACCGTGAGGAGGTTGCAACTAGTTAGGAAACCCCAACTCTTTTAATCGATCAACTAAGGATTGCACGATAAGCTAGGAAACCTAGCTCTCTTAATCGATCGACTAAGGATTGTAAAGAGCAATCCCTCGGAAGTTAATCCGGAACAGAGAAAAGCAACCAATCAAGATGAGATCATGGCACTAATCCGACGTGTGAGGTTTGTCCTTAAATGCCCTAGAAGGAGTTGCCCAAATTGCCAAGGTGTGGGCTATGAGGAGATTTCCTCCTTCTAGGTCAAATTGTCCAACATTTGAGATATGATAAATAACACCAAAAATTTACGAAAAATACCTCACACATTATATTAATCACAAACTCAACACATAAAGAGTTCAAATCTTACAATCTAACACATCCTAGACTAGCGTTTCCAATACCCAAGAGAAATGGGAGACTACTCCATAGCTAGGAAGAGAAATACAACAAAGACGGAAGAAAAAACCATGGTGAGATGATTCTCCTTCCTTCTAGTTGCTTGATTCACCCTTTAGAGAGAAAAATCTTCAACCCTCTAGCCCTGGGTAAGTCAAATCCTTCTTCTTCCTCCTATTAGCTCGTCACTTTCTCTCTCTATTTGAAAAAGAAGACCCAAGTCTCTCTCTAGAACTCCTTTTTAGGTTTCAGCTCCCTCTCCTTTATATACTCCAGTCGGGCTCGTTTCACGGTCAAATATCACGCCCATGATGTTGAACGCTTGACTGTGATCTCGGTGCAAAACACGTCGTTTTACTAAATGACATCACGGGCTGCTGGCGGGAAATATCACAATAGGGTGATCGTGATAACTAAAGTTGCCCACGGAAGACAAAATAAATAAATAATCCTTCCTTTTCTCTTTTTCCTTCACTCGTTTATATTCCAATTGCTCCTCGGAAACAGGAAACGGAATGGTCAATATATAATCCTGCTGGTTGACCGGAAGGCAAACTGGTGGCGCCGGCAGAATGGGAATCCTCGTCGCCGGCCCGTCTGCTTGGGCGGAGCTGGAGGCAGGATTGCTGGCGGAGATCGCCAAGAGAATAGCGAGACTCTCCGATTACGCAAGTTTCGCTACGGTGTGCTCGTCGTGGAGGAACGCCGCTCTCCCCGAGGAGCGCCGCCGCCGTCCGTGGGCGCAATTCCCGGGGCTGCTGATAGCCGGCCGCCGCCGGGAGAGGAAACCAGGGGATCGCTTCTTACCCGTTGCGCAGATCAGAAACTACCTGGGCAACCAGAAATCCCACTACAGATTGCGGCGGGCCTTTCTACAGCCGCCGGCGGCGGCGGCGGCCGCGGAGGAGTGGGATTGTCGAGGGACACAGGAAGGATGGGTGGTGATGGTCAAGCCTTACGAGGATGGGAACAGAGCTGTGAACGTGACGCTACGAAACCCGCTCACCCACGTCGACATTGCTCTGCCTCCTCTCCACGCCGGCGTTTCGACGGCGCCGTTTTCCTGGCGGGTTGAAAAGGCTGTGCTGTCTTCTTCCCCAGGAGCCGACTCCAGCGGCCGATGCTACGTCTTGATGTTCCACGATCTGCGTGTTACTGAACTCATTACCGTTAGGTATTACGTTCTATATCCTTTTTTTTCTTCTTCTTGTTGTCTGGTCTCGCTTGTGCTTTTGGAGCAGGTTCAAAAAAGCACGCTTAACGTTACGCTTAGGCACAAACACCTCGTTTAGGGATTTCGCGTCTAATTAGATTCCGAGTAAGTCGACATATAAGTCTCTCCTAAACATTTACTGGATGGAGTTAGAAAGTCAATATTAAAGGAGAAAATTAACATCAACGCTACGAAAACTCAGTTTTCTGTATCGATATTTTCAACAGCTCAAGAACTTTTGCGACCTATTGAGCCATGATTCTATGAATTTCATGAGCTATGTTTTTTGTCATCAAGTGTTTTTTTTTTGTCATTAAGTTCTGATTATTACTTCATTCATCGTACAGTACAAATAGCTTTTTTTTTCTTCCTTCCAGCGTCTAGACATGCTTAGTCTACACCTAGCCGAACAAGGCGCTAGGCAAAACCTCAACGCCTGCCTTACATCTAGCGCATTTTTGAACCTTGATTGTGATGCCTTTTGTTCTGTCTTGTACTTGTGTTCTTCTCCTCGTTTTTTCCCCCTTCTTCTTTCTTTTTCAAAATTCAATTCACAAATCACAGTGTGTGTTTTTTTTTAGGTTGGTGAGTTTGTGCGAGGTTGGAGCGGGTGAAGGACGTTGGAGAGACGTGGAGTTCACAGAAATGCCTATCGATCACCAAGATTACAGTATCGAGCCGCCGCCGACGACGGCAGGGGGAAGCCCACCACCCGCGCTGGACGACAGGGACGCAATTTACATCAACGGCAACAACAACTCAAGTTACTTCTACATACTGAACCGAGGGATCCTGCACCTCCTGGACCCATCCGCCGCCGAGGCGAGAACCACCGCCGTCTGCAGAATCGAAGGGAAACTCCCCTTCCGACAAACCAAGTGGAGGGAGAGCTTCCACCTGAACCACTACTTCTACTCCGCGGAAGCAGGGTGCCACGTCGTCCCGCATTTCCACCTGGCGAAACTCGGAGCAGGTGGAGATGATGAGCTGGCAGTGGCCGTCCGCCTGGTGGGGTACAGCCCGGGCCAAGGGGAGACAGGTGTCAGAAAGTTCGTCGTGTACACGTGGCGGCGGTCGGAGGATCGGCAGGGGTACTATTGGGAAGAAGCCGGCGACCTGGGCCGTGGCGGGGCGGCGCTGTTCGTGGGGACGTGTCAGGCTAGCGTGACCTTGCGGCTGCCTGCAGGGGTGAACGTTGCGGCGAAAAGGGACCATATCTATTTTGCTCTGTTCTCCCCTGCCAATGTTTCCGGGGTCGAGATTGGGGAATATAACTACCTCCGCCGCGGCGGCGGCGGCAGTGGCGGCGATGTTCACCTGTTCAAATTTGGACCCTCGACGATTGAGCCGCAGGATTTGGCATCGTTAGATCGTTTAAGGAGGCCACGCCCTCTTTGGTTCCTTCCGGCACCTTGGAGGTACGTATGAATCTGTCTGTCAAAATCGCGTTTTAAAACTTAAAAACTTATGCTTTTATGCTTCTAGGTCACCAAAACGCTTCTACGCATAATCGTCGTTTTTTTATGCTTTTACGCTTCTAAATTACCAAAATGTATCTGCGTAGAAACACGCTTTGGACTAAATTGGTGTTAGTTAGTTAGTTATGGTGCATTAATGTATTCACATGGGAATTACTTTGGTGTAGATCTTCATCAAGCATCGACGGGAAGTGCACGAGGAAGCGTTGTGAAGAAATGGATTGTACCTGCGCTGCTGCAACTATTCAGGCCGATGGTGAAGAGAACGATGAGCAATATGCCTTTGATACCGCTACCAATAGATTTGAAGCCTTGCTCACGCTCTAACTACTCTTTCCCTCATTCATCATATATATATATAATTCTTTCTTTTTTGGCTCTTATCACATTGTCATCCTGTTCATTCGATTTATTTTGGTTCAATTTGAAAATGGATCTTGTATCTCGAGACATATAATATATAGTGTTGACAAATTATATTGTTTTTGTTATAATACTATTATTATATCTATTATGCGGATTATGAGTGCTTAAACATCGAAAACATTTAACTGATGGGGTTCGATCCGTGTGCTCTCGGTTCTCAACCTCGCTCTTTCTATTGCGGTGGAAAACCCTAGACATGCTCGTGGATCAGGAAGTTTAGCATTGCCTCGTTTGAGTTCCGAGTTCATTTTAGTACCAGTAGTGTTGGATGATTTGCATTGAACTATTGTTTTTATCGTGTTTATTAATTATTTGTATTTCGATATATATTTCCATGAATCGGAACCATCAATAATTATTTTTAGATTTAAATGAATCGTATGATTTGAGTTAGATAATTAGGGACTTGGACACGTGTCCAATTTAACACCCCACCCGTTTGCTCCTAATTTCTGGATTTGTCCAAATTAGGCGGTAATCTAATCGTGTGGTGGGCCGGCAGGATTTGCCTTCCACTGCCACGTCATCAACAACAGTCAAAGAGCATGGAAAAGTTTTTTGACTCTCTCATACAACCGTTATTTTCCGCCTCCTTTGCCGCGTCGTCGGCATTATCAATATTAAACTGCAAACTTAAAAAAAGTAGAACAAAAGCCACTAAAAGGGAAACATATGATCATATCTTGCAAAACAAACACGGCATATATGGAAGAGATGAACAGCAAAAATCAATCCTTGGAAAGAAACAGACAGACAGCGGTGGTAAAGAACAGACAGACAGGCAGACAGACAGGAAAGCAGTAAGGTAATGATGAGTGATTTGCAAAATCTCAGAGAAGTCCCCCCAACAAAAAAAAAAAAGAAATTTAATTTAAGGTCAAGAGAGCAGCAAGCAAAAAGATAATACCCTTTCTCCCCCGGACTTCATTTTCCCCAGCTTAGGATCAGGCTTAAGCAGAGTGCCAAATTCTTCTTTGCCATTGCTTTTGCTTCCGAAATCGACCGGTCAAAAAATGGGTGGCCAGTGCTCCAAGTTATCCCTCTGCTGTTACCAGTCTCGCCATAACCCTTCCGTCCTGGAGTCCTCCGATCTCGGTAGCAAAAAAAAGATTGCGACTTTCCTTCTTTCCTGACATTTTGCCAACTGGGTTCTGGTATTTCTGTAACCAAAACAAAATTCCCTTGAAATGCAGATGATGGGGGCAAAAACGGGGGGAGTCCATGGCCGAGCTTCAGGGAGTTCAGCTTGGAGCAGTTGAAATCCGCCACCGGCGGGTTCTCCTCCGACAACATCGTATCGGAGCACGGCGAGAAGGCTCCCAATGTGGTTTACAAAGGGAAACTGGATGTCGACCGTTGGATCGCCATCAAGCGCTTCAATAGAATGGCCTGGCCAGATTCGCGCCAGTTCCTCGTCAGTTCATTTCTTCCTCGCCTTTCCCTAATTTTGGGGGTTTTGTTTTTTTGACTCTAAATGTCTTTTGACTGAATCAAGGATGTCTAAAAATTGTGAATCCTCAGGAGGAAGCAAAGGCGGTGGGGAATCTGAGAAGCGATCGGCTGGTGAATCTGATTGGATGTTGTTGTGAAGGTGAAGAGAGACTGCTCGTCGCTGAGTTTATGCCCAATGAAACGCTTTCCAAGCATCTCTTTCACTGTAAGCTTTCATCTCTGTTAAATGAAATTCTTTTTTTTCTTGTGATGAACTGGAAGCAATTGAGAGTTCTGATTAGTTTTGTGGGTTTTCTAGGGGAGAGTCAGCCGATGAAATGGGCAATGAGATTGAGAGTAGCTCTGTATCTAGCCCAAGCTTTGGAGTACATCAGCAGCGAAGGAAGGGCTTTGTACCATGATCTCAATGCCTATAGGGTCCTATTTGATAAAGATGGGAACCCTAGGCTATCTTGCTTTGGGATGATGAAGAACAGCAGAGACGGCAAGAGTTACAGCACTAATCTCGCATTCACCCCTCCTGAGTACTTAAGAACTGGTAATCATTACAGACGAAGTCGGCTGATCTGGGTTACATTTTTGGATGATTGTTGACTCAAAGTTTGAAAACAAAGTGTGGTGGATACTCATTATCAATCACCAAGCTTCTCTGCAGGCAGAGTGACTCCAGAGAGTGTTGTCTACAGTTTTGGTACACTTGTTTTGGATATACTTAGTGGCAAACATATTCCACCCAGCCATGTATGTTATTATCTTTTCTTGCTCTCTCTACTTGGTCTTTGTTTTGTCTTATGGTTTACATTGGCCACTTTTTCTGTTACTGCATTATTCTTCTTCTTCAGGCCCTTGACTTGATTCGCGGCAAGAACTACCTGATGCTAATGGATTCAGCACTGGAGGATCATTTCTCAAAGGACGATGGTACTCAGTTAGTGAGACTGGCTTCGCGTTGCTTACAGCTCGAGGCTCGAGAGAGGCCAAATGCCAAGACACTTGTGGCTTCTCTGATTCCACTTCAGAAAGAAACCGAGGTAGGATTTAGATTAGATGAGCTCGCGGTTCGAAGAAACCCTCATTGTGGTTTCTTAACTGGAAAAAGTTGAGTGCCTCTTACTTTGACAGGTTCCATCTTATGTACTTATGGGGATCCCACATGAAGCAGCAGCAGCAGCAAGTAACCAGCCGCTGTCGCTCACCCCATTCGGTGAGGCCTGCTTGAGAATGGATCATACTGCTCTACATGAACTGCTTGAGAAAGTTGGGTACAGGGATGATGAAGGAATTGCCAATGAGGTTCGCAATTTTGTTCTTGCAGCTGCCTGAATCAAAAATTCTGAGACTGGTTTGAAGTCGACTTTTGGTTTCTTTCTTGCAGCTATCTTTCCAGATGTGGACAAATCAGATGCAAGATACCTTGAGCTCCAAGAAAAACGGAGACATTGCCTTCCGTGCAAAGGATTTCCCCACTGCCATTGACTGCTACACACAGGTCAGTCGTGCTGCTTAGTCTTACTAATGGCTCTAATGATTTGCTGTCCACGCTAAACCGGACTGAATCCCACTTCAATATTTTGGCTAACTAAATTACTTAACACATTTCAGTTCATCGATGGAGGGACCATGATATCGCCGACGGTGTATGCTAGGCGGTGCCTGTCGTGCTTGATGAACGAGATGGCACAACAAGGGCTGGGGGATGCCATGCAAGCTCAAGTTGTGTCCCCTGAGTGGCACATTGCATCTTACCTTCAAGCAGCATGCCTCTTCAGCCTTGGAATGGAGAATGATGCCCAGGAAGCTTTGAAAGATGGCACCAATTTGGAAGCCAAAAGGAACAAAAAGTGAAATTCTGACATTAGAAGTAAGAAGAAAAGGCTGATGATGTACAGACCTGGTTCTTTTCCCTTCTGTTTTTGTTTCCACCTCCTTGCTGCTTAGTTTTTGTGTACCTAGGCTGGCTCTTGTATGTAAGTTACTCTCATTTCTTGGTTTGTTTCGAGGTTCGTCTTGGCATTCGAGGATTGGTCAATATTTTTACTGATTTTCTCTTTAATGGATTCCCTTATGGCGTGATTCTCAGTGGCACAGGGTCACAGTCTCTGCACAAATTTCTGGATAAAGAATCCACACAACTACAGACTCGGCCTCTGTTATTCCCACAACGTTCTTGGCAGCCGAGTTGCAGATCTCGCAAATCCTGAGAAATGAAATGAAATCACCAGCCATTTAGGACATTATGACTAAGCAAGATGAGGGTCAAAATCAACCCTTTTTTTTCTAATTCTGCTGGCGTGGAATGCACGCAATAAGTCAAATCATGGGCTATCATTGAAGATGCCAGATAAGCAGAACAAATCATGAATCACTACTCTAGTCTAAAATCTCTAATGTGTAAAATGAATCAATGGTAGGGGGAGCTGATGGAAACAAACAAAAGGCAGGAGGCAAATAAATTAAAGGAGAATCATTATATGAAGGGGAAGTGCTAAGATTCCCAAACAACCCCGCAAAATATGGCCGAAAGTAAAAGATGAAAGGAAAAAGCACGCAAACAAATGATTTCGACAAGAACATGTCGGTGTGAGTGAGCGAGTGTAGTAGCATACGATCCTATTCTTGGAAGTGGTAGGAAGATCGAGTATCTGCATATGAATTTGAATGAGATGGACATAGTTATCGTTAGGAGTGGAAATCGGTTCGGTTATGTTAAATATAGACAAATTCGATATGATATTTATTCTATTTCAAATACTCATATTAACTTCCAGCCCTAATTATGGCGCTTGCCTACTTAGAGCAAATCTTTCATACTAGTGCTGTTGATGTGACTTGAATCGGACTATCAGCCGGTTACGACTGGTAGTTGGGGGTCTCGCTAAAGGATCAAGTCCACCATGAGAGAACTAAGCACATCTAAGTGAGGTATCATTTCTTGAGGACAGAAAAGAGGATTAAGGTGAAGAAGGTTGGCACCGCGGATAATCCTGTTGATATGTTCACGAAGCCGGTTCCACATGACAAGTTCCAACACTGCTTGGGCTTGCTGAATGTCTTGAGTGGGTGATTCCGCCCTGCGGGGCATTGATGGCGAGAGAGAGAAGGAACAGAGTACATCAGAGATTTCAGAGGAAGAGGAGTCAAATCAAGGTGGAGATTTGTTGATGTGACTTGAATCAGACTATCAGCCGCTACGACTAGATTGGGCCTGGTCTGGAACTGTTTTTCTTTACCATATTGGATTAGGGTTAGACCTAGGAGAAGTACTATAAATGCTTCTCATACTGTAATCTACTCAATATAGTGAAACTGACTCTCTCTCGCCCGTGGACTAGCTAACACACATCGTGTTAGTGAACCACATAAATCGTGTGTCTGTGTTTTTCGATTCTCACTTTCGTATTCTTACTTTATCGATTCCAGCGATTTCTCGATCCGTAACAGCGCATCTATAACAAGAGCTAATTGACTAAGAATTTTTCCCACAACAGGGCAAAACTAATGATCAATTTACCTAAATCAAGTAGATTGTGGGACTGTCAGCAACTACAATTAATTTAAGGAATGTGTGAAAAATGACTTACTTATTGCCCTTAATCTTGAACCAGGCCTCGGCGCAGTGCTTGTGGGCGGCCGCCAAATCGGCTTTGCATGAGCAAACCTAACTCAATCGGAATTCCGGATTCCTGGCTGTTGCTCTTCAGACCCAGATGGCAAATCCGGCAGTCTGTCCTCCGCCAAATAATGCGCCTTCCCCTCCCCTGCCTCCGCACCGCTCCCAATCTCCACCGCGACGACGACCGACTGCTCCGACACGCAGGACACCCTCCTGGAATCCCAACCGTCGGAGCCGCTGGCGAAGCCGTAATCGTCGTAGGTTGAGCCGGCGGTTGTGGCGTAGAACTGGGAGTGGGTTGAGCCGCCGTCCTCTGTGTCGGAGAAGCAGCTGACGTCTTCGCTCCCGGCGATTGAGCTGCCCCGCCGGAGGTGGTGGTGGCCCTGTTCTAAATCGAGGTGATGGTGGGACATTTCCCAAAGTCGGGAAGCTCTTTTTTTTTTGTGGGTTTTTGTTTTAACTTCCACAATTGAAGAATGGGTGCAGAGGACTATACAATTGCTGGGCTTATTGGACTAGGTAGTGACTCTTCCTTCTTCGACTCCATTAAAATTGTTGCATTCGATAGCCAGAAGCAGGAACGGCCGTGAAGAAAAGAGTTGGTATAGATTGTTGGCGCAATTTTGCGATTTGATTATTGAAGGAGGATGAACAGATGGCGTCAGAAGAGAACAGAAAGAGTGGCGTGCTTTTATTTATGGCGCGGCAGAGGGGCATGGAGCTAGAGACAGAGAGTGACACTTTTTTAGTAAAAGCGTGCAACTTTTTAAGGTTAAACAGATCCTCATTGCAATCAACGAGTATAGGCAAGTCAGAAACCTTCAATATACATTGATACTCTGCTGGCTAAGCTATGAATCTGTCCCTCTTAAATCTGAGGATCCATTCATACCTAGTAGGAACACGACATCAAAAATGCAAACTTACGACGACAAAATGAGTCGAGAAAAAGAATAATATGATTAGCCTAGTGCTAGACAAATGAAGCAATCATCACATGTCTAAATCATTGGAGATGATTAAGGTTACGTAGTCAGCTTTTGGGGTCTCATTTCAATCCTGCTGCTTCTGAGAACCCATTGGATCCGTTTGCTGCAATTCAAGGAAAGACAGTAAATAAGAACAAATCTAGGGAGTTGCAAGTGGAGATAGTTCAGCATAAGGTTAAGTCTTTACCAAGATTGTTATCGATTTTGTTACTGATTGCACAGCAGTCACAGCATCAGAACCTGAGAATCACACGCATTCGATTATATGCTCGAGCGAAGATTAAAACAAGGAGAAGCAATTTCAAGAGCTACATTTGATGAGTTAGAAGAATCACCTTGTATATCATTTCCTGATATCACCTCTGTAACAGAGGAGCAGAACTCAGAAAACACTTGATCTCCCCCTGTGTTCCCATCTTGTGATGTCCTGCTCAGCAGCATGTCTCGCATCAGATAAGCAAAAGGAACAGGTGGCCAAAGAGGGAGACAAGAAAACAGAAATTATGGTCTGAGAAATTTACCCAGAAGCAGAATCTGTAGAAGCACCAGAGGTTGGTTCGCACGGGCAGGAGGCAAACCCCTCCATTCCAAAATCAAGATCGCTCATCAGATCGCTGAAGGAGAAATTTGGTCCAAAAATATCAGGCAAATCGAGTCCAAACACGTTCTCATCCTTATCAGACTCCGGCGTTGAAGCCTCCTCATCAACTCTGGGCATTATCTCATCTGAACCACCAAAGTCCAGCCTTCCCTTCACGCAGTCCCTCTTTCCAGACCTCTTGAACCCAGGTTTCAATGGAGAAGTAATGCAACGGTTTCTCTCCACCGTGTATGATATGTGCTTACATGGACTAACCATGACCCTCTCCGATGTAATCACAGTGCAGCCTGTTGGAGTTACATTCTGTGGAGTGGTGGTTGCGCTACAGGTTATTGATTGTGGAGGTGTTTCGGGGCCAGATGAATGAGGCTGATTGAACAAGCGCTTGGCGATGCTCGCTCCATTGGCTACTTGTGGCAAACAGTTGTTGGGTGATGATGCAACCAGAGAAGAGCACTGAACAACTTCATTAGCAATGGATGCATTGCCAGGCCGGTTGGTTGTTGCTAATGAGAGAAACAAACACAAAAGAGTCGTCAAAGATTGAAACAAAACACATAGTGTTGAGAACACAAAAACTGATGGAACTCAGTGAAGTGTCTTTTTACCTGTAGTTGGTGTTGTTCCAGAGAGTAACTTGGCCTTCTTAGAAGCATTTGGGGCTTTTAGGACTCTATTTGTAGCAGAACCCCCTCTCTTTCTCGTGGCTGGCAAATTAGCAACCACGTTCGAAGCCGTGGTGGGAATAGGCACCATGTTTGGTGATTTGATCGTATTACCATCTGTTCCAAGAGCACAAATTCTAGCTTCCATTAACAACACCAACGACCACATAAACCCACTAAGCAAGTTTCAGTTCAATCATCCGTTCATCTGAGTGCAAGCAACCATGGGAATAGGAATCCATAAAAGCATAGGAAGAAGAAGGTGAAGAGGGTTCTCACCTTGAGGAGGCTGAGGGATTACTGCGACCTGTTTGGTTGCAGAGGCCTGCTGGATCAAGGGGACAGCAGATGGAACTGCTGGGCTGGTACCATTGTAAACGTTCATCACTTGTTGCATACCGTTCAAGAGATTCTGAACCCTAATTTTCTCTTGCTCTAAACAGACCCTTTCCTGATCCAACATCACTTTCTGCTCCTTCAAGCTGATGTAGTCGTTCAATATCATCCCTAACCCTAGCAAACTCTTGGGCGCCTAGAAGAAAACCCAGATCAGAAAATCGAGAGTACACAGCGAGAAACACTATGATTATGAGCCCTAAAAAAACAACCCACAAAAATCAAATTGCTTTAGGGAGCATTAGTGGGTACCTCATTGACCGGAGATTTGGAGATGAGTGAAGCAGCTTCATTCCTGAACACAGCACGAGTCTCCGAGAAATTGTTTTCGCAGAGATATCTGTCCACCAGGAATGCAACTTGGATAGGCGTCACCTTGCCTTTGCCCACTGCTTCGCTTTTCCTGGATCTGCCTTGCTTCGCCATCTTCTCTAGTAAACCAGAGACCCAGAGGGAGAGAGAGGGAGAGATGGGAGAAACGAAAATGAAGACCGAGGGTAAATGAGAAGGAGGAGGAAATCTGAATCCAAGACTGAGAAAATGAGGCGGAGGATGGAGGGAGATTGGTGAAATAGGAAACGGCAGGAGTGTTTTTTAAAAAATTTGCAAGAGTAAGACCTCCCTCCGCCTTTTGGTGATTCCTTCGCGGGGAAATGTCATTTCGCTTCGCGGGAAACAAGATTTCAACTATGGCGCTTCACTTCTTCACCGCAAAAACTATGGCGCTAAAATTTTAAAAAAAAATTGAAAGATGTGTAATGGGCTCCTGGGAAGCCCATCTGGAAGTGGACTGGAGCCCAAGCCTACCTCGCGTTCGGCACTGACACACGATGTTACAGACTGTTATACAAAGCCTCTTTGGGCTCACGGGCTGGGCTCTCTAAGTGGGCTACAATAGACACAAGTGGAAAACCCAAACCCGAAAGCCTATCGTCTAACAGTAGCACTGTTCTCTACATTCCATTCCACCACTCTCCTCCACAGCTCCTAAAAAGAAAGAGAGAGAAAGGAATACTTCCTTTCCACACAGCTCCTCAAAAGAAAGAAAAGGCAAGGAATACTTTCTTCTCACCAAACTTGGAGCTGGTTATCCTCTCACTCCTCTCCCCAAACCCTAGTCCATCGACGCACTCTGAGTAATCCCCCTCCAGATTCAGCCATGGTCATTTATCCAGCTCTCACCCACTTAAAGTTTCTAACTTTACTGTTCTTCCACTTCAATCTGCTTCTTGCAGACCCAACTTCCACCTTTTCCTTCACAAATTTCGACCAAAATCCAAACTTTACCGCAACCATAGCCCTCTACGGCGACGCCAAGCTCGTTAGCACTGATGGGTCTTTTCCTACCAATTCCTCGGCCATTCAGCTGACTCATTCAGTCAGTTCCAGCGGCGGGCGAGTCATGTACAACAAACCCATCAAGCTCGTCGCCAACGGCAGCGATTCCTCCGCGTCTTCTTTCTCAACTTACTTCTCATTTCTGATTTCCCCAGATAACACAGGAGACGGGTTGGCTTTCGTTATGGTCCCTGCCGAGTTCGACGCCACTCTCTTCCTCAGCAATACTCCATTTGGGCTTTCTCTCAGATCAGGTCTGAAATCCTCCAGAAGCTTCGTTGCCGTTGAATACGGCTCCTCTAAAGACCCAAAGTACAGCGATTTGAGCGACGACCATGTGGGAATCGATGTGGGCGAGTTCGTTTCGGTCAAAGTGAGGAATGTTTCGTCGGTCAACGCATTGTTGAGCAGTGGGAAGAGATTGCATTCCTGGGTGGATTATGAGGCAGGGTCAAAGAGATTGGAAGTCAGGTTGAGTCAATTTGGGGGAGAGAAACCGGCTGACCCTCTTCTCTCCTATCCAATTGACTTGACGAGGATGTGGAATAATGACCAGGAAGTCCGTGTAGGGTTGACCTCCTCCAATGGGAATTCCTCCCAGACTTGTTTTCTCTACTCCTGGAGCTTTCAGCTGAGGCATTTCCCGCACTGGATGCATTCTCAGCCCTTGGATCCAAAGGTTTTGGTTTCGGATCTGAAACATGTCGATGGCGACGACGGGAGGGACTACTGCGTTGTGAGAGTAATTGCTGCTTTGGTTTTGGGAGTTGGGTGTGGAGCTTTGGGTGCATTCATGGCGCTGCAAGTTTGTGGCTTGTTCGGGAAGACGAGGGGTGGTGGGGTGAGAGAGGAAGGTTCTAATTCTTCTTCTTCTGCTGTTGTGCATCCAATGGAGTTTGAGTTTGGGTATGAGAAAGTGAAAGTGATAGTTGTGGATGATAAAGTTATCGAAGATGTTACCAAGCAGTAAGTAGTATGTGTAGGTTAATTTGGGTTGGGGGTTGTTTTGTGGGATTTTGATTTTGTGGTGTCTGTAAATTCAATGCCGATTTCTCTAATTATGTAACTTTGCTGTGTTTAGAGTTTCTACTTGTGGGTTTGCGTTCTTTGTGATTTGTAACTTATGATGATGACGATGATGATTGTGATTGTGAATCAATTGTTCAAATGTGTAGCCTTTTCCGTAGAGCATTCATTTCTTTCTAATGATGGCTAGAGCCTAGAATTATATCATACTTCAAACTTTTCTACTGTCTGTTCATGGAACTCATATATGGCTGGTTCTCCTCAACTGTTTTGGTTTGGCAGTCATTCATGTTATTGCTGCTCTCAGCTTGACACTGTCACAGTGTATGAGTGGAGCGAGTAGTAATATCAACAACCACGCATTCTCATCTGCTGTTTCCACAAAGCCGGTAAATAGTCAGAGAATATAGAAGCATCATTCGATCTGGGTATTCCTAGAAACAACAGAGTTCTTATTTGCTGAACTGAACTGGTTCCCTGCTTCAAAGGAGTGACAGCAAATGGAACTCTCCAGTTTGATTAATCATTCAAGAAAACCAAACCGAACTTCCGGACTCAACAAAATGGAACTCTCCAGCTTTCACAGGGAGAGTGACCTGAAGTAGACAGACAGTGAGTCAGTGAGGCTGCACCTCATCAAACAAACAGCAAACAGGAATCATACCACAAACATATGGACAACTTGAACTAAAAACTGGTTTTTTGCACTCGACTGGTTTTAGTCCTCCAAATAACATGCGAATTTGCACGTTTATAGTCGATTTATAACCATGCTGTCCGTTTGGAAGGTATCACTCGGTACAATCCCAGCTCTTCTTTCCTGACAAAGACCAAGACCGTTTTCTTACTTCTTAGTCTTTCACAATGTAATTTAGGACACTCAACATCTCTTACTTGGTGCTCACTGATACATGCTCATCCCAGCTCCAGCTTGGTGCCAAAGAGCACAAATCTGGCTCTCACCCTCCTCCAACCATTGGGGCTAACGAGACAAAGATTTCAATTTTGGCCAATTGAGTGCCCAGTCTAGCACGAAAACAGACAAACAAAGCTAGACCGGCGGCCCCACCCAGAGATGTACTGACGACGTGCCGGAGGAGGATCATGTCGTCTGCCAAAGCTCAGTTGAATGGAGGCGAGTGGAGTCGTATTTGCTTCTAAAGGAGGGATGATTGCACATACCAAAGTCGGTTTTAATTCTCGGCGAAAGGTCATCCAGCACCAATGTGTATCGTGAAGTGTGGGACTAGGGTATCAGAAGCGACACCAATGAGAGGAGAGAACCTTGTTGATGGGGTTAGTACTCATTATCTCATATTAATAGTCATGCATCTCATTATTTAACTATTCTATGAAGTTTACACTTATTAATGTACTTATGTTACGTATTTAGGTTGAACGAGAAAAAAATATTTTCAGAACGAACACTAAAAAGGATTTCAAGTTGATACGTTGTTGGGATATTCTTCAACATTGTCCAAAGTTTATGCAACAATTTCAAGTCTCATAACACCAATTCCACCAATGGAAGGATATATACTCATTTCCTACTTTGTTGATGGATGAGACTAGACACGACAAGTCTTCACAATCGATCATTAATGGATTAAATTGCGTCAAATTCCTCAAGGAAGAAATATGTAGGTCCATCAAAGTTACCTACTATATATAATAAATGCCATGACATATGGTAGGAATAAACCTAACAAAAGTCAATCAGTTTTTATGTAGTCAAAATCAAGTGTTGATTCTTGGTTATATGTAGGCGTGTTTCTCTGAACTCACCTTACTATGCTTATTGTATCAATGTTCCTAAATATTAGTCAATTTGACACAAATGAAGCTCGTATAAACTTGTATGTTGAATACAATGCACATCTAGAAGCATCCATATTGCAAACCCTGACATATGAAATTGTAATGCTAACTCTCGCACATGCCTCGCTAAAGCATGGAACCCACGATCATTATATTGAGGAGAAGGCGGCCAAATATGAGTATAGTGAGAGGAAATATCCATCGTGGATTCTCTTGAACACGACTATGTGTAAACAGAATCAGAGTAAGTAAAAAAAAAAAACTCTAGAGGAGCTAGCTTAGCAACGCCTCTCCCTCCTGTTTCTTTCACCAACCAATAGTTCTTTTTCTAAATCAACATAGAACACATCCCTCATCACTTAAGTAAGTGGTTCTGAGAGAATCATTTTTAAACATTCATAAAAATTACAAAAATAATTGACCAGCGATGCGTCAAATACACGTTGGACCATCATCGGAGACGTGTCTTCGATGCGTCCGTCCGTCGATGGCGACGTGTATTTGGTGCATCACAAACGAAGGTCGAGCGTGCTTAATTACGCGTCACCGTCGACGGTCGGATGCATTGATTACACATTGTCAGCGATGGTCCAACGCGTAGTCGGTGAGAATGTCGGCAGAGGTAATGATGGTTACGACGACCAGAGATGGTGGTCATTGAATATATGTTTGGAAGTGAAAGTTTCAGAAAAAAGACTTATTTTTGTGAAGAGTCTTACACTATGTTTGAGAAGAAGGGTAAATGGCAGGGGTAAACATAGTTTCCAATACTTTTGCACCCGTTTGGATAATTGGGAACAGTATGGGGTGACAAATGGAGGTGCAAATTTACTATTTCGGCTTACTCTCTAAATTAGGCTCCAAAGGAAGGAAAGGGAGAGGTGGGAGGAAGGAAATTATAGATTTTTATTATTTTATTTTTTCTAATTATTTTATAGGTATATAATATTATGAATATTATCAATTTTTTATATTTATCATTAATATAGATGTTGTCCAGGCTTGAGTGTTTGACTCTATGAGCAAGTTTGTCAATGTTCGTCTAGTAAAATCAATATCTTTTGATTGACTCGAATTCGCAATTAAAAATTAGAAATAGAAAGTGTTTGTGGAAAAATTAGAGATGAATTGTTTGGTTGACTCAGTTTACTTGACCAAATAATTAAAATTTACAGATTTGAACGTGTTTAACTAAAGTTGACCATATCCAATTTAAAGTTAAATTAGGTATATGAACCCTATCTGATGACTAGTTACGAGTTGAACTTCGAGCTTTGAGGTTTCTCGACCAATGATTATTACAGTTATTATAATAAATTTTTATTTGGTCATTACTATATAAATAATAATAATTACTTAAGTATCTATATTAATACTTATTATTATTACTATATATGATTTTTAATTTTTTAATTTTGTGATAATATTTTATAAATTTGATAAATCTATTTTATAATAACATGATTTATTTATTTTTCACTTTATTTGCATATCCTACTTTGCATCCAACCAACAATTTCCCCCTCTACTTACACCTTCCACCAATTTAAACCCCTGCAATTTACCCATTAACTTGCGTCCCTTGTTGCCAAATATAATGTTAGTGTTTCACAACAAAAAAAATATAATGTTAGTGTACTTTTTAACGGTTTTAGGTAGGGCTGGGCATGCGGGCGGATCATCCGCGGGTTTGGGCCGACCCACCCGCATTTGACCCGATTTTCGTTAAGTGAGTGGGTCTGTGGGTGGGTGACGGGTTGCTCTGGGAGCCATCCGCCGGGTGGTGGGTAGGTTGTGGGTGGGTGCGCGGGTGACCCGCTCAACCCAACAGCCAAAAGATCAAAGTCGTTGGCGCTAGAGAGGGGAGAGTGGAGACGTTAGACATAAATTAGGACTGCTCCTGGAGTTTGAACCTCAAAGCCAACCTTCCAAATAGCGATCCCTTCTTCTTCCCTTTATTTTTTCCTCTAATTCTTGTGCCTAGATCACTGCTCTTTCCTTTGTGGAATTATTTTCCTTAGTTTCTTGCACCTGGTAATCATCTTAATCTGTAGAAAACTCTTTCATAATAGAATTTCTATCCAATTTAAGAACTAATTCGACATTTTTTGCCGCCCTATTTCATCTTCTTGTTTTCCCCGAGAACTCTCTTCACCTATTATCATGTCAAGTTGACTCCTTTATATTGTATACATTGTGATGTGGGTAAACCCACAAACCCACTCGCATCATCCACCATCCGCCCGACCCAACTCGAGACTAAATGCGGGTGGGTGGTGGGTTAAAAATTAGCAATCCGTTTAAGCGCGGGTGGGTGCATTTTATGGTCAAAATCCACCTGACCCACCCAATGCCCACCCCTAATTTTAGGACTACAATTAAGCCATATTTAGGACTACTAATAAGTAATATCATATTCCTATTTTAAGGGTAATATATGGACTAATATACCTTGACAAGAATAAAGGGGACAACAACAAGTTTTGAATGCTTAAAACCTTCTAATATTCCACTATTTATTATTTTTGGATGGGTGAATACAATTTACTAGCCAAACTTTTCAAATGATTAACCAAACCTAATACAAAATATTAACCAAACCTTTTGTAATGAATTAAAATATTAGGCATTTGTATGTTATTGTTTATAATTCTGTAACTTTTTTCGTACTTAAAATAATAAAATTTTAGAATATTGACAACCACGTGTCTCTTAAAAGTCAGTATTATGTTGCCAAATCAATATTTCTAACAAAATTGCTAAAAAACCATCTGTTTACTACTTAAAAGTTTGCCTAATAATTTAAAAAAAATTAGAATGTTTGATTAATAAATTATATTTACTTTTATTATTTGATCTTCGTTTTTTTTGTTTTGATTTATTATTTGATCTTCAACTCTTCTGTAAGCTGGAAGGACTTTGACATCTGGGCCAAATATTTAAGAAAATATATGGGCTGCAGAGGAACTTATCGAGCTGGGCCTTCTGTAGCTCACTAGCCCGTTTACTCGGCTGACCTAGATATATAACCAGCAGCAGCTGCTAAGGTTGTCGCCGTCCACAAACAGCTGCAGGACTGCAGGAGCTTCAATCCAAGGACGAAAATGGTGAAGGGACGTCAGGGAGAGCGCGTCAGGTACGGGAATCGTTCTACAAATCATCATTTGATCGTCTTTCTTTTTGGGTTTTCCATATTTTAAACACTCATTCTACTGTAATTGCCAGCTTCGGCAAGCAGTCTCTCTTTGGCCCATTTTGATCGTGTTTCTGTTTTCTTTTTACGCAGACTCTATGTTCGAGGAACCGTTCTAGGTTACAAGAGGTAACAGAATGTTCCGGTCACCGCCGGTGTTCTGAAACTTGTGTGATTTACTGTACTGACGGATGGAATGTTGTTTGGGGGGTAATTCCATTTCCAGGTCGAAGTCGAACCAGTACCCGAGCACGTCTCTGATTCAGATCGAGGGAGTGAACACCAAGGAAGAGGTGAACTGGTACCAGGGCAAGCGCTTGGCGTATGTCTACAAGGCTAAGGTCAAGACCTACGGGAGCCACTACCGTTGCATTTGGGGCAAAGTCTCTAGGCCTCACGGCAACAGTGGCGTTGTCCGAGCTAAGTTCAAGTCCAACCTGCCTCCCAAGTCCATGGTCAGCTGCCTGGTTTTTCTGCTTCCCTTTGCAAAAGTATGTGTTCTGTTTTTTTCCATTCATGACACTAAAACTGTGTGCTTTGTTGAACTTTACAGGGCGACAAGGTCAGGGTCTTCATGTATCCAAGCAACATCTAAGCCTCTTAAAGGTAAACAATCTTGTTCGCGTTAACCTTTCCGTTGAATGGTCTGGGAACTGTTTCTCTGTAATGCAACATTTTGAGCTGAATGGAGTAGGTTGATATTTAGATTTGATTGCAGAAGCTTGTTTTGATTGATGACTGAGTTGAGTGGAGAATTTGTTGTGTGTTTTTAACTGTTAGGTTACAGTCTTGATTCATTCCATTTGGGATCACAATGTGTTGGTTCTAGGTGAATGTGCTCCAGGAATGAATATTGACTGGACATGGTTAGGGTAGAAATGAATGTGGATTAGGTTCCATGTAAGATTTAGATTATATGCAGACGGGATTCTCTATTCTTCAGATGGAACTACCTCTGTAGGGTTATTACTTACTATCCTCTACTGTAAATGCTCCTCTGGTGTGAACTTCTGTCGCATTCTGCTATTGTGGCTGCTGTTAAGCAGCAAATTGTGATTGGTCTTTTATTTATTTGTATTTGTATATCAGTTTAGCTTCCTGTTTCTTTTCTAGTATGTAGTTGTGCTCTGGCCTCTAAATTGTATCTCTCTCATTTCTTAGTGCTCCAGGTGATGCATCGTCGAAGCTGATCAATATGGGATCCATCTTGCATGGAGCTGAGTTCTATAGATTTTGGATGTGGGAATGATACTAGTTAGCTTTGTTTTATTTCTTTCAATGAGTATGTGCTGATTTTGGTACCTTAGTGTTACAGTTATCAGATTGTGTTGGGCATCTCTAGATTCTGGGTTCTCTATTCAAATTTTCAATTTTACGAATTCTCTAGTGCTATCTAGTTTTGTTTCTACATCGTAAACGTTGGCCTTAATTGTTATAAGTATTCCTAAATTTAATGAGTAGGGCTAATGTTACTAGAAATACTAATCTTTAGCAAGATTGTCATTTTATACGTAGGTCCGTGTTATTTATGTTACCTGAACCTTCAGTTGATTGTTAAGAGTTAATTGTGTTAGTGTTGTGGTATATGATTCACAACTGGTTTTTGATATGGTATCACCGTATCAGAGCCTTCTTTGACCGAGAGGTCTTGTGTTTGATTCCCGGTGACCCCATTTGTTAAGCTCATGGTATTCTAGTCTTCATACATGTGTAAACTCCAAGTCCTTGTGAGTGACTTTCGTTTGAGGTGACTTCCATTTGTTAAGCACATGGTATTCTTGTCTTCATACCTGTGTAAACTCCAAACCCTTGTGAGTGACTTTCGTTTGAGGGGGAATGTTAGTGTTGTGGTATATGATCAACGATTGAACCTCTCCCAACAACTCGAGTTATTGGGACCAACTGATTCTTGACAAATTGTTGGGTTAATAGTTGACCCAACAATGATCAACCATGTGTTTTTTGTGCCATGTAAGAAAGTATATTTAAAGTTTAAATAAATTTTTAATAATTAAATAAGAATTTATATTTACAATTGAAGTATGTTTGTCTAGCTTTCCCTTTGTAACATTTTTTTTAAAGAAAAACAGAGCGTTTAAAGGGCACCCCAACTTTTATTCAATAACAAAATGAATCGGTTGAACTCAATAATGTCATGGTATAACCAATAAGAAAAGTCCAATCTATTGGTGTAACAATATGGGTACCAATGGAAAGAGAGTGGCATAGGTTCACTAGGTAATTGACGACAACATTGGCTTCCTTGTATACATGAGTAATATGAACTTGTCAATCTCGAGTAGCCACTGCTATGCCGCGATGCTAAAGACTGGAGTAATAAAGATTATGAGGTGTAGTCGTCACTATGAGAGACTTAGCTATAGCAGAATTAATATGTAGAATCACCATCCTAACTCGTGCCTCCCAAGTAAGTTAAAGCTCATGACAATCCTTATTAACTCTGCACTGGTGATTAAACCACCACCAAGGTTCATTGCAAAGGCTGTACTGAAGTGGTCGACGTCTCCCCTCATGACTCTGCTTGCCACTGTGCAGAAGGAGGGTGAATAACTAAGCCGTCTGTGTTCAAGCAAGTCCAGTATGGTTGCGGTTGTTGCGAGCTTATGAGTCTCGGTTGTCGGAGTCTCCCCGCTCCAATAATGTGATTCTCCTTCTCTAAGGCGTTGAAAATTTGTTGCCTTAGTTGTACAACACTAACTTCGATTTGTGCATTGGACTTTAACGCACACTAGAAACATAAGTTATTCTGGTTCTTCCACAACAAGCAACATAGTAGTAAAGAGTGTACTGTCGATGTTCATGCTACGACCCGTGGTGTAGTGAAGTAGCCATCCCTCAAGATCCTGCTCGAAAAATCAGTATCTGGTTCATTTGGCACCAACTCCGCGCATGTTGCTCGAGAAAACGGACAGTCTCAGAGAACATGGGTTGTCATTTTAGGTTCTTCGCCACAAATCTTGCAGTTGTTGTCCGTATTGAGGTACCTCTAGTTCGTTCCGCATTGGTGAGCAGCTGTTGGTGGGTGGGAAGCCAAAGGAAGGTCTACATGCGTTGAAGCAACGATAACCTCCAAATGGAACTCCATCTTCAGTGTCGATGTGTTGCGGTTGTCTCCTTTTCGCCAGTGAGCTTGTAAGTTGTCCTGAACAAGAATTTCCCATCCGCTGAGAGTCTCAAACTGTGTGCATCCTCCTCCAATTCCATCAGTATAGGGTGGAGAAAGACGAGTGAAGCAAGATCATAAGGTAAGAAATGGTTAATATACTCGTGGTTCCACTTATCCTTGATGACAAAGTCTACCACAGAAGATCCATAGCTTCTTATGGAATGGTTACTGAATAGGCGTAAAGTGGCTTGCTATCGTGCAACCATCGACCGCTCCAAAATGGAGCGCTACTTTCGTTCCTGACGCTCTAGACCTTAGCCTCCTGAATTTTGTGCCAAATGTGGAGACCATCGCCACAAATTAGATAGCCTGGTAGAGGGGGCAAATCTCGTCGATAAAGTTACTAGTTTGGAGTACTAGAGGGTTTAAGGCCACTAAGAAAAATAAAGCAATACAAAAATTAGTACATAAGCATAATGTAGAAATAGTAGCTATACTAGAGCCTAGAGTCCAAGTTGTTGAGTATGAGAAAATTATTCAGGAGGGGATCTCAGATTAGGAGGCATAAGTTTCTAATAATACTAAAGGTTTGGGGAAGATATTATAGTTGTTATGGAGAAATGATGTATGTCTTTGGATGCTTCATCAATAAGACAATTTTCTCTATGTTATGGTGGGTTCAGGTATTCTTTATTTTGCCACTTTTGTGCATGCTTCCATTTTTTATGTTGAGAGGAGGAAAATGTATGAAGATATTTGTAGAATTAATGTCAAATTCGCACCCTAGATCATTGTTAGGGACTTCAATGAGCTTTCTCATGCGATTGAAGCTTCTAATGATCCAGTGGTGGACTTAAGTCTGTTGGATTTTTGAAAATAACAGGTTGAATTAGAGGTAATGAACCTAAAGCTTCGGTTCCATGGTTAACTTGGACGAATAAGCAAGAGGGTGATCTCGTTTCTCGAAGATTGGATAGGCAATTATTAACCTAAATGGTTAGAAAGCTAGCCTGCTAGAACTATAAATCTGTTGGAGCTGGGTATTTTATACCATTGTCCTATTTTGATTGATTCTCATATTACCCCTCCCTAAACCTTTTAAGTTTTGAAGTTTTGGATTAATAATCTGAAGTTATATGAAAGCTTAGTAGATAATGTTGTTCTAATATTGGAGCAGTGGTACAAGTTAAATCACGTGAAGGGTTAAAGGCTGAACGACAAGCTCTATGTATGCTTTCTGGTGCAACTTTTGCAGGCGAGAAGAAATTTCTGAGGAATTCGTTGTATTACAACATGCTAAGAAATCATTCTTTAGGAATTCGTTGTATTACAACATGCTAATTCTTCTTTCTTCCAACGTTCAACTAAAATACCGCATAAAAGGAATACGATTCGCTCTTTGCTGAACAATGAGGGAGTTTGGGTTAACATATACATATAAGATGTGTGAGGTTGTTGTTGCATTATACCATAACCTGTTGGGGTCTTGGGGAATAGGGGTGGGCAACGGGACGGGACGGGATACCCGTCCCGTTTTATACGGGTACCCAGTCCCATTTGGAGACCAAAGTCCATCCCATATCCCAAACCCATATGGGAAACAGGTACCCATTACCCGTACGGGACGGATAACGGGTACCCATACTACCCATAAATACCCAAAGTTTAAACCACTAAAATTTTAACAAAAGTTTAAACTTAACTTGTATTTGCTTAACAATCACAAGACACAAAATACATCCCAATCACAAATACTTGGTTTGCAAATTACACATTCATGAACAATCACAACACAGAGAAATAAATCATTCCAAGTATCAAATTATAAAAAATAAAAAAATTCATCAAACATGTCAGTGAAAGAGTGAAAGGGTAAGGGCCCAAATGGAATTGAAATTGAAAGGGTAAGGGCCGAAATGGCCAATGAGTTTTGAATTGGGTTGGTCTGAATTAAATTTCTGCATTTGTATTGAATGGGTATAACGGGTACCCATATTACCCAAACGGGTATTCGCGGGTAACCCGCGGGTACCCATATTAGGAATGTTCAATCCCAAGTCCCATCCGTTTATAATATTATGGGTAATATGGGTACCCATAACCCTTAAAAAACGGGACGGGTACGGGTATACCCAAATACCCGTTTCCCGTTGCCCACTCCTATTGGGGAAGCTAGGTAGAGTTTGTTCCGAAGATGTGTCTTTTAATGATAGTTTGTTAACTAAGAGACTCACCCCTGTTCGGTCATACTTAGATGTATTTTTTAAGGTTAGTATTCTTCGTGGGGTAAACTTTACACTTCTAGCTCTTGTTCCTAAGGTGAAAATTTCTAAGAATATGAGAATTTTTGGCCTATTTCTTATTGCAATACATTATATAAATGTATGGCAAAGATACTATCACTTAGGGTTAGAGAATTTCTGCCATATGTGATAAGTAAGAATCAAACAATTATCGTCAAGGGGCGAGGTGATGGGAAAGAACATTGTGTTGGAACATGAATTGGTGTAGAAGTATGGTTGGAAGAATGTTTCACCTAGCTGTGTTCTTAAAATCGATTTAATGAACGCATTAAACTCAGTTTATAGAGGCTTTTTGTTTAAGGTTCTAATTGCCATGGAATTTCCCACTTTATTTGTTATATGGTTGGAAATGTGTGGTACCGATGTTATATTTAGTATTGGGTTAAATGGAGGCCAATACGATATTTCTTGGGAAGGAAAGGGCTTGAGCAATTTGATCCTTTTTCACCTTACCTATTTGCCATATCTATGATTTTTTTTCCAAATATGATAAATTTGGTTGTCTACCTTGAGAATCTTCCATTTCACCCTATGTGCAAAAGGATCGGCTTACCCACCTTTGTTTTGCAAAAGATTTACTTGTCTTTACTCAGGGTTCCAACTTCCAACTATGGGATTCAGAGAGTTCTTGTTCAATTTGGGACATTCTCACACCTTACCTCAAATCCGACGCAGTGTGAAATCTTTTGTGGAGGACTTCCAGAGCAGTGACATTAGAGTCTAGCTCTAAGAGCTGGCTATATATTAGGTAAGCTTCATGTGTGTTATTTGGATGTGCCTCAGATAGCTCAGAAGCTTACTGTAAAAGCTTGTAGGCCAATGATTGATAAGTTGACAACCAAGGTTCATGGTTGGAGAGCTCGTGTGTTGAGATACTCTCGTCGTTTGGAATTAATTATGCCCATCCTTTTCAATTTTACACAATCATGGATGGTTGTCTTTATATTTCTTAATAAAATGATTTGGGATATTGAAAGATTATGTAGAAAGTTTATGTGGGATTAGTTGAAGGGCAAATGAAGAAAGCAATTGTGAAGGTTGACTAGGTGTGAGAGAATTGTGTTCTTGGAACTCTGTTTGCATTGTTCGTCGGGCAATACTGCTTGACTAAGGGTCGTTGTGAATTTCATAGATTAACAAATATCGTCTGAATAATAGGAATTTATGAATTTAGAAAGGCAAATGTGATTCCTAGCTTTGTCAAAAGATCATGAAGCTGAGGGATAGAGTTCACAGTTCCTTTTTTGTTCCGGGAGTAGTAGTGAGGTGGAATTTTGTGTCTATGCTTTAGTTTTCTATTAAACGAGTCTAGGAAGAGTTGAGATCCAGGATTTTAGAAGAATATTGGTCGAAGATTATCGAGAAAGACACCCCATCCCTAGAAACCAGTTCCTTTCTTGGATTGTGGCTCGAAATTATATACACATAGGAGACAAAATGATGCAACGAGGTTTTACATGATCTATTACATGTTATTTATGTGGAGAGGAGATTGAAATAAAATCTAATTTATTTGCCTCTTGATGTGTTTACAAAAGGTTGTATGCGTCGGAGGTTTAGTGGGCAACACATAATTTCTTGAAGAATACTCCATTGGCTCTTAATGGATGACCAATCTGGACTTCACTTGTAGGTTGAGTTTGGAGAGAGTGTTGTAGGAGTAAGATGGCAGGTGAAGCTTTATCTGTTGAAGTTTTGTTGCCTCGACTCAAAAAATATGTTGTACTCAAGACTAGTGGCAACAAAACTTCTCATTTCTGGGTGTGTGTTGAATGAGAATGGTACGCAGACAGTGTAGATTCTACTATATAGATGGGTGTATAGTTTTGACAGTTGATTCCAGTATGGGTACAGTGTAAACACTTAGTTAACTAAGATTGTTGCTAGTGCACACAGTTTTTTGACGAAATGATACAACACCATTTCATAAAATAAAAATAAAAAAGAATTAGCAAAGCTCCACAAAAGCGCCCCTATTCATTAATCACTCAGCACCTTGGAGGACACAGCCAAATTGGAAAAGAAATGAAAAAGGAACTAAAATGGAAGGAATCAACTTAGTTTCTGCTTATCCAATATACATTTTTTCACTCTACCAATAACCTCCACATCAATTTTGTTATACAGCTTCTGTAACTTGTATTTAGTCATCTTAATGTATCTATCAACATCATCCGCATATATCTCGTACAATACTGGGACGGTCAAAATCATCAGCAGACCTGCAAATCATAGCACACAACATATGTTTAGTCATGGAAAATACCCGTGATAACATAACTTTACACTTAAATGTGATAGGGATGGAAGGGAGGGAGGAATGGAATACTTACTAGTATAGCCCAAAGTGAGAAAATCAATCCTACCACCAACAACCGATATTAGCAAGAGACATGCAACCACTTTGAAGAAGAGCTTTGTGTCTTTCCCTAGGGCAATGTTCTGAGAAACAGCAAGCAACTCATTCACATGGGTTCTGATCAAAGTTACAGCTTGATTCATTATTTCTTCGGAGAGCTGCAATTTTGGTAGAGGTGGAGGAGGTCTGCTTTATTAAAAGGGGCAAGACCAAACATTTTCACGAGAGTCATTATCTGCAAGTTTTGTGCTATTTGGGGGTTTGATTCAATCATTTTCAATGCGTAGCAAAGATAAAAAAAAATGGTGAGTATAAATTACCTTTTGAGAATTGAAGCTGATTTGGCCCAGAGAAATAGAATGCTCAGAAGGAGGAGAAGCACACTAGAAACAAGCGAGAGAAGAGTGTAGCCAGAGATCTCAAAAACCCCCCATGAAGCTACTGTTACTAGTAATATCCCCGCCGAGATGTTGGTTTGCCTCCATAGTACTACATCTGCAACTGTTAGAGAAACATGGATTATCATAGAGCTCTTGATCCCACAATTTGCCACAAACCCAATATCCACATTAGATCAAATCTCAGTCAGACATCAGAAAATGATTTAAAAGTAAGGACATTCAAAAACATGTGTAGACATCATTGGGCTACACAACATCAAACGTAATGCTCAAGATCATTATGGGAGTAATCCGGAGGGGGAAAAGGAATCGAATTTACCTAAACCTTCTCCAAGAATTTGATGAATATTTCTTTCTCGGCTAAACTTTGGATCCGACGATGAACTCATTTGCTTCAGGCGATAAGTTAGAGATGGCTTCCTGAATTCAGGAGCTCAGATCTCCGCGACGAAATGAACAAACAATTGGCTTCGTTAACGATCGCCAAGCAGACGGAAAAAAATAGAAAGGAAAAGGGGAAAGAAGAAGAAAAGATGATCAACGGCTTTTGTCAGTTTTTTTTATTATTGAAAACCCTCCACTATACAAAGCCTTCTCTTCCTGTAAGTTTTTTCCACTAAGTTTAATAGAGGTCCCATGGATATGATGTGATGTTCTAGAATGGCAACTGTTGATAGAAACTTTTTGATAATAACTGTTGATATGTTGCAGTTGGTGGTGGGTTGAGTTTCCACCCTAAAAGCACCCACTCTGCCCATTGATTTTCGACATTTCCAGCTTTCTAGTTTGTAAATATTCAAAGAGAGACAAAATAAATAAATAAATAGCAAAGAGGACCCAAACTACTAAAGACATGCAATTAGGGTAGGGTAAATACCAAATATTAGAGATGCCAAAATATAACCCCGGTAGTGAGGGATTATGAAGTCAAAAAGGGGCGGTTGGGGCGCCCACTAAATGCAAATGACTACTCTAGCATTATAAACTCTTCATATTCCATAGTGTATTTTGGTTTTTGGATTTTGGTTTTGCCTTACTTGAACCAGAAACCGTTACGAGACTATTCAGTTTCGGTTAACCAAAATCGGAAAATCTCTTAACGGTTTCGGGTTCGGTTTTCAAAGGATTGCGGTTTCAGGTTTTCAAGTATTTTGGATTTCGGTTTAGTTACCCAAACCAGACCCGAACCGACACCCCTACCCTCGAAGCACACATTTGTGTTTGAGTGTGTTGGATTACTCCAGGTCACAACCACACACAAATCGTTCGATTCATACAAACAATCACATAATTCTAGCTAGGGTTCACAAACACCCAAGTGAAAGAAGGGAACTACTCCATGCTAAGACTAGGGAATACACAAGGGAGAAGATAAATGACCATCTTGAGATGTTTTCCTTCTTCCTTTTGTGTGGAGATCAACCTTGGAGAATGAGATTCCCAAATCTTGAAGCTTGGATGAAACTCTAACTTTCTTCTCCTCTCTTGGTCATCACTCTCTCTAGAAATCTGAGGAAGAATAAATTCTCTCACTAGGCTCTTTTCCTTCTCTTTCAGCTCACGTATCCTTTTATACCCAGATCGATGATGTTTCACGGCCCCAGTTCACTGATTCGAACTCAAAGCCAGGATCGTGATCTCGAACATAAACGCTCCGTTTCATTAACGCTCTTCACGCCTAGGGCAGATCATCACGGTCGGGTGACCGTGATCTCATTTGGGTCCGAGAGGCGCGCAGAATGTCTAGCCTTTGAACTTCACGGTCCGGGCTCCATTATCACAGTCTGAGTGACTGTGAACTCGGCTTCCACCGTGATCCTTAGCTGCTTCCTCCTTTCGATCCGTTGTCACCCATTTTCGTCCAACTTTCATTCCCGAGGTCGATTCCACCTGTTAGGATCTGAAACACACTAGAAACAAGCACAACCTAGCGTAAAACTGAACCTCACATAGTGAAAATGCCTCAAATATCTAAAGAATATGGGGGTAAAATGTGTACAATTCGAAAACCCAAAGCAAAAAGTACTTCTGGGTGATAGAAGTGGATTGGAAGCTTTAGGAGCCGAACCCAAGCCACTACCGATCGATAAAGCTTATCCAAAGTTCGAAACGAAGGGGGATCATTGATGAACCACTAGATAGTGATCTAGAATGATTTAAGGGCCTCCTGTAAATGCTTTAAGATAATCTTGATCATTCGAAAAAGTTACCAAGAATTTGATGTTGTTGAGATCCATTATATCCATGGCACCCAAAGGTCTCCACTTCCATATGAGTTAGGAGCACAAGTAAGAGTAAGACACAAAACGCCCCAACAGACGAACCACCAACATCTTTTTCCAAGGTTGGTAGATACGGTCTTTGAACGTTGTTGAAACTTTTAACTCTGGCTCCCCCTGAAAGGAACCCGACTCAATATCATGAGCACCCACGAACGTCCATTGTGGTATCTTGTTTGAGGAATCCTATGCTGAGCCTGTTAGCATCGCCCGGAAGTGGAGAGGCAACAAAGATTTAACCAGAGTCATCCCCGATACCTATTGTGGCTTATTGGGGTTTTGGGCATCCGACGACCATCCTGAGTTAGCATTCGGTGTCATCGGTGGGGGTCTGAAGGAATCGGAGGCAAGAGCATTTTTCTTCCCCGAGAGCCAACGACATATCTAATATATTATTTATCATATTTAATACTTTACATAAACACTCAATGATAATTACTAAGAGATAAAAAAAATTCACACAGATATACTCAATTCATTAATCTCATACCATTGTCATATTTTTTTGTTAGGTGCTACTTATAATGACTATAAGAAAATTGTATTAGTTGTACGTATTTATATAAAGGATTAACTATGTGTTGATTGTTATATTTTATTCAATATTATAAATTACGAATTGACATTAGGGAATGACTTAGGTGCTAACACTAGCTTCAGCCTTTAGAAACATATCGTTTTGATTACTTTTTTATTTCAAAGTGTTGACAATAATTAATGAGAGTATATAAAAGGAGGGGCACGCTAGTCATTATTAAAAAAAATTGAAACACGCGTGCATATCAACCCTTACCCTATCACCCATTTAAGCTTAATTCAGAGAACACCAACTGTTGATTCTTCTGGGTTTTCTAGTGGATGACGAAAAGGCGCCTGCTGCTACTCCCACCGCCCGTAGACAGCCATAACTCACGCACTAATATACATACCCGAAGTAAACCAGAAACCTCCTAAAGCAGGGCACAACTTTAATGAAGAAGACCACAAGTCCCCTAAAGCATATCAAAAGCCCTATAAAGTAGACCACAAGTTCCACGAAGCAGACCACGCGTTCTTTGAACTAGACCAAAAACCTCGTAAAACATACCACAAGTTTATTAAAGCATACCACAAGTTTATAAAGAAGACCCCAAGTTTCATGAAGTAGAACACGAGTCTCATAAGACATATAAGAAATTTATAAAAGCACACCACATGTCTTATTAACCATACTATAAATTTATTAAAGTATCTAATTATGCAAAACTAGAGGGTGTGTTCGAGTCGACACGACGACTTTTGAGGGGAAAGAGGTCGAGGATGGCGAACCTCCGAAGAGTTGACTGGGAGCAGAGCAAAGCGGCGATCTTATGAGAACAACAACATCTTTCGTGGTCGCCTTGACGAAATCAGTATTCCAAGTCGCGAGAAACTCGTCAGAGGTTGATTGGAGCGACCCCAGGTTGATTGGAGCGACCCCTTTGTCTCCAGCTGCTTCGTCGCCTTTTTCTTCTAATTTTGATGCCGACTGCAGTTCTCGTCGATTGGTCGGGCAGAGAAGGTCGTTGATGAAGGGGAAACGGTGGTCCTCTGGCTCCAGGAGTTCAATTGGAGGTGTTGGGAAGAGTTTCCCAACGACGGCAGATGGGAAACGGTTTTTGTATGTGAAGTGACGATGGAGAACTACATCTGGAAGTTGCAAAATCATATTTGGGGTTTTTTTTGTATAAGGAAAGGGGTTGGTCTTCTTCTTGGTGGCGGGTGGCAGAGGAGAGGGGTTTACAGGGTCATGGGTCGGGTTAGAGGTTGGGTTGGGTGTTTATGACATGGCGGGTCGGGTCTAAATTTTTTTGGGTTAAAACTTGCCGACTAGGCGATTCTGTTAGTCACGTCAGCAAAAAACTGACGGTATTAACAGAGTTGGACGAAAACTAACGGAGACTAACCAAACATAACATATTTTACTAGATTTAGTGACCATTCTTGATATATTTTTTTTTTCACTTACTAAACATTACACATTTTCTCTAAAAAAAAAATTTACACATTTTAGTAAACCCAATGAGCAAACTTGACATTTACGATTTACCCTATTATTGTAATAGTAACATTTGAACACCCTTCATTGAGGAAAGAGGCCGGAGTCGAGTTCAAGGGGGATAAGCATCGAACCCATCGGCTCGCCCCCAATGCTAAAAAAGAGATTGACGGCTCACGTGCCACCCGCGACAATATGCAGAACTCAAACTCCAAACTCCAAACTCCAAACTCCAACCCCACTGGCTGTGGCTGGCTGACTGACTCTCTGCCTCTTTCTCTGCTTTCTTAACTGCCAAACCGAAATCAATCAGGCTGGCTCGCCCACACCAATCTCATCCAGCCGTCCATTCCTTCGTTCCCATCGCGAAAAATTAAAACTTCCACCTAAGAAGTATCGCCCAACAACCATAACTCAACCCCCAACCATTTTTTCTCGCTCTTCCCCCCCCCTCCCTCCTGTGAATGAATTGCATCCTAGGTGTTTGACAAAATTCCAAAACCAACTGACGATCTGCCCGAAGCTCCTCCCTCCTCTCTCGCATTTGCTTCTTAATCCCCTCTCCCTCTCTTCTCCCCCCTTTTCAAACCTCACTCCTGTCATCTCCCCCCTGCGACCTCCTCTGCTGCTGCTTCTTCATGGTGAACCTCTCCTCCTCCTCCTCCTCCTCCTCCTTCTTTCCTCGCCTCTCAACTTCTCTGTGTTTGTTATTGTGGTTGCTGCATGCTTGAATCTGTTTTCAATTCTTAAGAATGGAGTACCCCCCGGCATTTCTTGCTCTTGCTTCGTTGGGTTCTGAATGCTTGAATTTGTCAGCCGCCATCAGCAAGCTGTTTTTTGTTTTGCCCCTGCGGAGAATAATGAATGCCGTTGTGCTTTTCGCAGATTCGAATTTCGTGAGAGCGGATGCTTATTTATATATATAGCTTGGTGGGAATCGTTAATTAGCTGCGGACTTGATCGGAGCGGTGACTCTGGAGTTGGGGAGAATGGCTACCTTACCGCATTCTCCAGCTGCACTCACCGGGCCGAAGGCTTCGGATCTTCTCCGGAGCTCCACCAGTGTTGCCTCCGGTATCCCTTTGAGAACCCTAGGGAGAGCAGCGCAGTTGGCAGGTTCCAGCTCCAAAGCTAGGGACTTTTCGATTGTTGCCAAGGTTAGAAAGGTTAAGAAGCATGAGTATCCATGGCCTGATGATCCGGATCCCAATGTCAAGGGTGGAGTTCTTTCTCACCTCTCGCATTTCAAGCCTATGAAAGAGAGGCCAAAGCCTGTGACTTTGGATTTCGAGAAGCCACTTGTTGATCTAGAAAGGAAGATCATTGATGTAAAATATCACTCTTCCTTCTCTTTATTCTTACGTTGTCTATGAATTTGTAGTACTGGTGTTCAAACTTCTTCACTTGCTGCTTCAACATTTTTGTTCTTTCTTTTCTCCCCTTGTTGGGCGGTGCAGGTGAGGAAGATGGCAAATGATACTGGGTTGGACTTTACTGATCAGATTGTCTCGTTAGAGAATAAATATCAACAGGTTTGATAAGTCCTATGGTTGATAACTAGTCACGGTGGATTACTTGTTTTTTTTATTCAATATGGAGGAATTGTGCACGAGGTCTATCGAATTGTTGAATTTGGAAATTTTCATTTTAGTTCGAGGCTCACATCTTAGTAACATTTCATAACTCGGTTACTGTGTTAAGTTTCCACGTTGCTGTGCTCATTGTTTAAGCATTTCAATTTCCAACGTGTTCTTGTTTTGTTTCAGGCCCTGAAGGATTTGTATACCCATTTGACCCCTATACAACGTGTAAACATTGCAAGACATCCTAACAGGCCCACTTTCCTCGATCATGTTTTTAGCATCACAGAAAAGGTTTGCTTCCTTGGTCCATTTTGATAGCTGTCAACTGCACTTCTCTTCATTTAGTCAGATGAAGATGAATTGGTGAATGCCTCTGAATTCATATCCTGGTATCTGCTCTTGCCTCCAGTTTGTGGAGCTTCATGGAGATCGAGCAGGTTATGATGATCCTGCTATTGTAACTGGGATAGGAACTATAGATGGTAAAAGATACATGTTCATGGGCCACCAAAAGGGTAGAAACACTAAAGAGAATATCATGCGCAACTTCGGGATGCCCACACCTCATGGGTATGTTTGATTTGATCATTTTATTTGTTTGTCATAGTGAAAATGGACCAAATGATCTTGTCCAGTCATTTTGATGTCTATACAACCGTATAGTTTCTCATATCTCAGACATTGTTTTATTTATTGGTGAACAGTTATAGGAAGGCTCTACGAATGATGTATTATGCAGATCACCATGGCTTCCCCATTATCACTTTTATTGATACACCTGGAGCATTTGCAGACCTCAAATCCGAGGAGCTAGGCCAAGTATGGCTTTTGCTATGATGTACAATTTCTGCAGTTTTCATGAAATGTCTTTCAGCTTATGCATTATATTTATGCACTTTCAGGGTGAAGCAATTGCTCACAACTTGAGGACCATGTTTGGTCTAAAGGTACCAATAATTTCAATTGTTATTGGTGAGGGTGGCTCTGGTGGTGCTCTGGCCATAGGCTGTTCTAATAAATTATTGATGCTTGAAAATGCCGTCTTCTATGTTGCAAGGTAATTTTCTGTCAGAGTGCGGACTTCCTGTTCCATAATGTTGTTGCTTATGTGTCAGCTGCATGTCTGAAACAAAGCTATTGAGCTTGTTTTGTAATTTGTTAGAGCTATTCAGTTGACTTGTTGGTATCTGTCCCAGAATATCTTGCTAGTCTTATGTTCTTATATTGATCCATCTAAGCCAAATGTAAGCTACTATGTATATCTTATAATGGGCTAGAATGGCTAAGTGAAGCATCTCCACCCCTCATCCTGTCCTTATCTGAATTGTGGTATACTTTCACTAAAAGATGCTATGCCCCTCTCTAGCATCCAAGTCATTACTTTACAATGGACAACAGTATGCACACACGTTGAGGCTTACCAATACATGTCCTCTAACTATTTCTCTCTTTGGAAATACAGTCCAGAAGCATGTGCTGCGATTTTGTGGAAGACTGCCAAAGCTTCTCCAAAGGTTATGTTTCATTCCAACTTTCTCACATTATATGGGGCATTTCTGTTTTTTATTAACTGGAATACTATATTCCCTTGTTTGACAGCAAGATCTTTGTTGATGTCCTTCTTGTTTCTTTTTCTTGCCATTAGGCTGCTGAGAAGCTGAAGATTACTGCTAATGAATTGTGCAAGCTGCAGATTTGCGATGGGATAATACCTGTACAATCCTCTAGGCTTTTTCTATTCTTAAAATCTATTATCAAACTTGTGTCTGTCTCTTCGGTCTGCTTCTTTAAGTCCACATCATTTAATAAGCTCGTGTCTTCCGGAGCCATCCCTGGGTCTGTAAAACAACCTTCTTCTTGTTTTGTAGGAACCACTTGGGGGTGCACATGCAGATCCCTCGTGGACCTCACAACAGATAAAGAAAGCAATTAATGAATCTATGGATGTAAGTGAAAACCGAGGCTTTGTAATCTTCCCCTGTCAGATCTATTTGTTTCGCATCTTAACATCAATCCCAAATTTTCCTCCAGGAGCTCACCAAGCTGGACACAGAAAATTTACTAAAACATCGTAATCTCAAGTTCCGGAAACTCGGTGGGTTTCAAGAGGGCATTGCTATCGAACCCAAGAGAAAGGTCAACATGAAGAAGAAAGAAGAATTCGTTTCAGGAAAGATCCCAGTTATGGAATTAGAGACCGAGGTTGACAAGGTGAAGAAGCAAATTTTCAAAGCTATGGAGTCATCACCTGGCACCAAGCCCTCAGAATTAGCTCTGGATGAGATGATAACAAAACTGAAGCGGGAGGTTGATCTCGAATTCTCTGAAGCTATTAATTCCATCGGCCTTGGGGACCGGATCTCGATGTTGAGGGATGAATTCAGGAAATCAAACTCAGAACAACAGCTCATGCATCCGTCACTGATGGACAAGATTGAGAAACTGAAAAATGAATTTGATCAAGGCCTTTCTACTGCTCCAAATTTTGGGAACCTCAAGTATAAGCTCGATATGTTGAATGAGTTCTCTAAAGTGAAGAGCATCTCGGAGAAGAACAGTAAGGCTCAGGAACTGAAACAGGAAATGAACAAGAAGCTGAAAGAGATCATCATGGGTAGGCCTGAGAGAAAGGAGAAGATTGAAGAACTGAAGGCAGAGATTCAAAGGCTCCGTGCTTCTGGGATTGAGAATCCTGATCGGGAGACCAAAGAGAGGATTGCCAGGATGAAAAGAGAGATAGATGTGGAATTGGCAAATGATCTCAAGTCCTTGGGGTTCGATGTTGAGGTTGTAAAACCAAGTGCAAAAGAAGTTGGTGATGAGCAAGTTTCTCTCCCGGAGCTGAAGGCGAAGGTTGAAACTCTGAAGGAAGAAACTAACAAGAAGATCGAAGATGCAATCAACTCGCCAGATATTAAAAACATGTTCCAGTTGCTGAAAGTGGAGGTAGCAAAGGCAGGAACTACACCTGATGCAGCTACCAGAAGTAAGATTGAATCTCTAGAAAACCAAATTAAGCAAAGAGTGGCTGCTTCTGTCAGCTCTCCTGATCTGAAGGAGAAGCATGTTCAGCTGAGTGAAGAGGTTTCCAAAACGGTGGAGTCTCTCGGAGGGTCGGATGGCAGTTTTGAAGTTGCTGATCAGAACAACAATGGTTCCCCACATGATGATTCTATGGTGAAGTTTAACTATCGTGCCAACCGAGTGAGTTCTTTGAACTTAAGATTTTTTTAATGGAATGACTGTTGTCTGCTACAATTTGATGAAGGTTTGATTGTCTAATTTGGGTCCTCTATTCTGGTAGGTATAAAAATACTGAAGACTTGAGCACAGTACCAAATGGCTTTCCAACAGAACTTTCGACCTTCATGTTCACACCAAGAGCTGTTCTTGTAGGGTTACGACCGCCTGACAGAGAGTGGCACGAGGTTTTTGCTCTTCCATGGAAATATGAGATCGACATAGCCATTAGCATGGTTTTCGTGTTCGTTTTTTGTTGTGTTCTTTCCCCTCTTGAAGATGAGAGTTTGTTATTGATGTTTATAATTCGCCTGAAACCCTTTTGTTATGGAGTCCAGTTGAGTTAATTTTATTATTTGTTTTCATTACTATTTTGCTGAAGATCTGGCCAAGTAGAAACATACTTTGGTTTTATATACACTGGTGCTGAGCGGCTTCATATGTTAGCTGGCCGACTTCCGCCTTTCAGCAATAAAAGAATCACTCATCTGTTGAGTTCATAGCATACTGTGAGTTGTGAAGATTTGCTAATGTAAGCTAATGATGTTCGGGTTAGGGATGGCAATTACCCACCCATGAGTAATTTTACACAAATCCAAATAGATTCATTTAGACCAACTCCATTGCGAGCCCCTAAATTTGGGGATTTTCATCCCCAAATTTGGGGTTCATCCCCATTTTTCCTTCTTTTGCTCCAATGCTACATCCTCTATATTTGGAGATCTCCATTTTTTAAGTTTTTCATTTACTTAAAAATGTACTTATCGAAGACTTAATATAATTTGTTCATGTTAATTTTTGTATAGTTCGTCATCATTTTTAAATACAAATTTTCCGGTATTTTTTTTTTAATTTTGAGACCAAATTTTTGTTGACAAAAAATGATTGACCTAATTTGGGTTTACACAAAACACTTGAAAATTATTGATCTAATTAAACCCCTAACTAATTCCCTAATTAAACCTCAATTAACCCTTAAAATCTTAAAAATAAAAAGAAACGCCACATGGCGGGCTTTGGGGAGTCTCTATATTTGGGGGAACCCCTATTTCCACCCCCAAATTTGGGGATCCTTTTGGAGATCTCCCCCAAAATATAGAGACTCCTCCATTTATAGAGGCTCCATTGGAGCCAACTTTCCCCCAAATATAGAGGCTCCCCCTTTTATAGAGGCTCCATTGGAGTTAGCCTTAGTATGGGTAGAGTTTGGATGAAGTGTATATGGGTTTGGGGGTTTGTAGATGGAGTTGGGTTAGGCATGGATATTGCTTTCATAATGTAAATGGGTATGGGTTGGATATGGATATCCATTTACCATGGTAACTTAAACCGGATCGGACCGGCCGGTTGAACCGGTAAAACCGGATTTTGGTGCCTGGCCGGTACGACAGACGTGTTGGGGGGAAAGCGCCGTTTCGGTCGGTTTGACCGGCACAACCGGTTCAACTAAAAATACCGCCCGGTTTTGGTCTAACCGGGGGTGAGCTGATAAAGTGGAAACGGCGTCGTTTTGCATTAAGGGGGAAAAAAAAAAATCGGCCGAAGCCTAAAACCAAAACCCTAAATCACGCTTCGTTTGCTGCTGCCGCTGCGATTCTCTTCTTTTCGAGAAGGCGACCCTGCCTCCTCTGCCGCTGCGATCCTCCTCTGCTCGACGACCGGAGAGGCGGAGACCCTGCCTCCTCTGCGGCTCTGCCACTGCGATTCCTCCTCTGCTCGACGACCGGAGACCCTGCCTCCTCTGCTCGACGACCGGCGGTCCTCCCTCCTCTGCTCGACGACTGGCGGTGCCTTACCTTTACTTCAATATCACGCTGTAAGTTGATTCCTTTATTTTTGTCGTTTCACCTGTTTACGTGGTATGAATTGGGAATCAGATGAATTGATCGGGAATTTCGAATTGATGAGATGGTTCATGGTGTGGCAAATACTTTGTGCAATTGGCAGCTACTTGCAAAGGAAGCACTTGGTTGATGTGACGGAGATATATAACCAGCTGAGCAGGGAAAAAACAAAAAAGCCAGAGGCTTTTCAAGCTGGCTACCTCGTCATTCTATTAGTCCTTTCTTTGTTCTGGTAATGTTGAATAAAAAAACCATGTTTCTGGGATATCTCCAACATTGTTGGGGCAGGGGCAGTCCTAATGTTTGGACTTGTTTTGCTAGGTTGCTTTGGACCATCGCGGGGGAGGAATTTGATTAAACTTTGACAAAACCAAGGTATCCATTCTACTTCAATTGAGCCTATTTGTTCATTCGTTTGAGCCCTGTCCGTTTCTGTAAGGAAGGAAGTTGATCAATCTATTTGTTCATTCGTTTTGACAGCAATGGCTAGTGGAAAAGAAGCCGGATCGGTTGATAAAGGAGCAACTGCTAGTAATCCGAAGGTTACCGCAAAGGGTGTACGAAACAAAAGTGATCCAACTTGGGCTCATTGTTCCTTGCATCAGGATGGAAAAGTGGAGGTACTCACTTGTCTCTATTGTCAAAAAGAATTTAGAGGCGGAGGAATCACTAGAATGAAAAAACATCTAGCTGGTGTTAGTGGGGATAATGCAATATGCTCAAGTGTTCCGGAAGAGGTGAGCGAAAACATGCAGAAGCTATTGAGTAATGTTGCAGTTTGTTGAATTTTATATTACATATGCTTATTTAGTTTATTCAGGTTTGTTATCCGGTATATTCCGGTTTTATTCCGGTATTATTCCGAGACGGTATCACAAATCTGCCGGTACGGTTTTTTCACAATAAAATATTATTTATTTACAAAAACGGTATTTTGCCGGTACACAACGATTGAACCACGGTAGTACCACAAAATACCCTACCACTGGCGGAGTCGGTATGACTTCCGGTACGGTTTCCTTTACCATGCCATTTACTTGAGGGTGTTTTAACTACACACACAAAAATTGGACCTATTTGTAAAACTTGAAAAGTTTAGGTACCAAAATGTAAGACCAAAAAAATTTATGTACCAAAACGTAATTTTTCATCGATATTTTGAGGACTTATATGCAAAAAAAATAAATTTAGGTACTAAATCTGCATATCTATTAAGTTTAGGTACCAAACTGTAATTTTCCTTTGCGCATGGGTACAAACCCAAATCCATGTGTTAAAAACCCAACCCAACCCAAATAAATGGGTATGGGTACAAATACATCAAACTCTACCCATCTACCATTTATTTGGAATCCATATCCAACCCAATTGGGTTGGATAGTAAGATACCCATGAGTATGGGCAAAATTACCATCCCTAATTCGGGTCTTACACCTAAACCATGGTTTACAAATTACAAACTAGAGATGGTAACACTGAACTCTAACAAGGAGAGAGTTCCCTCATTTCACTGTCACTGTCAAGTTGTTGCACCTTCAAGTTTTAGCAACTACAAAAATTAACCCAAAGCCCAACTTCGACTACTATCAAAGCAGCACCAGCCACTACACCTTCTACAAATAACACTTTAAACAGCACAAATCTCAAATCTAAGGTTGGCAATTGATTCGGTTCTGTTATAATCGGAACCGTTTAGTCGATTTTTGGTTAACCGTTAAATACTTTGTACTTACTGTTAATCACACCTTTTATATAATCGGTTAGCTATAACCGTATAGTCGGTTCTCGATTATTTTGTCGGTTAACTGGATAACCGTTAAGCAAGTGATTCGACAAGGTTATACCAAAATAACTGATTGGTAACCTAACCAAAAGAAGACCTCCTCATTTGTAGATTTTTTTCTACATATATATGTGTGCTCTTTTTTCAAGTTATTATCATTGAATTAAAAAATAATTTAACATAGATATCAATCTATAATCAACTCAATCCAGCGCAAGTACACAATAACACCATTCTACCGTCAAATTTGATTAAAGAAGCAGACAAGAATTAAAGAAAGAACAACAGTTACTCTACTCATAAACCCCACCAAATAACATGGAAGCTTAAATGTTATTGGTTGTTGTCGAGAACTGTGTCAAGTCCAACTTTCTATTGTGCTCCCTTTAAACCCCTTCAGTGAAATTATTCGCAATTGAATCTAAGTCACATTACAACTAGGATAGACAAGGAATATTGTAAGTCACACCATATTCCCACAACCTGTCGACTAAACGTGTTGTTCGTAGACGTTATCTTCAATACTGAACAATTAGTATAGATAATTTATGGGTTTGCTTGTATGTACTAGATTGGTATTTTTGTATAGATAATTTGTATGGGCATGTAGGTGTTAGACTTTATTTTTGGTGGGAGATTGGTGTTATGTATTTTTGTCCATCAGAACTCATAAATATGCATGAACCTGCGGATACCCAGTGAGTTGGGCTGGATTCGATTTCAGATTCCAAAACTCGTTGAGTTTTTTCTGGATTTTTTCTGGATATACCAGCTGGATTGAGTTTAGATTTGACAAAACCAACTCAAATCGACACATTGCCATTAGGGCTGCAAATGAGCCGAGCGGCTCGGCGTTCGACTCGGGAAAAACTCGTTCAAAACTCGACTCGTTTACTAACAAGTCGAGCTTGAGCTAAACCTTCTGCAGCTTGTGGAGCATTCAGGCTAGCTTGACTCGGTGACTTGTTGAGCTCAACTTGGAGTTGGCTCGTTTAGAGCTCATGAGATGTCCCAACTCTCAACATTGTGGCTAGAGAGCCAACTTGATTATTTACTTATGAGCGAATCGATTTGTATGGGTTTGATTTTGATAATTCATAGGATTGTTAAATTATATATTCTCATCCTATATGAAGTTTAACTCGTAGATAATACAAGCAATGTCTAATTTAATTTTAAAAAGAATTTATGTATCATAGATTGTTTCGATAATATGAAATAATATAATTTTGACTAGTTAAAATTTATTAACTAAATAATATGATACCTCAAAGTATAACATGAGATTAATTAATATTGAACACTTAACTATGATTATTATTATTTTTATGTTGACATTAATCAAATGTTTCATACATGACATACAAAATGAATATATCAAATACGAGTTAAGATTTTATTTTAGTAATCAATCTAGTTCAAACTCGACTCAACTCGTTAGTAATAAAGCAGCTTGAATTCGACTTGATTCGGCTCATTTAAAACTCTAATTGTATACTAAAAAGTAGTGAAACACCTATCCAACTATCTTTTTTCTTCTTTCTCTAAAAAAAACTATCTTTTTCCTTCTTCATTTAACGACTTTTCGCCATATAAATTCCGGGTAAAATTTCTTGTCTCGTCTCTCTCTCTACTCTCTCATATGTTCTGTGTCGTCCTGACATGGATTCATGAATTAAAACAAAAAACAACCTTTTTTTACCTCTCCCCCTTCCCTTCCAACACCAACAAACTTCACGACCCCAGCGGCGTCATCATCCTCTCTCTTTTCTTTCTCTCTCTAGGGTTTCCATCTCTCAGGCTCACTGGCAAATACGGGACCGGGAGCGAGCTGGCTAATCTCCTCTTCTCCTTCGCACGTTAGGGTTCCTTTCCCTCCCTCTTCCTCCGAAGGTCAAGCAAGCCAAGAGTGCAATAACCAAAAGTACAAGTGTCGCGGCCTTCTTGCTTTTCTTCTCCACTCTGATCGCGCTTCTGCTCCGCCTCTTCGCTGCTTCCTCTGTTTTCTGCGTCCCCAGCGGGGAATTGCAGTCAATTCAATGGTAATGGCGGCCATTCTCATTAATTTTTCGTGGTTGTTGAAATCTCTGCCGCGTACTTTCTGCTGATTTGGAGCGCTTCTGAGAGTTTGGGAATTCCTGCTTAAGTTTTCGTCCCCGTTAGGGCAGGGTGGTCACTGTACGGGAAATTAGCTTCGGGGAGCAAATTGATGGATGAAACCAATGTCTACTTATTGAGCTGAGTGAGTAGCGTAGAGCATTTAAAGTAGGTTTCAACCTACCGATTGTCCCCCCTGCTTGTAGCTGTCTGCCATTTTTTTTAGCGTTCTTCAACTCCGGTAAACCTCATTAGCTTCAGTAAACCCATTGTGGCATAGTTTTTGAGATTCTTAGAGGTTCTGCTTATTGAACTTTTGACATTTTCTCCACCAGTGTCTATATGCCTTGCCATCGAGAAATTAGGCCGGTCTTTTCTGATGTTCATTTCTTTGTTGGTGTAGGTGATGAGTCTTTCGCGCATGAAATTTTGATGCTCGGAAAATGTTTTGTGGTTGATGGTGAATGGTTGTAGCTATGGACTTAAATGCCTCACCGCTGCCTGAAGACGACGAGGATAATTTCGAAAGTCACGTGGAACAATACAGTGCTCCCGAGGAACGCATCGAGAGTGGCGCAGAACTTGCACGCAGGGTACCAGTAAATTTAGGCTTTTCATTCGACGTGTCAGCATTTTTCACTTCAGTGATGTCTATGTGATTAGGAGTTCTTTCTGTGTTGGAGTGCCATCATATCAATATGTTGCTGAATCTCAAAAGCCTTCTCATTCCTGTAAGAAATCATCATTGAAACATCTCGCATAGGGGCTTCTGTTATTCTAGTAATAATTGGAGAGCTCTGCTACTCTTTTTGGATTACTATGATGATGTGAACTATGCGAATTAAGAAACGGGAACATTATGCTGCCCAAGTTTTGGAGCTCCATTTGTGGGAACTTGGTGTTTTCTGAATGTGTCAGTTTTAAATTTTTCAGTCAGAATTTGATTATGAAAATAAATGAGGCGGGTTACCTGGTGCTTTCAGTGATAGTTTGGAACATTGCTGCTTGCTTAAAGACAAAAATGTTAGGCGTCTCCATTGCTTCTGATCTTGTGTTTGTGTCATTTAGGAGCGGGAAGAAAGGAAAAAGCGTATGAGAACTGATCGTGGGGATGACAGACACTCTCATGCATTTCGGCAGCCAGAGGATGATCAAACTTATCCACCCATACCCCAAAAGTCATATGATAAAAGCAAACTCCCTCCTGGTTGGTTTCTTTTCCTCCGGGATATGGTTGCTCCACGTTGCATTAACAAATAAACGAATGTTACGTAGTTGAGTTGTTGTTATGGATGACATTGTTGTTTCATAGTCATCGCAATTTATTATTACAAAATGTAATGTCATATAGGAAGATTTAATTTTTTACACAACAAGAATCAATCACTCAATATAGTTTTCAAATGATGTAAGGCCAAGCTTTAATTTTATGTTACTTTGACCTCTCCAAGTACTAGTTATGTGAATTCAGATGTGAGGTGAATATTTGTTTCCTTCTTACAATATGTGGCCTTGCTCATTGCAGGATGGATGGAGTGTCCAGCTTCTGGTCAAGAGATATGTGGAATGGTTCCATCTAAAGTTCCGCTGGGTGAAATGTACTATGGATTCATTCCAGCTGGTAAAAGATATTCTTTCAAGCAAGTAATTCATCAACAAAGAGTTTCAGGAAGAAAAGTAAGATTTTGGGTCGACTTCAGAACTTTTAGTTAATGGGCAGCCTTTTCCATTAATTCCTGCTTCATCTTCATGATATTTCAAAAATGCTGGCGCCTTCAGCATGCAATTAGTTAAAAGAATCTCCTGGTTGCTTTTTCTTGAGGTTCCTGAAGCAGTCATAGACAATCGAGTTGTTTTTATGTTTTCAATTTTCCTTTATGTGGCCTGGCCTGACCATTTATGTGATATGTAGCAAGGCTATTAGTGTTTGTATCTTAGTGGCCCTTGTCAGATGTTGGGAAAAGAATATAATAGTGAAAATTTGGTGGGATCATGAAATGTGTCTGATAATGAAAAGATTCTGATCTAGAGTGTAATTTAGTGTCCACTTCTATTTTTTGGGATTATAGACATTGGTGCATATCTCTTTAAATTGAAAAAGGGATATTTTGTGGTGAACTGTGTTTTGATTCATTCGGTTGCTAAACGTATTATTGGCTTTGCAGCTTGGTTTGGTGATTGATTTGACTAATACTACTCGTTACTACTCAACCAATGAGCTTAAAAAGGATGGCATCAAGCATCTTAAGGTGCATGGTCTTCTGCAACATTATGGTTATTGTGGCTATATCATATGTAGTAATTGTTTGTTAATCAGTCATAACTGACTCTAGTTATTTGCTAGATTCAATGCCGAGGCCGGGATGCTGTACCTGAGAATGTGGCTGTAAATCAATTTGTCTACGAAGTATGTTTCTACGTATATTGCGTTGCCTCTATTCTCTGTTCTCATTATTCGTCTGTTTCTATGAATGTGGACCGATGGCTGGTTGATACTTGAGTTTGAATTTTATGTTTTCACTAATGTACATATTGTTTTCATGAGATTATGCTTAAAATTAATAGGATATAGAGCTTAATTTCAAAGAAGTTATCTTTAGAGAACTGGAGGTCATGCTTAACGGTTATTCAGCTGTGTTTATATTCTAAGTTCTCTCTGGCCCTTGAATGTCCTTGTGTGCCTAACTTGTCTATTCTTGTTTTTAGAGTTGATGTGTGTTTACTTTTCTCTCAGGTCATGCAGTTCCTCTCGCAGCAGAAACTTTCAAAGAAGTATATTCTTGTTCATTGCACTCATGGGCACAATCGCACAGGGTATATGATAGCTCATTTCCTAATGCGTACACAATCGATGTCTGTCACTCAGGTTTGTTTTGACGTTAGATCTTGGTTAGTACCTTTCCTAAATGTGATTTGTTCAGAATTAATTTATCTGCTTCTGGTGCAGGCAATAACAAGTTTTGCTAAAGCACGCCCTCCTGGAATCTACAAACCAGAGTATATTGATGCTTTATATGCTTTCTATCACGAGAAGAAGCCAGATGATATGTTCTGCCCGCCAATCCCAGAATGGAAGAGATCTTCCGAATTCGATCTTAATGGTGAAGCTGTACCTGATGATGATGATGATGGCAATTCAGTTGCTCTTTTGCATGTATGTATAATTTGCTCAATATCTTATTTTCCTGTTAGAAAATTGCTGGCAGGGAAGCTTAGTTTACACTCTTGTGAACTGGGGTCCTTCACTTTCACCTTGTAATTTCAGAGCAATCAAGAAATGGAAGCCAAGTTGACAAATGATGATGTCTTGGGGGATGATATACCTTTTGACCAACTCAATGCATTGCGGCATACCTGCTATCAAATGTTAAAGCTGACTATGCCAGTTAGTGCCACTGAACTCATCTTCTGCTTTCTTTGTTGTTGTGAATAATTACTTTTGGGGTTCCTCCTCTTGGGTATATTATGCAGTGGCCACTGTGAAAACGCAGATGCAAGTGCCTCGTCACTGGCCTGGTTTATAGTATGTTCTTTTCATGTCTATTTTGTTCAAGAAAGAAGTACTAATCTGTTTTCATTTGATCTCAGGGAAGAGGAAACCCACAATTCCCTGGCTCACACCCAGTATCTTTGAACAGGTATGATCTAGATTTTTGGATGTTTTAAACTTCATTTGGAGATGCTTTCCTGAATTTTCATTTTCTCTGCAATTGGCGTTTTAGGAGGAAATATTGCTTTTGTGATTTTGATTGCGAAGTCAATCGTGTCCATATGTAAAAGTGAACTTGTCTGCTTCGGCCCCCATCCATCTTATGTTGTGGGAACTGTGGGTCAGATTAAGCTGGAAAAGTAACTAATTTGAGCAGGAGCTTACACTGATCTCGTATTCTGTTAGTGTTGAATTTTATGGCAAAGTTGCTTCTGGCTTGCTCCAGTGTGAATTTTTCACTTGGCCTTAAATCATTTCTTTTTCCAGGGAAAATTTACAGCTATTAAGGCAGCGTTACTACTATGCAACTTGGAAAGCTGACGGGACACGATATATGATGTTAATCACAATGGATGGGTGTTATTTGGTAGACCGGAGTTTTAATTTTCGGAGGGTTCAGATGAGGTTCCCTTGCAAGGTTGGAAGTGATGTATGTGTCTTGCACCTTAACTTTTCAATTGTTCTTGTGCACTGAGACTCCTGTTCATCGAGCTGTTTGCTTGGTTGATTTCTGACGTCGCCTATTTCTTCCCTTACTAAGGTTTCATACGATAAGACACATCATTTTACCCTACTTGATGGTGAGATGGTGATCGATACCTTGCCAGACACACAGAAGCAGGAGAGAAGATACCTTATCTATGACTTGATGGCAATTAATCATGTCTCTGTCGTAGAGGTGAGAGCTTTTTACTGTTAATAAGATATACTCTTGTTTGTTCAGTGGCTATGCTACTTCCCTGTACCCCCTCCTCTCTCTATCTATCTATTACAGCTTGTGACTGCTAATAAATGATTATTTAACATCCATACATGTAACATTGTCGAGCTGTTGGTTGGTGTAGATGGATGACCTAATCGGTTGGTATATAGTGTAATATATTGTCAATTGGGTTGGAAATTGCTGCAGCGGCCTTTCAGTGAGCGATGGAAAATGATCGAGAAGGAAGTGCTTGGACCTCGAAATGCTGAACGTCATAATGCCTACCACAGCAGGGAATTCTACTATCGATATGAGTTGGAACCTTTCAGGGTATGCAGTTTAGAGCTGCAACTTCTGTTCAAATGTTAGCCTACTAATAGAGCTTCTGAAGTTTATTGTAAGTTGTTTTACCAGGTTAGAAGGAAGGACTTCTGGTTGCTTTCTACAGTTACCAAGCTTTTAAGGGACTTCATTCCTAAGCTTTCACATGAAGCAGATGGGCTAATTTTTCAGGTACTTGATGAAAAAACTAGGCGTGGTAAAAGTTCTGTTTGTTAATCTAAGATTTATCTGTCTCTCTTTGTCTAATCAGAGCTGCATAAAATCTCTCTGACTCAACTTAATTATATAAACATCAATTACATGATTATGATGGCTTCTAAGTTACTAAGGCTTGTCATCTTGATATTCTTTGTTAGGGATGGGATGATCCGTATGTGCCAAAGACTCACAATGGTCTTTTGAAGTGGAAGTACCCAGAAATGAACTCTGTTGACTTCTTATTTGAGGTATCTTTTGTGGACCACTGCAGCGACCATTTTCATGGCAAACTTTTGGTGTTGTAGTTGCACTGAATATTCAGCTTTTTCTGTTGCCAGATTTATGCTGATGGTCGACAGTTACTGTGTTTGTTTGAACGTGGGAAAAAGAAACCAATGGATGGGCAAAGAGTTGAATTCAAAGGTGTGTATTACTTGTATGCGTTACACAATGAACAATCTTGTTTGTCAAATTTTAGCTCTGCTTTAGGCTTCCCTAGATTAGAGGGTGCCCTTCTTAGATTGTTTTGAGGATACTGCTCTGAACTCACTGTTTGTCCTTCAATGTTCTTGGTTTTCTGCTTTTTTCCCCCCAACCCTAATTCTTCAACGCATGCCAGATGATGTTGATCCCTCTTCTTATTCTGGGAAGATCATCGAGTGTTCCTGGGATAAACACAAAGAAGTTTGGGAGTGCATGCGTGTTCGGACAGATAAAAACGCTCCTAATGAGATCAATACCTACAGGAAGGTATGGTTCATAGTCCCTCTCTCTCTCCCTTTCTCGCTCTCTTCCTGAATGAATGAGCAAGTGAATATATGATTGTAGCGGTATTATTCTTTAAAAATTAGGCAAAGCACACCGTACTATCCCCACGATACAACATCGCACAACATGAATAATGCAGGCTTTGCTGATGAAAACAGGTGATGCGAAGCATAACAGACAACATAACGGAGGCCGTCTTGTTGGGTGAAATCAATGAGATAATCCGGCTGCCGATGTATGCCGATAGGATAAATAATGACAGCAAAGCTGCGGCACGGAGAAGGTGATTGATTTACTTTGTGGAATGGAGTGCCTACCTTCCTATCCGCCCACCCCATTTGTAAATTATCCACAGCTCTCAGATGTACAACTTTGTAGCGCAGCTTGTGAGATGTTTAATTGATTTGATGATCTCCTCTGGGATGGGTTGTGCTCACTTCCACTCTAGATGAGAACCCGTGATAAAAAAGAAAAGAAATGGAAAAGATGAGAAGGGGAAAGTTGAGAGTAGTATGAGGGTTAGGAATTAGTAGCAAGCAAGTATCCTTTTTTTTTTCCATGTTTTCCCTTTTCGTTTTGTATATTAAGTTTTAGTTTTCTTCTGGTCCTTCATGTTAGTGATTTGTAAGAGTTGCTTAGAAGATGAGATGGGCATATGATTAGCCATCTTCAAGTTATAGCTTTTAGAATCGAAATTTCCTGACAATGTCTGCGTTATTTTGATCTTTCTGTCTCCATCTTGATGTGAATATCATTGGTCATAGATGCAGGTTGATATTTCCTTTCAGCATTTTGTTTTCGCTTTGGTGTTGTCTGACTTGTGTTCTAGTGGGGTTTTTTCTTCTTCTTCATTTGCGGCACTTAATCGACAAGTCCGATTTTGTTGGAATTATATGTGTTCGCACTGTCACTCGGGAATTTTGGTTAGTTTTTTCCTTGGTTACTAAGTAGGGGCAGGAAGAAACATCCCTTCAGTTAATCTGATAGCCATATTCTCAAAAAAGTGTGATAGAAACCCGTAATTTGAGGCGTTAAGGTCGAGTTATAAAATGGGAGTTGCTAAAGGTCGCCCTTAAAATTGCTAAAGGTCGCCCTAAAAAACATCAAAGTTACAACTTTAACCTTTTAGCTTCTTTACTTTTCCTTTAGCAAACAAACACCACTTAGTAAAGAAAATAAAACATTATTCAAAAGAGAGAATCCATCATCGTCATTCTGGAGTGGAATCGTCGATATCATCGTCATTCATGACTAGCGACTCTGAATCAATAAAGTTCACTCCAAAAATTAAAAACAAAAAAAACAAAAAAAAGGGAATCGTAGCTCATTTGCGGTTGCACCATGGACCAACCGTAACTTGTCTTAGGTTGAGCGTTTTTTTGAAAATTTCGTTAGAGAACGGGCGACGACGACGACGGGAAAGACGCCGACAGACTGGTGCGTTGAGAGGGATTCACGAAGAAAGCAGATGAGGGGTTCAGTTTGAGGGGTTAGGGATTGTTTGATTTGTTTAAATTTTGAAATTTTATTGGGGGTATATAAGTCATTTATCATTAGAGTTAGGGCGACCGTTAGCAATTTTAAGGGCGACATTTAGCGATTCAGTTTATTGGGATCGACCGATCATTAGTGATTGGATTAAGGAAAGAATTAGAGATTGAAGACAGGAAGAACAAAGTTGAGGTTTAGAGATTGAAGAACAGAATTGGACATAATTGGGAGAGAAGGTCGCGACCTTGATAAGGAGAGAAAAAGTAGATTTAGAGGATAGAAGATTTGGGGATACTTTTAAAAATATTTCTTGATTTATTATTATGACATAATTCCGAAATACATACCTATAGGAGATAGTAAGAAAAAACTTAATAAGTAAATTAATAAACCTACTAACATTAACAATAATAATCTTAATGATAAAGATAGTAATTATAATAGAAACTCTAGAGGACTTGATTTCTATCGTACCCTCTCTCTTGAGACTAACTTTGCTCTCAAGCTTGATCGACTTGATCTACTCTTTTGCTCTTTCGGTGAAGCCTAGACGTCAGTACTTTCGTTTCTGCTAATGAAAAGTAAAAGAGAGTGATGCTTCTCTGTGTAAACTGTAAAGGGTGATAAAGGAAGCATTAGTGGTGATGATGGTGTCTTTCTGAAAATTTTTAAAGATAAAACATAATTTTATACCACTCATGAGCAGTTTGATCCAATTTGGTCGGATCCAAATATCAATTTAGCTCATAGTTTAAGATTCATAAAATTAATAGAACCAACAATCAAATCATCATATTATTGCCTTATTGGATCAAACTCAAATGTCAGTTTGCTCCAACAAGATGATGTGCCTACCATAATAATAATTTTACATCGAAAAAGTAGAATCTATTTCATTCTTATATAAAAAAAATTGCATCGGGAAAATATTGGAAGGTTAGATTTTGTAAAAAAAAAAATCAGGGTCGTTTGGAAGTTGCGAATGTTAAATCATTACATTATAATGAATCACCATAATATAAATGCATGTATTGACACAATGGATGCATTTTAACAATATATTGTTTGATTGTTGAGATCTTACTTTATGTATTGATTTACATAAAGTTACTTTTTAAGGGGAAATATCACATTTACCCTCAACTTTTAGAATAAGACAAAAACTATTGGGGATATAAATGAGAAGAAAAAATTGACATAAATCTAAAACCAACAATCACAACAATCTCAATTTAAAGTTGAGATTGTATAATGCTAATGCATAATTTTTTGTGATTGTTGGTGGGACCTATCTAAAACAATGATGCATTGTTTAACACTTTGACACTTCCAAACATTGTATTATGCACAATACATGTATTCAACAAACACCACTCTAACAATCACAACTTTAAACGAAACTGAGTGGACAAATTAGGATACTAAGGGGTCGTTTGGAAGTTGCGATTGTTAAATAGATGTATTGTTGAGAATGCATGTATAATATTATACATGTATTGTCGAATTTGATGCATTGTAGAATACAACGTTTGGTATGTGTGATTGTGTATGTCGCATCAGCTAAAAGCTGAGACAAAACAATCTCAACTCAACTATCTCAACAATCACAACTAAAAGTTGAGATATAACAATCACTCAAAATGAGTGATAGTTTTTGTCACATCACAGAAACAATCCATATATTGTTTCTGCTAAAAAAACAAAAAAACGATGCATTGTAAACAATACAGGCATAATGACAATCTCAACAAAACTATCGCAACTTCCAAATAACCCCTAAGTAGTAAGTAATAAGTACTAACCCTCATTCTCATTACTTCGTCTTCCTCCCATCGGTCCCCGTATTGTTCGAGATAGTCGACTGTCTTGTTTGGCGTTTGCTCACGTCGCCGGATGCTTCGACTCGATTCAACTCCAAACTCTGCAGCTTCATTCGAGCCGTCCTCCACAGATCCGGAGAACCCTGACGAGGGTTTATGAGCTCCTTCTCTCTCACCCTCAATCCAAAAGTAGCCGATTTGGATTGTGGAAATTAGTATTGACATTGATCGCCCGGCCCTTCCGGGAAGATTTTGGGTATCATTATACTACTGACTTGGAATAGAGTGGAACCGAGAAGATCATATGAAACCTTCGGCGGCAGCTGTCTTCTTCATTTGTCTGCTCCTCTCCGATTGCCTTCACACTGTCCGTGGAGAAGAAACCAAGAAGAACAAGTTTCGGGAGCGGGAGGCCAGTGACGATGCCGCCGGCTACCCAGAACTGTAAACGCTTTCTTCCTTGCTTCTCCTTTCCGCATTTTCTTGTAGAATTCGTGGGTTCCGAGTAAACTGCAGTAGATTTGATAGAGGGCGAGTCCAATTCGGTTGATTGGTGCGTTCCGAGTTTGCAACGTGTTTATCTGAAACGGTTATGGCTGCGTAGGGATGAAGATGCGTTGTTGAATACGCAGTGCCCTAGGAACTTAGAGCTGAGATGGCAAACAGAAGTAAGCTCTAGCATTTACGCTACTCCCTTGATTGCTGATATCAACAGGTACTGTCCGGCCATGCTTCTAGCTATTAGTATGTTCTTGGCCTGGCATCTTCTAGTTTACAAGTTCTATTTGCGTGAATGTTGCAGTGACGGGAAGCTAGACATAGTAGTTCCCTCTTTTCTGCACTATCTAGAAGTTCTTGAAGGCTCTGATGGGGATAAAATGCCTGGTGAGTTGTGCACTCTTTCCCTCGATACAACCACCCTGACAATTTGAATTATTGCATCACAAGTTTTGGTGAAAATATTGATGATTTATGCGACATTTTCTGCTCAGGCTGGCCTGCATTCCACCAGTCTACTGTTCATGCTAGTCCTCTCCTACACGACATTGACAAAGATGGTGTAAAAGAAATTGCTCTGGCAACATACAATGGGGTGGTGATGTTTTTCAGGTATTTGTTAGTTATTCTTAGTCGCTTTTGCATAGTTATATACCAATGCGTATATGTTTTGAGGTGCTTTGTCTCTTCACCTAATGGTTCTGGGACTGTATTTATTGATCTTAGGGTTTCAGGCTACATGATGACGGAGAAACTGGAGGTACCTCGTAGAAGAGTTAAAAAAGATTGGTATGTTGGCCTGAAACAAGACCCTGCGGATCGTTCTCATCCTGATGTCCATGATGATGAACTTATCAGGGATGCTGCTGAGAAGAATTCAGTGTCCCGTAAGTCAATCTTACTCTTAATGTGCTCTCTGCTGTTTCTTGGTTAGTTGCAATTGTGGTCATTGCTTGTTGCAAATCTTGGCAAAGTATACCTGTTCATGCATGGAGGACCTATCTTTCGATTCATCAAATTCATAGAATGGCCTGGCCTGACAGTTATATGAACTTGTCTGACCATTTGGTAATCGTATTCTGAGTGCATGAAGGAAGCTTTTCAGCACAGATAGTCCTGAAGGCTTGGTCTTTCCATTATGTTTTGTTCACTATTGCTTGCTATCTCTCAGGCTATTACCAATATACAGGTTTCCCATCTATAGTCTTGATCGTGGGCTTAAGGATTGGAGCAACCATCTGGGGCTTGGTGCGTCTGTTGTTGCTTTTATGTAGAGCTTGTGACCAAATATTTTGGATGTTAATTTGCAGAAACATCTGGAGTTACTCATGGAAACACTCCGGATACAACCACTCCATTTGCTAAATCAGCAGAAAACCAACCTCCAGGAAATGGAAGTGTATCTGTAGCAAACACAACGGTTACTAGTTCAGAGGCCAATAATCCTAAAGCCGAAGGAAGTACTCTTGGACAAGCAAATGGTACAGAAACTTTAACATTGCAGAATACCATTCCTGCAAATAGGAGTGCATTGGATGCAAACAATACTGTCCCTACATCAATTGCAAACAATCCAGCTAATACATCCAATCAAGAGAGTGTACGTGTGAGGATTGCAGAATCAGTCTTCAAAATGCCCACAAGGCCAGATAATAATTCTGGAAATGCCGAGTCTACAAGATTGGGTGATGCGGATAATAAAACAGTTTCTGCTCGGCGTCTTCTTGAAGATAATGATTCAAAGGTTTCAGATTCAGAGAATGAAAAGAATACTCGTGATGACCTTCATGTGGCCACTGTGGAGAATGATGAAGGGTTGGAAGCAGATGCTGATTCATCATTTGAGTTATTCCGTGACACTGATGAGCTGGCCGATGAATACAATTATGACTATGATGATTATGTAAATGAATCGATGTGGGGAGATGAGGAGTGGAATGAAGGAAAACATGAGAAATTGGAAGACTATGTCAATGTTGATGCCCATATATTGTCTACTCCTGTGAGTATTTTCACCTGAACTATAAATTCCTTTTTTTTTTTTGATTCGTAGTCTTCTTCATTGATGCAAATAAAATGTTGTTACGGACTCAGCTGAGGTTCTCGCTCATTTCTTCTGTTCAGGTTATAGCAGACATTGATAAGGATGGAGTTTCAGAGATGATTATTGCAGTATCATACTTCTTTGATCACGAGTGAGTTTTCTTGCATGGTATTGCAAGTGTGTTAACCATATTTTTTTCTGTTGAACTGATTTTCAAATTGATTCCAGTCACTTCCATTGATGTATCATATTTTTTCAGCATATGCGTGTCTTACAGGTTTTATACCTGGCAGGTACTATGACAACCCAGAACATTTGAAGGAACTAGGCGGGATTGATATTGCAAAGTATGTTGCTGGCTCAATAGTGGTTTTTAATCTCGACACAAAGCAAATTAAGTGGACAAGAGAACTAGATTTAAGTACAGATAGTGCCACCTTCCGTGCATATATATATTCCACACCTACTGTAGCTGATCTGGACGGTGATGGCTATTTGGACATTCTAGTTGGAACCTCATTTGGCTTGTTTTACATCCTGGATCACGGCGGTAAATGCTTAATCTTTTCCATTTCCATTCATTGCCCATTGTAATCCTTATTGTGAGATTCCAATAAAGGTTTTTCTAATTCATTCGGTTCTGTTACTTGCTCTTCTGTTCTGTTGGATCTATATTGTTCTAATTCGTTCGATCTATTGCATTCTTACCAGGTAATGTTAGGGAAAAGTTTCCACTCGAAATGGCTGAAATTCAGGGAGGAGTAGTTGCTGCTGATATTAATGATGATGGTAAAATTGAACTGGTGACCACTGACACACATGGAAATATTGCCGCATGGACTCCCCAAGGAGTAGAAATTTGGGAGACTCATCTCAAGAGTCTTGTTTCCCAGGTCAGTCTTCGAATTTGAGATAAAGTGTGATATCAACTTTGATGTTTCCCATTAAGTTTGAAGACTTTGAGTTGGTTGATAGCAATATCGGAGCTATTTGTTTTAAATTTAATAGTGGAAGACTTGAACTTCTGTTATCACTCCATATAAGATTCACACACACCCAAACATGAATTTGAAGCACTTTTTTGATTATTAACATCAGAGCAATCTGACATTATTATAATTTTTCAGCAACCAACTGTAGGTGATGTTGATGGTGATGGCCACACTGATGTGGTGGTTCCAACACTCTCAGGGAACATATATGTCCTTAGTGGCAAAGATGGCTCTATGGTCCGCCCTTACCCATACAGAACTCATGGGAGAGTGACCAATCAAGTCCTTCTCGTCGATCTTAGTAAACGAGGGGAGAAAAGCAAAGGGCTTAGTTTAGTGACCACATCATTTGACGGTTACTTGTATCTTATAGATGGACCTACATCCTGTGCGGATGTTGTTGACATTGGGGAAACTTCGTAAGCCACAATGTTTGATGTTTTCCTCTTTGTTGCTTATCCCTAGGAGTATATGTAGTAATGTCCAGATCAAAATTTCGTATACAGGTATAGCATGGTTTTGGCCGACAATGTGGATGGTGGAGATGATCTGGACCTGATCGTCACAACCATGAACGGGAATGTCTTTTGCTTCTCCACTCCATCGCCACATCATCCCCTGAAGGTAATACATAAGTGAAAGTTCACTATATTCAGTGACACACTACTAGGCTGTGTTTGTTTCTGCTATTGCTTAAAGAAAAGTGTTTTCCTTTTTCAAGTTATCGGAAAAGTGCGTTCAGTACGGATTAGAAAAAATAGAGTTTATGGACGTTGATATGTTTTTCAATCATAAAGAAATCAGAAAATGACTGAGTATAACATTAAGAATGGATTCTCACTTCCAGTGGGCTTAGTTGGAGTCAAGCTTTTTCCTGTGAGGTGGCTTTTAAGGTTTGATAATCCATTGGGTTCATAATGAGCTGTTGTTTAAAGATTTGAGATTGAGAAATGTGTGTTTGTTTCAGCTTATAACTCACATTTTCTTAAACGGGGTTTTTTAATTAGCTGGAGCAAACACACCCACTGTATTTTCCCCTTGATTTGAACTGTGCATTTTTTAGGCCTGGAGGTCTCCTAATCAAGGACGGAACAATCTGGCCAATCGCTACAATCGTGAAGGGGTCTTCATCACACATCCTTCGAGAGCTTTCCGGGATGAAGAAGGAAAGAGCTTCTGGGTGGAGATCGAGATTGTAGATAAACACAGGTTCCCGTCTGGATCTCAAGCACCCTACAATGTCACTGTAAGTTATTCCCCACGTCCCTTCCACAAACCAAAACCCTCCTATAGATAAACACAGGTTCTAGATGATTTTTTTAACCAACTATTTGGCTCCTCTCAAACAATGGCAGACAACACTGTTGGTTCCAGGCAACTACCAAGGTGACAGAAGGATAACACAATCTCAGATCTACGACCAACCGGGGAAGTACCGGGTAAAGCTTCCTACAGTTGGAGTCAGGACGACAGGAACAGTGGTGGTGGAAATGGTGGACAAGAACGGACTTCATTTCACCGACGACTTCTCTCTGACTTTCCATATGTATTACTACAGAATGCTGAAATGGCTGGTCGTCCTCCCAATGCTCGGCATGTTTGGCATTCTGGTCATTCTTCGTCCACAGGAAGCTAGGCCTTTGCCCTCTTTCTCTCGGAACACCGACCTATGACTGGAGAGATCTCGCGTCCAACCTTTTCCACTCACATCAAACATGGTTGGTCAACTAACTTGAATGGGCACCAAAGCTCAGGACAAGAGGGCATCTGCGAATCGGGCGGAGCCAAGTTATTCCGGGTACAGGGAGGAGAGGTTTTGAAGATGCAAACATGACAGAAGGTTGGATTAGACTGTTGATTGACAGATTGAGGACTGAACATTGTAACATAGTACTCTTGGAGTTGACATAGGTTGGATTTTGGAGTCGCTTGTACCAAAAGAATACTGGAAAAAAAGGTCAGATAGAGGAGACTATTCGAGGCACTAACGAACTGTCGAATCGGCATTAGAGCATTACATTCGCATCTTTCCCTTCAAAAGAGAAGAGCTTGACTAGCTAGCTGCCAGTTTCACCATCTACTACATATTTACAAAATATAACAGCTTCACTCGGCCCAGAATCAGAAATCAAAGCACTCCACAAATTTCTCAAGAGATGAACGAAGTATCTGCCAAAGATTGAGACAAGAAATGTTTACAGAGGAAGAAGAAGAAGAAGACACTCCATTAGCAAACCTGAAGCCGATTGCTTGCTACTTGCTAGTGCGGTCATTGAATCGCAAGAGTAAAGCAAACCCATCAAAAAAATAGCAGCCAATTGCTTGCTTGCAATTTACTCATTTTTTTTTATACAAGAGTGATATATGATTTTTTTTTATTTATTGTTAGGTACTATTTAAAATATTTGAATATTAGACGTCTATATTAAACACCAGTGGTAGTACAACTAGACCAATTCATTATTTGCAAATGACTTTTTTATCCTCAACTCTTAAGTGATACTTAAGAAATTCGAATTGGATGGATAGCTTAAGAAACTCTTGTACAACTAGACATAGATCCACTTTCATCTTTCTCTCCAGTATTTTGCATGGCTACGTATCTCCTTCTGTACAAGCGAGTGAGAAGGTGGGCCGGACCTCCTCCTCTTCCTCCGCCGCTACCGTCGCAGGCGCGGCCGTCGATGGAGATCCTACCTGCCGAATTCCTCGCCGTCCACCAACGGAGCTGGCGATTACCTTGACTCGCTGCCGCCGTTCTTCAACTCCCCCGGCGGATTCCACCACATCTACGTCGAAGCCTCTCCCTATGATCTCGACAAGTCGGTGATCAAGACGATTTCAATCTCCCTCTAAAGCAGCAGCAGCGGCAGTTTCCGTAAATTGCCCACCCCTGCTCGCTCTGCCGCGCCACGCCAGGATTTCCCTCCGACCTCCGGAATTCGGGCCGCTCATGGAGGCGCGAATTCGGCCCAGCCTCATCGACGGACGCTCCAATGGGCTATCGAGACTTTCAAGTAGAGAACTTTTGGAGTTCGATTTCACCGTCCCCGGTGGGTAGTAGAATTGCGATGCCGGCGAAGTTAGCGACGGAGACGATAAGTACGACGATGACGGTAGAAATAATAATTAAATAAATTTGGATTTTTTTTTAATTTATAATAATTAGCTGGAAAATAAGATTTTATTTTATTTTATTTTTTATTATTATTTGTAATTGTCACATCACTCATCTAACGGTCAACTATAATAGTTGACAGTCACATCAGCAAAAGTTAACGGAGACTAACGGTCAGTGACCAAACTTGACCTAATTTAAGTGATTACGGATAGAATAAAGTTATTCTAGTAGCTAACGTGAAATTTACTAGTAATTCAAGTTTTACTAGTAATTCAAGTGACTAAACTTGCAATTTAGCCTTACTAAATCGGCCACCAATTTGCTAGTAATATTGGTATGCACAAAACTCGTACTCTGCTTATTAATTGGTACACATAGGTCTTGGATTGGTGTGCCAGCAGCCCCACGAAGGATTTGGCTACATATTGGTTATGCAAATGGGGTTGCTGCATACATCGGATTTGGCTATGCAAATGCAATCGGCCTTAGACGACATTGAATGCAAATAGTAAAAATGACAAACCCTTTGTGCCTGCAATTTCAATTAAAGGCCACAATCGATTCGAATCGTGTGCCAAAGCCAGGCATTGATGAGAGAAAACAAATGGAGAGGAAGGCTGAAGACAAGAGCCCCTAAAAAGCTCCCCACAGGTGACCTTCACAAAGAAACAGAAACAGAAAATGAGTCAAGAAGAGACCTTGTACACCAAAGATGGAACCACTGATTTCCACGGCAATCCTGCCATCAAAACCAACACAGGAACCTGGAAAGCTTGCCCCTACATTCTGGGTACGTACGTGCAAAAAAATTTAACTCTTTTACTCGATGATGTCCTCTCATAATAATAACGCTCTGCACTGCATTCTTGTCTTGTGTTTCAGGAAACGAATGCTGCGAAAGACTTGCCTACTACGGAATCAACACCAACCTGGTGAACTACCTCAAGTTGCAGCTCAACCAGCGCAACGTGGCGGCGGTCAACAGCGTCACCAACTGGTCGGGCACTTGCTACGTCACGCCTCTGCTCGGCGCCTTCCTCGCCGACGCCTACTTGGGCCGATACTGGACCATCGCCACCTTCTCCATCATCTACGTCTTCGTAAGACCGCTCTCACAGCCCACATCCTAACAATTTCACTGTTAGCCCTCCTCACTCTGCAATTTTTCCTGCAGGGGATGGCTCTGCTCACAATGTCAGCATCAATCCACGGCCTGAAACCAACCTGCGACTACTCCGCGAGCCCCGTCTGCCACCCGACCGGGTCCCAGACGTCGGTCTTCTTCGTGGGGCTGTACCTGATAGCGCTGGGCACCGGCGGGATCAAGCCCTGCGTGTCGTCGTTCGGGGCGGACCAGTTCGACGACTCCGACCCGGGCGAGAAGGCGAGGAAGGGCTCCTTCTTCAACTGGTTCTACCTCTCCATCAACATCGGCGCCCTGGTGGCTTCCTCGGTGCTGGTGTGGGTCCAGACCAACGTCGGCTGGGGGTGGGGGTTCGGCATCCCCGCCGTGGCGATGGCGGTCGCGGTCGCCAGCTTCTTCTCCGGGACGCGATTGTACCGCCATCAGCGGCCCGGCGGGAGCCCCGTCACCCGGATCTGTCAGGTCATTTTGGCCTCGGTGAGAAAGTGTAGAGTCGAGCTCCCTGCTGCTGCTGATAATCTTTTCGAGACTTCGGATTCCGAATCTGCTGTCGTCGGGAGCCGGAAGCTTGAGCATACGGACCAATTGAGGTTAGGGTTTCCTCAATTAATTTCCTCTGTTTTTTTTCCCCCCTTTTTCTCTCACTCTGTCTATTTCAGTTTCTTCGACAAAGCAGCCGTGGTAACTCCGTCCGACCAGCGATTCAAAGGCGCGCCGAACCCATGGAGGCTGTGCACGGTCACCCAAGTGGAGGAATTCAAATCAATCGTCAGGCTGCTCCCCGTATGGGCAACGGGGATCGTCTTCTCCGCCGTCTACAGCCAGATGGGAACCCTCTTCGTCCTCCAAGGGAACACCATGGACCTCCACCTCACCAAATCCTTCCAGATCCCGTCGGCCTCACTCTCCCTCTTCGACACCCTCTCCGTCATCTTCTGGGTCCCCGTCTACGACCGCGCCATCGTCCCTCTCGCCAGGAGGGTCACCGGCAGGCGGCACGGATTCACCCAGCTCCAGCGGATCGCCGTCGGCCTCGTCATCTCCGTCTTCGCGATGCTGTCGGCGGGGACGCTGGAGACGGCGAGGCTCCGGCGAGTGAGGGAGCACGGCTACTACGAGGTGAAGCACGTTCCGATGTCGGTGTTCTGGCAGGCGCCGCAGTACTTCGTCATCGGGTGCGCGGAGGTTTTCACGTTCGTCGGGCAGCTGGAGTTCTTCTACGAGCAGGCACCGGATGCGATGCGGAGCCTCTGTTCGGCGTTGTCGTTGACCACCGCTGCGCTGGGGAATTACTTGAGCACTTTCCTGGTCGACATGGTTATGGATCTGAGCACCAGGGATGGCGGCCCCGGATGGATTCCGGATAACTTGAACTATGGGAGGCTTGACTGTTTCTTCTGGCTTCTGGCAGGGTTGAGTGTGGTGAACTTGGGGTTTTATCTTTTGATTGCTAGGTGGTACACTTACAAGAAGCAGGTGGGAGTAGGGGAGTGAATGAAGGGAAAGGATAGTTGAGTCATGAGTGAACAATGTGGCTCTTCTCAACACCGGAGTTTGAGGGTCAAAGGAATAATTATATCTTGGTCTTGTCACTGGTATTGTCATCAGGAGTGTCCGTTCGGGTCGGTTACCCAAATCGAAACTCGAAAAAACCCAAAAACTCGAAATCGAAATCATTGAAAACCGAATCCAAGCTCGATAAAGATTTTCGGTTTTCGGTTACCCGAAATCTGAAAAAGCCTTATTGGGTTTGGTTAAAGCAAAACCGAAACAGAAAACCCCAACGCATAGTAATACGGGTTGAGTGCTATTCTTGGAGGTTTTCAGCCGAAACCCGGAAAACTGATAAGCAAAACCGAATCCGAAACCGAAAAATTCAAAACCCGAAACAAACCCGAACCCAAAAACCGAAAATACCAAAAATGTATCTAACCGGGTCGGTTTTGGGTAAACCCGCAAAACCAAATCCGAATGGACACCCCCAATTGTCAATCATATTCAATTTGGAGGTTTCCAATTCGAATTTCTTAAGTAGCACTTAAGAGTTGAGGATAAAAAAGTCATTTGCAAATAATGAATTGGTCTAGTTGTACTACCAATGGTGTTTAATATGGACGTCTAATATTCAAATATTTTAAATAGTACCTAACAATAAATAAAAAATCATATGGACGTCTAATATTCAAATATGGACGTCTAATATTCATCACGGTCATGTTCAAGACGTTCTGATGATGAATAGCTTCAATCAAGGAAATGGGGGTGGGATGGATAGCTTACAAGAGCTTGCATCTGCAATAGCAAAGAACCCCATGTCTGCTGGGCTCTTGGAGACGGTTTAGGAAGTTGTGGATTTTGAAATGGAAGGATATGCAAATCATCCGGTGAACCCAATGCAGATGAACACGGTCTCTCGAGAGCCATCTTCTCTGAGCGAATCTTCAGCTGCTGCACCAGTCGTTTCATCTGGGTTCGATGCATGTGATGGTACAAGCAGGTTGATGGTGGCGGAGGAATCAAAGCTTTGGAGGACGGTGGGTAGTAGAATTCCGATGCCGGCGAAGTTAGCGACGGAGACGATGAGGACGATGGAAGGATTCACGACGGTGGAAAATAACAATTAAAAAATTAGGATTTTCTTCTTTTAATTTATAATAATTAGCTGGAAAATAAGGATTTATTTTATTTTAATTGCCACGTCACTCATTTAACGGTCAAGGGTCAACTATAATAGTTGACCGCCACATCAGTAAAAGTTAACGGAGACTAACGGCCAGTGACCAAACTTGAACTGTTAACCTAATTTAAGTGATTACGGATGGAATAAAGTTATCCTAGTGGCTAACGTGAAATTTACTAGTAATTCAAGTGACCAAACTTGCAATTTAGCCGATTTAGTAAGGAAGGATTATAAGCAACCGATTGGATAAAATGGTACATTGTGGGATGGCTGATTTTACCAGGTAAGTCCGCTCGTAGCGCTTTGCGATTAAGTTGGAAACGAAGTGATTACTAAAATACTTAGAATTATTGGAGAAAGTGGAAGTTGTTGGACTGCAGCTCTTTCGATTTTGCATATCAGTTGATGCCTTGCTCGCACCCGGAGGGTAATAGCAACCGGATAGTACCGAATGTAAACATGACTCTTTCATAATAGTGTCTCATGGACATACTAAAACTACCACAGGAATCTTACAAAATAAAGCTCTGTGCCATTTCGAGTCAATGCCCGAGGGAGAAGATTTGGTTGCCCTAGTCGTGTAAATGCGGTAGTGTTGTACACCCCTCTGATTAGAGAGATTAGGTAGGTTAGGATGCACTCGAATAGGGGGGTCCTAACTATATTTATTCTCCTAACCGTATATAGAACTTGCGAATCGAATTAGAGTATCACAATCTCATCTAAACACGGGACTAGGGGAATAATCATCCGAGTGGAGCCTTCCCATTTGAACTCAACATCGTTGTAATTGTTTGTTTGCTTAGTTTGAGATATTTTTGTTGTTTTATGTTTAAGACTAGTATTATTAATTATGTTTTGTATAAGACGTTATTATTTATCTATTTGTTTAGAATTTCTTTACATGAGCGAAGGGTTTGTTTGTGGGATTAGTCCTATAAATATGTCTATTTGCTCTACAATTTTTTTTCATTAATGAAAAGTCAAGTAATCCGTAGTAATTTAGTTATAATTCGCGTTTTCTTAGATCTTCATAGTTGATTGATCTTAAGTTCGAAAGATCTTACATGTGAAACTGATCACGAGTGGTAACCCTGTGCCAAATCATTCATCAACAAAACATTTTAGTAAGCAAATGCATACCAGAACTTTTTAGCTCCTGAAAGTGAAAAGGTACAGAGAACTCTATATCGTTCTCTTTTTTGGTGTTTTTCAAATCAAATTTCTGAACCAAATCAAGCCAAATTACCTTTGTAAGACTATCCTTGTCATTTCCGCCACAACAATAGAGTATAGACCACCCCCCATTTTTCATGGTCTCCAGACTCCAAATCTCAACACAAATAGCTTTCCAATGGCATCTCACAGACAAGCAGTCTATTTCAATCAATCCTCCTACACATATATACCGTTTCTCAGTTTACATCTTCCAATCGCAGTTGGTGCCTTTCACTGAAAATGAACTTCTGGAGATGGGAAGATTCTCTTCACCAGCCACTGAAGAGGTCTGAGAAGCTGCGCTCTCTTCTTCCGCCAGAACCAAATGGCGGCATTGTACTGCTCGTTCCGGATCGTCTTAGTGGCAGCTCTCCAATCATACTGTTCCATCTCTATCCTTGCTGCTCTACCCATGGTCTCCCTCAGCTCTTGGTTATGAAGCAAAGTTCCCAACTTGTCCACGCATTCATCGAGATCTCCAGGGCTGAACAGGAACCCGATTTTGCCTTCGAGCTCCGGTGGAATTATGTCCGGAATGCCACCAGCTCGAACCCCAACCACTGGGATTCCTGAAGACATGGCCTCCAGGACCACAAGCCCTAGTGTCTCGGATTCAGAAGGCATCACAAACACGTCTCCGCTTGCATATGCTTGGGAGAGTTCTTCTCCTCCCAACATTCCAGTGAACACGGCTGGCATCCCTTTGAACAACTCTTCCAGCTCTGGTCTGCAAATGACTCGATTCATCAAGCAGGAAACGAAAGAGACTGGAAGAAAATATTGGGTTATGAAGAGTGTAGAAATCAATGCAATAGGAGTGTACCTATACGGTCCATCTCCAACGAAGGCAATCCTAGCATCTGGAAGTCTATCCATCACACTGGTGTTCAAATTCATCAAATGTTAATGCAGAAGCAGATTATGCATTGATCTTTTCGAAACAAATGAGAAAGAAAGAGGGTTGTGAGTATGTGAAAGATAATACCCTTTGAGGAAGTCCAAGCTCTTCTCAACTCCAAGTCGGCCAACGTGGACTATCAATGGTTTCTCAGGTTCCCCATTGCTGTTTTGACCAACCACCAAGAGATCAGTGTTAAAACTGGCACATAGGTAGAAACAGCTTTAACTGAGAAAATAGTGTGAAAACACGAGCTTACGTTAATCTCACTCGCATTTCATGCGAACGGAACTGAGGGTTGAAGCTCTCTGAGTCAACACCTTTATTCCAAAGACGAATCCTATTAGCTGCCCATAAGCAAAAACCAGTCAGTTTGAAGAGAAGAACACTGCAAATGCAGATATTCTAAATGAACTTGTATGACAAGCTTCTCTGTGAACACACAAGTCTTTACCTGCTGCCACTTGAGCTTCTAGGAGATCCCTCCCAATGGCAGCTGAAGGTACCAGAGTAAGATCAGCAGCTCGGTGGAGGAACTCTGATAAAACATATTCAAAAAAATTTACTTGTGAACTAAGGAACTAAAAACATTTGGCTATGAGATTTAACTAACGAAAGGTTAAAGAGAAAAGTCCCACATACTTATGACCATCCACATGGGCTTCACCAGCCAACTAAAAGTGTACCTAGGGATGTATCTGAAAAATGGAACTAGGATCAGTCTCTATCTCCTGGCTCATGAGTCATGAATATGGTTTTGCATAAATAACAACTAATTCAGCATAGCCAAACTCACACAGGGACATGCGTATGATACGACATCACTATGGGAACACACAACATTTTTGCAATAGCAAGGGCACCAAAAACCTGATACACATCAAAAAATTTGTCAGCATGTCGCGCGAAAAGAGCAGCATACATATTCATACTGTTAGGTTAGCAGACAGACAACTTACCATTATTCCAGGGGATGATGCATGTATGATATCCGGCTTGAATCTGGCAACCTCGGATATTATTCTAGGACTAAGTGCAAGGGACAATGGTACTTTCTGATACCAGGGGCAAGGAAAGCTGCCAATAGTATGGGAAATTAATCAATTCACACACTTCAAAGAATGCTAAGCTAGAATCTAAAACAACAGCATAATGTTGATATGGCGTCATGACTTGGTACCTTCGCGATCCAATCAATTTGGCACCATAGAACTCCTGGGGTACACCTTCATGTGTTGTCACCACCATCACCTGCATCATCAGCAGATATTTGATATCTATCAAAGAGAATTCAAGAAAACAAAAAAAGGGATTACCTCGTCCCCCATTTCGCGCAAGTACTTGATGAAATTCTGGAATCGGTTCTTATATCCTGACACATACCTGCACAATGAAGCAAAAAGGTTGCACAATATCAGAATACACATAGTAAGGACATCATAGGATTGCAGAGAAGAAATCAAGAACCTTTCTTCCGAGCACCTGAAATCATAATTAATAGTCATCCAATCAATGGCAAGTTTGCGGCAGTGTGAGAAGCACTGAATTATAAACCAATACTAAACCAGTCCAGACTTTACCCCAAAACTTTTTGGCAATATGGAAAGGATTTATGAGTTCTAAACCGGCGGTAAATAGCATTACAATATGCAGAAAAGCTGGAGGCTCTAATCAATCCAGCCAATGATATCGCTGAATAACAGCTAAACCTTAAAAGTAGTTTAATTACGTGGATGCAGCTAGCTGAATAATTAGAGTCTTGCAATTAATTAACAAAAGTTCATGTCGACACAGGACGCTAAACAGCTGGCTGACGGTACAAGAAACTTGACTGGTGACTGACAGTGGCAACGAAAAGACACCTTGTTGCAATCGCAAACACACAAAACACATCCAAAAAAGAACACAACGGACCAGAAATTAGAAAGCTGATCAAAGAACGTCAATGCCAAGAACATCCAGACATGAATTCAGCAAAGAAGTTTGATCTTTTACATAATCCGTCTCACAAAATTACACCCAAATAACTCGGAGTTTATGACAAAACGAGAGAGTAAGGAGAATAAAGAGAGGGGCTCACGCAAAGGGAGAAGGCTCAACAAAGAGAGCAATGCGACGAGGCCTGGAATTGGTCTCTGAATCAAGTAAAAGGGGAGGATTCTCTTCCTCTACATTCTCTTCCTCTTCAACATAATCGGAGATGGTCATTTTCTCACTGCCACTCCCTTCTTCAGCTCTAACTACACTACCCTTTCTCCTGTAACTCTCGTTAAATCCAATCTCTTTGGCAAATAGGCTGATGGGTTTTGCTCCGCAAGACCTAAACCTCGAAACTTGGAAGGAAACGGAAGAATGGGTAGCGGTAGAGCAAAGAGAAGTAGCAGGTGAAGCAGTGACAGAAGCAGAGGAGGAACAAGTAGCGGTGGAGAAGAGAGGGGAGAGAGTGGGATTTATAGAGAGGGAAGGAGGTGTCATGGTGGGAAATTTTTCACAATAATATAGGAAGAGGAGAAGAAAAAGAAGAAACCCGGGAGAGAAAGACGAGTTGGGTTTGATGATTGATAAGAGCGAGCGAGAGAAGAGCTATAGAGGAATTTTTTTTTTTTGTTTCCTTCGTTCTTTTTGCATATATATTTTTGCTCAATATGTAAGAAAGAATCTTTGAAGGTACCGTAGCGTTGGATATTCTGAAGTCCGCCCAACAAAAAATTAAGAAGAGCAAGCGGGCGGGGTATCAAAAAGGAAGCGTGGGAACACTACACTACCATCCATCACTCTCTTTAGTCTCACTGGGGTTTATTCCATAGGCATCATTCCGAAACTTTGCAAGGTTATCAACCAGTTTAGCTTGTTCTGATAGAGCAAGTGGACTGAGGTTTAATGATGGGATTGCTTCAATTTTTATTTTTAATTTTTTTATAAGAGGAGCACTTGTATTGCGATGAGAGTCACGGTTACAAGGGGCGGGAACTACAATGAGATATAACATTAATAATAACATGAGATACAATGAGATACAATTCGAATTATATCAAAATTTCATCAATAATAATAATAATATATAACATTATACCAAAATAATAGTTTGTACTTGTATCCATCTAACATATAGTGAAAATTCATACACACTCATATAAACATTAGTAGTCAAACATTCAATTTAGAAATTCAAAGATAAGGTCAGGTCAATGGGAAAACTGAAAAATATGTGTAATTCGCAAACCAAAAAGAAAAACGCGATGGCGTTTGACCTTCCAGTCTAGGAACATTACTGTGGGGTCGACCCGCGGGTGTGTGGTGCATGTTTTTCTCATCAGGTCCAGGTCGATTCGAATCCACCCGGGATTCGACCCGCAGGTTGACAGCCTTGGTGTTTTGGGTTGTTTCGGTTTCTCTTTCCCTCCCTCTTCTTTTTCCAATGGGCCAATTGTCGGATATAAACCGAAATAAGAATCATTCACTTTCCTCATCATAAAAAAAAAAATAAAAAATTTAATCTCTATTTCATTCTCCTAAAATCATTATTTCTCGTTCTAAACCATACGAAATTGACAATTTTATCTTAAAACAACCCACAATAGTAAATGAGAAAAGTGTGGAATCTAGACCCAAAAAATAGGTAATTTAGGTCTCGAGCCAGCCACACTAAGGAAAGTGGGAAAACTGCGAAAAGGTCCAAAGCATTTTTTCGTCAAAATCAATTAAGCATTGATTTCGTTGTTTAGTTAGACAATTTTGTCATGATTTTTATATAGCTGGGTAGAATTGTAAGTTTAACTATTATCCTTCATATAGCTAGTCATACTTAATTATGACAAACATTTTGATGTAATTTTTTTAATTCGGACATAAATAATAATAATAATTATTATTATTATTATTAATGAAAGTAGATCATACATCAAAGATAAATTAAAAGTACACTTAGCTACACACTTAAAAACATAATTGAAAGCAACACATTAAATAGTGCATCAAACTTTGAAGATTACAATTTTGGTGTGTAGACGCCATTTTATGTGTTATAGACTTATAGTTTGATTCTCCTGTAGTTGGACTTGGACCAACTTGGTAAGCAGCTACAATTTGATCATTTTGCATATGGTACCACGTTTTTTGTACGAGGGCTAAATTGAGAAAGAACCTTACTCATGATCTCTTGGTCGTGTTTAATCTTTTCCCTTATTTCTCTTTCCCTCTCATGTTCTTCTCGAACAATTGCCAATCTTGCATGTGTTGTCGAAGAAGCTGTCATTTCAACCTTACTCTTTGAGAAATCCTACATTGAAGAATCCTCATGTCCTTTATTCTTCCTCTTTTGCTTATCTCGAACTTCGGGATGATTGATGAGATAAAGAGCCCCTCTTGCAAGAAGATTAGGGCTCTCATTTTCATCAGAAGGCATACCAGACGAAGATCCTTCCATTCGTGGAATACACGGGCATACCACTATTGCGTAAACTTTGAACAATGTTGGAGGATGTCTCAACCATGTTCACTCTTCCATTCCTTTTTCGTGTCGGCAATAAAGACAACATTAGTTTGTTCACCTAGATAATGAATTCAATAAAAAAATCATAAATTTGTGGTTTGTTCCGTGCGGGTCAAAATTTGGATGTACGGGGGTTAAACTAACTACCACATCTTGAGCCAAGAATAACTCAAGATGGCGTTGTCAGTATAGTGGCTGACGAAGTTCGTATTTCACAGGATTGTGATATCCTTGACTACTTCTCACTCGACTGTTATCTAGTCAATCAAGTTTTGGGCGGGTTGGAAGACAATTATTAATAACTAACAATGAAAGCTTAAATGAGAAAGCAAGTACTCAGGGCACCGCCCTCGCCCTAGTTACTAGGTATATCATGCAAAAGAATAGAATTGTCTGTTTATGGGGAATGAAGTGCGGGAATCCTTAATATTGGAGCTAGCTCAATGGTCATGCAACTAACCACCTTCATAATTCGATCCGCTGACCCAATCTAACCTCAATTAGATTCATGAATTAGGGATAAACTCTATTCTCTTTCTATGGGTTGCCCCTATTTGCATACTAGGTTGATGTGTTGATGGTCACATACATACCGCCCAGTAATCGAGGACAACTTCCTATCAATATTCCAACCAAGCAAACACTTGAACAACCTATCTCCCAATCTCTTGACTAGTATGAGGGACAGAGACAGAGACAAAGCTCAACATCATATTTTTAAGTTTCCAAGAATTGTCAATAAAATGCAAAGTCACTGCCATATACCCCCTCTTTTGGTTGGTTGTAGTCCACATATCAGTTGTGTGACTACAACTATACCAATATTACCATCCAAAACCTTCTGAAACTTTGCCATTTCAGCCCCATATAACCCAAATATGTCCTTTTTCACTGTATTTCTACAAGGGACAGTGAACTGGGTTGCAAAGAACTGCAGAAACATTTAAACCCCGAGTGTTCAAAATGTTCAGGGGATACTCATGCACCATAATTATAGAACACAATTCCTTCCTAAACACATCAAAACTGAATTGAGTAGCAGATAGGAGGGATTTTCCAGTTGGTTTATAATCAGTACCAAGAACTCTCTGCCTACCATCATGTATCTTTCTTTGGGTGCAAGTTTTATAATGGTTCCTCAAGTGGGAGGTTCCATTACTAGTAACACCACCTAATCATTTTCGGCAGTATCTACATTGACTTTAATCTCTCTATTAAACGTCAACCTCGCAAAATGTGGCCAGACATATGAAGTCAATTTACAATCTTCCTCAAGAATTATTTTAACATTTTCATTTCCATTTATCAAGGCATCATTACCGGAACCATTAATAGTAGCAATACCATTACCGTTTTGATTAGAAGGCACAGTAGAACCATTCACATTCAAAGCACCATTTTCAGTAGCACCATCCATCTACACAAACAATTAAACAATTGCATGCAATCAATCAACCATAACAACTCAGACAAATCACACATACAAATTACAATCGAGAGTTGAATTGGAGTAAGGTTATACCTAACCTGTAATCTGGAGATGGAGACTCTGTTCACCAGACTACAGATGGTGAGCTAATGCCTAATGCGAACTTGGAGAACTCCCAAACAAAGCCAAAACAAACAAAATAACATTAGCATTAATCAACTGATAAAGACCTAGCTCATGAATCTGGAGAAATGAAAGCAGAAGTTTGTGCTTACCTCAATTGTGCTATGAGCAGAGTGAAGGTAATGGTTTAGGGAAGAAGTTTGGCTGACCAGTGACCCTGAAATTAATCGAGGGGTTATAATATATATGAGAAGAAGAAAGAAGCCAGTAGGTGCAACAGAATACGAAATGAAAAGGGAGAAAGAACTTATCTCGCTGTGTGATATCACGCCGATTTTCCCCAAAAGCTGCAAATCGAAGATTGCAACGGGCAATTTAGGGTTCTGCATGCTGTTTCTTGACGAAATAGCGGCATAACTAGCCTCCAATTAGCCAAATTGGGAGATAATGATTGCCTACTGGCAATCATAGTTGTATAAACAACCTGGATTTGGAGGAATTCGTGGGGAATCAGCGAGATTTTTTAGCGGAATGATGGAGAGAAAATCGCTAGTGAGCTAGGGTTTGGGGAGATTCTCGAAGGGAATGGTAGCAGTCGATGGGGAAGCCGAGAATAAATGACGATTAGGGTTTCCCCCTATACTTCGTTTGGTTTATATACGACGTCTAAAACGACTCTTTGCTCTTCTTCTCCTCGCTCTATCCGATTCCGTTACCTTTCTTTTTATCATTTGGGGACCAGATTAAGCTTGGCAACACTGACCGACCCACCGGGTATCCACCCGAAATCTGTCCAGATAGTGATCAAAATACCCGTCAAATGTGGGTATTTGGCGGATTCGGCTATGCCCGAAACCCGCGAGTAGCAGGTGATGGATGACGATAGACTTAGTGGTATCCGCCATGTCCCCTCTCTGGATCATAAAATGACGAACTAAGTCTATCGTCATCCATCACCTGCTACTCGCGGGTTTCGGGCATAGCCGAATCCGCCAAATACCCACATTTGACGGGTATTTTGATCACTATCTGGACAGATTTCGGGTGGATACCCGGTGGGTCGGTCAGGGTTGCCAAGCTTAATCTCGTCCCCAAATGATAAAAAGAAAGGTAACGGAATCGGATAGAGCGAGGAGAAGAAGAGCAAAGAGCTTGAGTCAGTTCAACGCCTTTTTCCCAAGCATCTTCTTATCTGCAAGACAAAGACACTGCAATCTCCAAGCTTTCAAGCCATGGCGTCGCTCATGGTGGCATCTGTTCCGTCCGCCACACCTCGTTCGCTCAACCTCTGCCCGGGCTTCTCTTCCTCCCGTTCAGAGATTCAGGGCAGCTCCTTCGTCGTCGCGTCATTCGGTTCGCTCAAGCTCTCGGCTTCTTCCTCCTCCACGTCATCACTTCCCTTGGGTAATTTCCTGACTCTGCTCTTCTCCGGCGCCATTTGACGATAGATTTACGAAGTTCTTTCTCTGGTCTGTCCAGTTTATTGCGGCAGAGGCGACAGGAAGACTGCTAAAGGAAAGCGATTCGCTCACTCGTTCGGCAATGTTGGAAACTCTCATCTCTGGCTGTAATTTCGAAATGTCATCTCCGCGTAATTGCGCTTACTTCTTCTTGTTGTTTATGGTGCCAGGCAAGGCCGAGAAACAAGAAGAAAGGGAGAGGCCCGCCGAGGATACCGGTCCCTGCCTCTCCATTGAATCCAGACGAATTGGCACAGGACAGCGAAGAAGTCCCCATTGAAACCGATGAGTGATGAGTTCCTAATTCCCTGTTCAATCTTTCTTTTTCTTGCTGTTAAACGCTTCCTGTAGATTTTCAGCTGTTGAAACTACTCTGCTGTTTCTATGTCATCCCTGTTGCATTAAGGTTTATTTTCATGTGTCATTTACATGCTTACAGAACCATGGCATGGCATGTGTGTTTAGGGTTTGATGTTGGGATTTTCAGGCTTAGGTAATCTCAGAAACTGTTCTTCTTTAGGTTCAGTGCTGCATTGCTTAGACTTGTGGAGAGCCTTGCTTTTGCTAACGTAAGAGTAGGATTGCTAAGCCATCATTATGGAGAACTTTTCTAGGCTAAGAACTTGAGATGATGAAAGAATTCTTGGTCAATCCAGAGTCCAGACACGACTTTGAGATAGCGGTTCTGCGATTGAGATGCTAATTCGGGGATGGAGTTTGAAAAACTTCGTATTCTTTTCCCCTTTCAAGAGTAGAAGATAGGAATCACAAGCAAGGAACTCTGTAATGAAAGGAAAATTCAATATCCTTACAGAATAACTTATTCAGGTAGTAGTGGTGATATACACTCTTTTGTTGGGGAAAACATCAAAACAAGACCTCAAGCCTCGGTCTCTCTCTCTCTTTAGTTGCAAAAGATTTCTTACCATCTCTCTAAGCATGGTTGATATGTTGACAGACAACACAGTGCTCTGAGATAAGCCTGTCCATCACACTTCCATCTTCAATAATCAATTTCCTGCTCCTCTTGTTCCATAGGTGTAATGCATAGCTATCCTGCAGCTCGACCATGAGCCGGTCCGCCCATCTTGATTGAGAGCCGGTTGTCGGCTTTCTGAAAAGCCTGCGAATCTGTATCCAGTCGACCGGATAGAACGCCTTGGGCTGCAAGATCGTTACGTTGTAACTTGGTAGGCTTCCACCCATCCTCTGACAGACTCTTGAAAACATAGCCGGCCCGTTGTAACCCCATTTGTTCCCGTTGAAGGTGTTTGAGAACTCTTTGATGAACTCCAACAACATAGGATGGCCCAGATCAAACACCACGACTGCATTGTTTATGCTGCTCCATTGGTTAGTCATTCGATCCATGGTCTGAGCCCCAACGACGTTCCGTAGCTCTGAGAAATCTCTCAGAACTATGAAGTCCGTATCGATATACGCCCCTCCATATTTGTATATCATTGCAATCCTTATCAGATTGGTGAGGTTTATAGTTAGAGGGATGTAGCCAGGATCCCTGGTGCCGCTCTTCATGTCCTCGAGCCAATCTTCGCCCGGTGTGTCTTGCACTAGAAATGGCACGTCGGGTGTGACTGCAAGAACTTTGAAGCCGAGATCGAGAACGGGCTTGAGCTTTGTGTATCCACGCTTGGAGTCCATCGATCTCGAGACAATGATCAAGCAGGCTTCTGGATTCGAGTGAAAGAGGCTGTCCATGGACATGAATTCCCTCGGTCCAAACGTCTTGGCCGGCGAGAGCCACACCATGTAGAATTGGACTGAGCAGTTGTTGTTGTTGAAGAACTCCATGACTCGGCCGTGGAACTTCTCACTCAACTCGTTGGAATTGAGCAAGTCGAGCTCCGGAAGCTTCCGTCGGAACCATTCAATTCTTTCAGCTATCGTCACATTCTGCGGAGGAACCAGAGGATCCACAACTTCACTCTCGTCGTCGTCGTAGTCCTCCCGATTGATGTTCATATGCGTGTTGAGCTGTGGCAACTCGCTGACGGCGGGGAGAGCTGGTTCCTGCAAGGCCGTGCTGCCGGTTGAAGAAGGGCCGGCAAAGAGGTGGCCGGAATAGAGCATGAAGAAGATTGCGGCGAAGGTGATGGCGGAGAAGATTGGCGTTTTCGGACCGTGGAAAACTTTGCGGAGATCGAACATCTTCTTGTACATTTTCTTGAGCATTTTGGGGAAAGCGGGCAAGGAGAATTCGGTGGGAGAGACCATTTGGGAGGAGCAAAGGGAACTGTGATGGCAAAACAGTGCTGCCTTCGGCCATGTTTCTTTTATACGGCAAAACTGTGGATGGCAAAACAAGGAGAAAGTGCTGCGGCCTGCGGGACTTGCAACGTTCAAAGCATGGCGGGAGTTGGATGGCTCCACAATTTCTTTTCAGCATCAAGCACTAATAAATTTCGGTTTTAGGAGGGAAACCAAGGTCCTTATGAGAACCGGATCAAACAAGGTGGTTCGACTCATTGGATCGAGTTAGGAACTCGGAAAATATGAGGCTGCCAGATTTTCGACCAACTGGTTGGTCCAAAACTCGTTTAAGGTTTTCGCACGTATCCGTTAACAAATTCTTAACCACTAGACGAGGACATAACCGAATCGTGAATCGGTGAACTTTCGGTGTTTCATTCGATTCAAGATCTGACTTGCTTCATAAAATATTTCAGCCTAAAGTTCTAATCTATTGGAGGTATGTTATTTGTCAGCATTAGTGGCAAATTAAATACCTACCAGCAATCGTACTCCTTCAGACTTAGCCATCCGGATTGAAGGAAGGAATAACTCAGGTTGTTTAAGGCAAGGTTGGTATCAGCAATTTAAGTTTTGATGATCCTCGGAACCAAAATGTGACCCTGTATGTAAAACATGATGTGACACTATGAAACAGTGATTCTTGAAGTTGTTGATTTGATTGTGCTTCTCATTTATGAAAATCAAGATTATTATTATTCGATTTACACCTTTTTTGAATAATGTTTGAATGAGTGTGTTTAATGTCCGAAGAATCTAAATTAAAGGGCTAAAGACACATTTGGTCACTGGGTTTACTAAAATGTGTCATGTTTAGTCACCGAAAAAAATAAATATCAAATTTGGTCACTCGAATTAATAAAACGGTCCATATTTAGTCACTCTCCGTTAACTTTGCAGTCAACCCTAACAGTTGACTGTTAAATGTCTGACGTGGCGATTAAAAAATTAATAAAAAAATTTATTTATTTTTTTTAATATTTCCACATCATTAAAATAATAAAATAAATAAATAAAAGTAAATTAAATTAAATTTTTTCTCCTCTCCACAACCGCCCAGCATCTTCTTTTTCAACCTCCCCCACTGCCGCTGCCGCCGACAAAACTCCGGCTGCTGCAGCAGCAGTCGTCGTCGTAGGCCTGTGTCGTCGACTCGCGTAGGACTATTATTGTTTTACATGTTTTTAGCGCAGCGGTTACAATTTTTAGCCATAAAGCCGAAAGCAAAATTCAAAGCTTCCTTGGCATTGGAAGGATGGAAAAGAAGAACAGAGGGGGGGAAGGGGGACCGGCGAGTTCTCCGCCGGAGAGTAGCCGTCAGCAAAGGCTACAACAGCCTACAGCTAAAACCAATTTTTTGGTACGCAGCCTCGGCTACATTGGGAATTGACGAGGGAGCTGCTGAGAAACGACAGCAAGACGAAGAAACCCAGACCCAGATTCGGATTCATCAGCTGCTGCGCCAAGAATTGAGCTCTCTCATTCTCTATTTCCATGAAATTGCTAGTAACAAGACCGGCTTTGGTTTTCGCCGTGATTTGGCCGGATTGGAGTGCAAGACGGCCAATGGAATGGTGGCCCTGCTGATAAAGGAGAGTGGACAGCCCCTTTCCAGGTTGACTGAACGGTTGAAGAGCAAGTTGAAAACACATCTTCTTCGTAGATATGGTATTCACCGACGGACGCCGAAGTTTTGCCGGCGGCAGCGGCAGTAGGGGAGGTTGAAAAAGAAGACGCTGGGGCGGTTGTGGAGAGGAGAAAAAAATTAATTTACTTTTATTTATTTATTTTATTATTTTAATGATGTGGAAATATTAAAAAAAATAAATAAATTTTTTTATTAATTTTTTAATCGCCACGTCAGACATTTAACAGTCAACTGTTAGGGTTGACTGCAAAGTTAACGGAGAGTGACTAAATATGGACCGTTTTATTAATTCGAGTGACCAAATTTGATATTTGTTTTTTTCAGTGACTAAACATGACACATTTTAGTAAACCCAGTGACCAAATGTGTCTTTAACCCCTAAATTAAATTAAGATTACCCTTATGGGAATTCTTTTGGAGAGCTCGACGATTATGAAAACTCCTACACCTGTGGAGAATCCTTTATGAAAGAAGAGATCGGCAGCTTGGAGTGATAGATAAAAGATAAAGTTTAGACATGTATGTTTGTGTGAACTCTGTTGTTTTCCTTTCACCTCTGATACTTGTACAAATCCTTCTTTGTCGTTGTTTCTACCCACATTCCCCACTATTCGATGGGATGTTGCTATACTTCAACCGTTTGAACCCTTGATCTTCAATATTCTTCATATGATTCCCATGTGAACATAGATGTTTTGTTAAATTGTGAACATTGTTGTTCTCTCACAAAATATCATTTTAGTCGCGACTAAACTCAATGATATTGTAGTGGTAAAAAAAAAAACTCCCTGCTTTAGTCACCACTACAATGACATTGAACTCTTGGTGTTGTCGAACTACCAACGCTACTGAAACCACAAAATTGTAGATCATCACGTTGTCAAAAATGGGTGAAAAGAAACTAGAGCCCAAAGCTCACTCATGATCCAACCCATTTATTACAATTAACTATGTTGGTCTCCTTAAAAAACCAAAAGATTCCGGAGACTAATCAATTAACTAAACTAAGCCAAAAAAACTTCAACTTTAAACAATACCCAAAAAACTTAATTCGTAAGTGTTAACGAATTGTATCATCTCATGGCTAATGAGAACAAATCAAATAAGATGGTTCTATATCTCAATTTTGCTCAAAACACAACAAGACTGTAAGTTGAAGCCCAAACACAGAGCATGAACTGAAACCCTAAAAAACCTAATCAATTTCCAGCAGATGGACAGCAACCACCGCACCAGGAGAGTTCCATCATCCACCGCCGACGAGAAGAGCCGCAAGACATCCGACCAAGAGGTGCATGGTTGTACCATTGAAACCCTAAGCCACTCGGTGAATGAGACACCACCTTGACAACGAAAGCACAAGCATCAGGAAGAAAGATGATTAGGAGCCCAAATAAAGTGATCCTCGCCTTCGAGCTTCACGAGACTGGAATCAAGGGACGATCGCAATAGTTCCCAGATCTTCTCCGAAACACCTTCCAAACATGTGAAGCAAGGAGAACGAGCAGAAACATGAAGGAGAAGGCAGGCTAAGGGGACCTCAACCTCCTCTGTTACCAACAAAACATATCTGAAGATCTGACTTGAGGAAGAAGCAAAGGCAGCCATCTACATGAGAGGCGCGGAAAATGAAGTGTCACTTAAGGGATGGAAAGGACAACAAAGAACTGAAGGAAAGACAGAAAAAAAAAAAAGGATGGGTGGCCGCCGGTCACCAGGAGGTGCCGACCGCGACAACTAAATATCAGAGGGGAAGGGAAGCTAGAGGGAGGTGAGAAGGTTTTCAATTCAGAGAGAAGGTTTTTCCAGTTCCACTAGTTAGTGTTTTGAGAAGATTATCCGTCAGTCATTACCGTCAATATATAGGCCCTTCTGCAAGTAAAAAAAAGAACAATTTGGTAACGCTGAAATCATTCAAAATATAGGACCCCCAGCTAGAGAGGAAGAGCAATATTAAAATTGTAAAGCAAGAAGTGGGGATGAAGAGAACAAACTCCATACCATCATCGGCAGCATCCACGTTGAAATCATCTTCATCATCATCGAAATACTCGTTCTGCAATATCGTAGAGACTGACTGGTCAGTCACAAATTCTGCTCTAAAGTGCTGAGTTCATCACCAAATCAGAAGCAGGAACAAAATGCACGATGACAAATACAATTTCTTCCTTCCTTTTGTTTCTAATAGTAACCTGATTATAGTCATCATCACTGAATTCTTCCTCCTCAATTGCTTCTACTTCTTCTTCATCTTCCTCTTCTTCACCTTCTTTAGTTTCCTGACCCCCCTAGATCGAGACACCAAGGCATCAACAGTATTCATAGTCAGCATGCAAGCTAGAGTCTCACGAGAAGAAGAAAACCTATCAGGCTAGATAAACACATACCTCTGCTTTCTTTTTTGCTTCTTTATTTTCAAGATTCTCAAAAACATCCAAAGCTATCATGTCATACAATCAGTTGGATCAATAGCATTAGAAATTCAAAAGGATGATCAAAGAAAATAATGAGAGATACAATAAGTGAAAAAAAAACAAGCTGGTTCCATTGCAAATAAATGCATCATGTCCTATAATGCAAAAGCAGAAAAGGAATCTCACATTTTTTCTCAATTCAACTTCCTGAACCTAGATAATGAGATTGTGTGAAAATATATGATGTAGGAAAACAAGAAAAGGGCAGAAGGAAAAGGAATCTCACATTTTTTCTCAATTCAACTTCCTGAACCTAGAAAATGAGATTGTGTGAAAATATATGATGTAGGAAAACATGAAAAGGGCAGAAGCATCATCATACCCTGTTGCCATCGCGGTTTCTTCGATCTCCTCACAACTTTCTTTCCTAAAATATAAATTTCACAAATTGTTGAGAGTCAAAAGCAGCTCATTAAGAAAAGCAAAGCAGCAGCCATCATGTGGGTTGGTTAAGATTGCAGAACCTCCAACCAATTCCTTCGGGAAATAATCAGATCCAAACTGCAGAAACTCATCAAGGGAACCTCGCTTCGATACGACCTTTGGCTTTGCCCTGTCAGGAAATCTCTCTACTTCCATGATCCAACTCTCTGGTAAGACACCGAGGGGAGGAGATAGATTCAAGAAACAGAAGACATTCAATAACACGTAGCTATGCATAAACATATGAGGTGCTCCTAACTCACTCATTGGACCAGCATCCGTATTTTCTTCTAGGTAGTAACAGGAAGCTTTCCAAAAAGCTTGGAACTTTGCATTCACAACAACTAAACCCTTTTCTTCCTTCACGTTCTTGGGATCAGGCAATTTAACTTCCTGCAGAAGTTTCCATCAAGGGTTAGTATCAGAGGGAGAAGAACTGAAAAAGGTGAGGAAACATGAATCTTTAAAACCATTCATTGGTAAAAACAGAATGAAGGCACAAAAAGCACTCGTGTGTTTCAAACCCCAAAGGAACAATCATGAGTGGAGAATTCCAGCTAAGGACTTGCAAATTTTGCTTCCCCAGCACTAATAATTTGTGTAAGTTATTCAAAGTCCAAATTTTGAAGGACTGGGAACAGCAAGATAACCAAACTAAAACAGAGAGAAATGAGCAATAGATCTCACAGGAAACAAGATGTAGGGCTCTTGTTTTGCCAAACTACCCCCGCCATAGCTGCTCCGTCCAAATGAACCGCGCCCGCGCCCGCGCCCTCTAGACATCTGCGATTAATAGAACTCCACAATGGTAAGCATAACTGCATCAGCGAAACTCGATTACAACAGCAGAAATTTGGAGATGGAATGACTGGGCAAACACCCATGTTCCAGCTTAACAAAAAGGCTACCCATACGGAAATGGAAAGCAAATTCGAACACATGAATGAATCAAACAGCCAATCGGAAGATAGACCACGAGCTAAAATCAAATCTATTGAGAAGAGAACTTGATAAGGTAGTTAATTTTTTCAATCCAAATTACCATAGGAAGAGAGGCGAGGGAGGCACGAGCTCTTCTATCTGCTACCCGACCGCAACCAAAGCTCGCGCAGCGAAGCAACAGTAGAGTGAGGAGAGGCTTAGGATTGAATTGGGTTGGAGGATGCGCAACGACTGAGAGGAGAGGATATCCGCGGCGGTTTATGAGGGCGGGCGCCGGAGAGCGGAGTCGGAGGCAGTGTCTACCGGAGAGATGAAAGAATGAGAACTGAAAGATGAGCGGGAAAGAGCGGAAGAGGGACGAGAGCAAGACAGGGTGCATTAGGGTTATTATTTTTTTTTTTTAGAGAGAATATTAGGAATGGATTAAAAATTTAAAATATTGTAGTATTAGCGGTTCGACCTGAAAAATCTTTTATCGAAAGCAGAATTGGTAGGCGGTATTTATCTTCATCCAACGAGAGACCTCCATTTCCAGACGAGAGACCTCCATTTTCTACAACTTGAGGATAGCATTCATGCAATCTGATTCTACTATCACCGAACCCATATTCTCCTCCTCCGCCAGTAGCAAGCCCAATTCGATTGCATGTAACTCTGCTAGTTCCGGCGACCAGGGTCTGCTGCTCCCTACGAACCGCCGCCATCACAAATTGGCCCAGACTCCTGAGGATTCCTGGCGACTGCCCCCAATCCCGTCCCTCCGCCATCCAGCACTGTTGCATCAACATTTATTTTCATCCAGCCTTCCGGCGGTCGAAACCAGGTGTGTGGTTCCTCCGACTTATCTTCTATTACCTTCCGATGTAGTTGATTGAACTCCTCCCAGTACTTGATCGGCCGGACTCAGCGGCGGATCCAGAATACAATAAAGCACTTGGTTGGATTTCATTAGAAAGGTAGATATCGTTAAAAAAAATATAATGATTATTATAATTTTTTTGACAATGTCAATTGTACACAACAATCTTTTAATTTAGCGGATGCATTAATAATGAAGTCTACGTCCATACCAATTCTGTTTGAGATAAAATACTTGAGCAATCGGCGAGAAATCCATCGCTTATTTTGTTGCGCAAATTAGTTTCCACATGTTTGATTATTGAAAAGGTTCTCTCTCTGTGGTAGTTGTTGAAACGGGTAGAATCAACACTAGACAAATCAATTGACTAATCAATTTGCACTCTGTGTCCATCCCTATATCACCACCTGCTCTAGTAAATTTTCAAGGGAACATACCTCATATTAATTTTAGTCATTTATGCTTTAGACTTTAGAATTTTAGGTTTTATTGTTTTTTAGACCAAAAATCTTTAGGACTAGAATTTCTAGGCTAAATTTAGAGTAGTGATTTAAATATGTTTATCTGAATTATTTTTTTTAGTTATACACAATCATATTATAAAATAACACTGGACCGAATGACTAAACACGACAAATTTATAAGGACTATACTAACTTCGGATCGAAACGAAAGGAGGGCTGGACCGGGGTGGCCACCCCTGGATCCGCCACTGGCCAATATGTAAAAAGGTTTTGTGATTGTAGCGTGTGTTTTGTGATACTAGAAACAATACCCGTGGCTACGCCACAGGATCTGTTTACAATTGTGTAGTACTTTTTAGAAATATGATAGTAATAACAGGAAATAATTATAAATTATATACACCGTGTGTCATAAAAAGTATTCACAAAACATAAATCAGGACATATTCAACTCTTGTCAAAAAAGTTGTCTTTAAACTTAGGTAAATCATATGCATTTACTCTACTCAATATTAGATTATTAAGTTCAATACTAAGACCACCCAGAGAAAATATTTTTTACAAATCAGATTCATTAATATCACACGTTAAATCAATCCATACCCATGTTACTAAAGTTAATTAATAGTTCAGTAAAAAGGAACCAAAAAGATTGGCTCAAATTCTCAACCCCAAATTTGGGATTGATGTGACTGGATTGGGAATAGTATGAGAAAAGGATTCAACAGGGAGAGGGAAGGTCAAAAATTGGTTTTTCATGCTCTCAAGTCTCAAAGTCAGAGGGATGGTGAAGGATGGTACACGGGTACTTGTGGGGAGTCTGATTCTTTTCTTTTCCTTTTGACAGTCCCTGGGTTTTGTATATTATCTGTCAGCAATCTGGCAAGGGTGTCAAGCAATCAATTTAGCAAAAAAATATTTTTATAGGTTAAAACAATAGCATCCAAGAAATCTATGGAAGTCCTGTATGCAATGTATGGCACAAACAATGCCTGCTGCAGAGGCTACATTTCATATTTCTTTCTCATTCAAGATTTTCTGTACTTCAGAGAACCAAGTTCTTAATGCATTCAGCTAACGAATTAACTCTAATCGAGTATCATGTACAACAAAATGCAAGCATGATCACAAACTACTCTGCGAACTAAGAGGATCATTTTGAGAGAAATTTTAAAACTAAGAACTTCGGATATGGAAAGAGTGTACTCCTTCCCAAATGCAACGTTTTATCTGGAAAATAAGAGACTCAGTTCACTAAAAGTGAAGATTTCAGTGTCATCTGCAACAACTTAAGTGTCCTTTTCTTTTGTATTCCTTTTCTTCAAATGAATGCATCATTTTTCAAACTTAATTAATACAAATAGTTTCAATGTGTTTGCCATAATCAAACAACACAAAGAGAAACCAAAAATTGCAGCAGAAGCATTTCTAGCCTTTCTATGTGTTTGCATTAGGAAACAGCCCACTAAGAAACCTTGTCTTGTAGCATACTACTTGCACCAAATTTTAGAGAGTAATTCCCTAACAATAATGTATCCATGGTGTTCAAGATCGACTTCTTCCTTAGACCTGCATATTCCTCTGCCTGCTTCTGGATGTTTGATGGGTGATGATCTGCAATAGAACATTTGGTGTCATTAAATTACTGAACAGGGAAACTGTAATGCCAATATTGCTGTGAATCTTAGCACAAATGACATCATTTTGTGGGAATTAATCACAATCTTTGGCTGCTCGTCCACAGAAATAATTAGTCTAAAAGAAACTAAACAGAGAACTAAACTCAAGCACACAAATTTGCTACAGAGATGCACCAAGCAAAGCAAGATAGAAGTTCACCTGTAAACTCTCAACGATGGAAGAAGAATACGGGAATGAAGAGCTTCTCCCATCTCTCCATTTCACCCTTTATACTTCTAAATAGCATTTTATACTTCTAAATAGCATTTGATACTTCTTCACCGTTTCCTCCATGGCTAGTGGTTACTCTGCTACCTAAACCTATCAAATCCCTAAATTACATAAACCTTCTTCATTTTAGCATTCTTATCATCCTTCTTCTCTGCAGTCTCTCCCCCTTATCTCTCTGCATCTTCTTCCTTTCCCATTCCATACTTTCTCCCCCAACTCTCCGGCCACACGCCAGATTGGCCGCTTTGGGGCCTAAAATCTCCTCCCCGGAGGCCCGGACGCACACTATATGCTACCACATCTCGACGAACACCATTTCCTCCAGACCTTCCATCGTTCCCCGAGGAAGAATTTTGACTCTGCAGTCGTCTCTGGAAAACCGGACTTCTGATGTAGCTACGGCGGCGGTGCGGACTCCTGCTGCAGCAACGGCCACTTCTCGGGCCTCGACTTCGGTCTCCTATCTTGAGACCGCCTGTTCCGGCTCCAACTTTGGCTTCGACTGCGGTTGGGGCTGACGCTTCTACCCCAGCTATTCCGGTTGTTACTCATCTCCCTCCTCCCATCAAATCACCCTCCCCTGCCACGATCAACATGTCCACGTCCTGGTCGCCTCTCGTCGGCTATTCTTCGGTTTGGATCCCGCAGCTGATGGCAGATGCTGGCCCCCTCCTTCTCGACCCTTTCCCTCTTCCGATTTCTCCCATCCATCGCCGACAGGAATTTGAAATCAGCAAACGAAAACCACATGACGTATCGTAGGTGAAAAGGTGAAGTAAAGATTCGATTGGGACGGGAGGGAAGGTGAGCAGAGTCTTCTTCTGCTTCTCTCTTGTCCAGTGGCCACACAACATCGACGGAACTGTCGCTGGTAATTGGGTTTCCGACCAATGTATGGAGGAGCCATTCATGAGTAGTTGCTTTAAGGCAGAAAGCATGGTACGGGAAAGCAGTAGTATCTCTTTTTGGACGAACGGGTGGAAGATGTATTTGGCCGGGAAAGTAGCAGAAGGGATGGACGATGGCGTGTAGGAGCAGCTGTGCGAGGACTCAGGACAGAGAAGGCTAAAGCGGTGGCTTGTGATTGTGGATTTTAGGGTGAACAGGACACTCAAAGTATGGGCCCCTGCCACCTGCAATTGAGATAGATGATGCAACAGAAAAAGAAGGAGAAGCTCGTCGGGTTGGCTGCAAGTCAATGAAGGGGAAGCTCTCTTTTTAAGATCCATCCCACTAAACGCCAAATAATGAAACAGTAGTTGGAAGTTTGTGGCAATAAAGTGTAGTCTGCTATTACATATAAGATAATATTTCATTGGTTAATAATATACACAATAATAGAGAGTTGGAATCGCGGGACGTTTAATAATGGCTGGGGAGTGTACAACTACAAGAAAGGCAATACTACAAAACAAGCAAATTTTGGTTTTGTCAAAAAAAAGAATATCACCTAGGAAACATTTGAGTGATGCTGGTAGCACTAACTACTTCAGAGCCTATTGAGGGTTTCAACAGCGGTTGTTTGCCTCTAATATCTTTGCCAGAAGATGTGGATTCATTGAAGCTGCGGCTGCCGCCAGAGCAGCGGGGAGTCCAATTTTTGTAGAAACCTGGTTCAGCCAGTGCTTTGTCGTTAAGGTGGACGTTCTTGGACAGCATTTCCACCACTTGTAGCATCGTGGGTCTTTGGCTGGCGGCCAACTGTGTGCAAAAGAGAGCGACTTTAGTGAATCTTAGAACTTCATGTTCTGGGTAGTTTGTGAGTTCTGGATCAACTAGTTCCAGTAGCCTTTCCTCGTTCTGCATCTTCCATGCCTGCAAACAGAAAGCAAGCATTTCCTTTTTTCTCATATCAAACTCTTGAAATTTTTGCAATCTGGTTTCAAGTCGAGTAAGAGCATGGTTTATACCCATTCAACCAGAACTAGTAGCTCTTCACCAAACGCAGCTTTACTGCTACTTCTACCACTAACGATCTCAAGTAGAAGGACTCCATAACTATAGACATCAGCCTTCTTCGTTAGTTTTCCTAGTTGTGCATATTCCGGGGCCAAATATCCCCTGCCAAAAAAGAACAAAAATGCAATCCTGTTAGCCATCCATATATTCCAGTTTATGCCAATAAACTGAAAGTCCATCATCATCTTACATTGTTCCTGCAACTCGAGTACTGACATGAGTGACATTATCTGGGAAGAGTTTCGCCAACCCGAAGTCCCCAATCTTGGGCTGTAGATTTGCGTCGAGAAGTATGTTACTAGCTTTGATATCCCTATGGACTATAGATGGCTCAACTTCCTCATGGAGAAATGCTAGGCCAGTCGCTGTTCCAAGGCAAATTGCAACCCTTGTTGGCCAATCCATAGCTCTGTGTTTCCCTTTCGAACCTGCGAGATTTGTCGGATAGATGCTTGAGATCTCGGAGAAACTGGAACGCCACTTTCGTCCTCGAAATGCTAGCAACAAGATCTTATTAAACAAACACTAAATCAATCCAATATGAGTATCTACCAAGTAAAGCAGTAGCAAGGCTGTTGTTCTCTAGATATTCATATACCAATATTCGATGACCATCCTCAACACAGCAGCCAATGAGTTGAACAAGATTTGGGTGTCGTGTGTTTGCAATCAGTCTGATTTCAGCTTTGAACTCATCAGTTCCTTGTTTGGATTCTGCAGACAGTGTTTTTATGGCTACCTGGGTAGTACCATCTCTTAAAGTTCCCTGCCAAGTGAGAACTGTAAGAGCTTCCATAGCATTGTAAGTAAACCATCTTTCTTTTACTAGACAACACTTTTGAAAACTTATAACTTTTTAAGTTATTTACCTTGTAGACCACTCCAAACCCACCTCCACCAATCTTATTCGCCGGATGAAAGTTTAGGGTGGCTGATCTCAATGTATTGTATGAGAAGACCCTCAAATTGTTGGTGGCAATCTCTAAAACATTTTCAAAAGTGTAAAACAACACTATCAGAACTTGCAACTTTTTTTTATTTTGTTTTTATAATCTATAATGAACTTTGAACTCATGTACATGTTCAAGCTCAATCATATTTAACAAATAAGTGAGAACTAAAACAAGAACAAGAATTGTGACGAAGTTGTCGCAGTTGTAAAAGGAACTCATGCCTGCATACATTTGTTCAATTACATTGCGAATAAATTCCCTAATTACACTCAACCAAATGACTTCTAGGGGTTGTTTGTATGGTGGATCTGATAATGAATTTGAATCCATCATGAATTTTGTATAAACTCTATTGATTGTTTTATGTATTTAGATGCAACAAATATGTGCGATTCACATACTTAGAGAGTCGAAATTCATTTGTCTCATGGACTTGAAAATCTTACATATAAATCCTATTTCCTTTTAGTTGGAAATTGATCATGGACTTTGAAGTCTTATCATTTGTGACCAACCTACACATCCTATTTCCTTTTATCTTCTCATTGCAAGGAGGGCAATAAACATCAATTTCACTTCATACATACAAATCTCATTAACAAAATTCATCATCAAATTTATGAAACAAATAATGATGTTTTTCTAAGTCTATAATGAAACCAAACCCCTTATATAATCATGATTTTTGTATCAAAACCTTTAGGAATTGTTCCTTAATGTAGCAGAAATTCTAACTCGATTGGTACTTCCAAAGGAACTTGAGTTATTCCTCAGAAAGTGTAAATACATGCATCCTGGGATTGGGGCTCAGCATGTGCATTCTGGGTTGTAAGGATTGATACATGCAATTTCAGAAACATAACTCATATTTGATGCACAAAGTGCATCACAATTCAGTAATTTCACAACCCAAACAAACCAACAAACCATTACCTTCAGTTGCTGCCAGGTTTCCAGGGCTGTTATTGCTCCCAGTAAAGCAGCTTAACCAGTTGTTACAGCCCATTGTAAGAAGCAAGATCCAGATTTACAGCACTCGGAATTCCTTCATCCACACATCAGAAGTCTTGTATCCCGAAACCAAAAGTTCCAAACTTTTCCCGCACAAAACCAATCGGAAAGAGCCGGAGAAGGCAACTGTGGAGAAAAGCTAACCATGATAACAACAGAACAACAAACCCATCGGAGAACTAGTCCCAGAAAAGCTGATTTTTCACTGTTTCGCGTCAGAAAACCCTTGAAAGAGGAAGAAGGGGGAGAAGAGCAGCAACGTATGAGCTATACCTACTGAGAGAAAAGACCACAACGTGAGCTGGTAGATTAGGAGGGATCGATGAAGGCAGAAGGACGGAACCATTAAATTGAATTTGCTTTCTGTTGGTTGGCAATTGCTTGGGTCGAAGGTTAAAGCTGCCTTTTTTGGGGGTCTTTTTCAAGTGCTCCGTTGTTTCGTTCTCACTTTCTAGAGAAAAAACCCTAAACTGATGGGGTGGGTGGGAGAAGGTATGCGACAACGACGCTATTGGGGTTGAAATTGTCCCCTCTTTCTTCTTTCTCCTTGTTGACATTTGTTTTCAAGGCAGGCCCGCCATGGCTTGCGCAGCGGAACTTCCGTTTCCTCTTTTGTTTACAGAGTCGAAGCGATATATGGATGACCGGATGCTCTTAAAGCAGCACTTTGAGAATGATTGTGAAATTGATGGCGGAAAGGAGTTTTAAGGTTAGAGGAAGTTCGGCGGTTGTATGAAGCTTATGAGAAAGGACTATTGTCTTGACTCGTATCAATGCGAAGGTTATTGCCTGCTGCTTTTTCCTACACTAGACTAGATTGCTGAATCTGGTTAACATGCGGAGCTTCAAGTCCAGCGTGTGTAGTTGCTACCTAACTCAAAAGGGTCGCAAAGGTTTCAAAGTTTATGTTTGTTCAAATGGACGAAATAGATAATTGTTGGGACTTGGGAATGAAAAGGTTCGAAAGGTATATGTGAAGTATCAAATACAATATTGGTGGGCAGAGCATTGCAAAAAGTATATAATAGGTTTATTTTTTGGAAAAAATTCTAAAATACATATGTTTTCAAAAAAAATTTCTAAAATACACATGTTTGGGCATCACCACTGTTGTCAACCGCAGTGAATGCATTCACCACGGCCGACCAAAGCGGTGAATGCATCACCGCGGTTGACGGCCGCGGTGAATGCCTAACGTAACACTGAAACTTCAAACAAGTGTAACTTTGCGCTCGGTTATCCGATTGTAGCGGGAAAAAATTTTATTCCACATAACTTTTCAAGATCTTTAAATCTAGAACAAGACTTCATCCAAAAAAAATCATTTGCTACCCGAACGAGCAATTTTTCGATTTTGACAAACTTTGGAAGATCATAACTTTGTGCTCCACAATCTGAATGTCATGAAACTTTTTTTGATTTTGCATAACTTTTGAAGTACTACAACTTTTATTATAACCATAATTTTGGAAAGTATGTGGATTTGTAAAAAGTAAAGGCAAAGTTATTCCCAAAATCCCGTATACCCAAAAATACTTCTTTTTAAAAAATTATTTCCTTGTAAAATTTGTAGTTCTTAAAAAGTTATGCGCAATCAAAAAAAACTTTACCACGTTCGGATTGAGGAGCTAAAAGTTATATCCTTCCAAAGTTTGGCAAAATCGAAAAATTGCTCGTTCGGAGTAACAAACGATATTTTTTTTTAGATGAAGTCTTGTTTCAGATTGAAATCTTGAAAAGTTATATGGAATAAAAAAAATTCACTACAATCGGATAACCGAGCGCAAAGTTATATTTGTTTGAAATTTCAGTGTTAAGTCAGGCATTCACCGCCACCGCTTTGGTCTGCCGCGGTGAATGCATTCACTGCGGTTGACAACAGCGGTGATGACAAAACATGTGTATTTTGGGAATTTTTTCTTTATAACGTGTGTATTTTGAGAATTTCATTTAAAAACATGTGTATTTTGGGAATTCATCCTTATTTCTTAAGGGTATTATCTTAGAGGGATTTAGGGAGTTGCTAAAGGTCGCCCTTAAAATTGCTAAAGGTCGCCCTAAAAAGAATCAAAGTTACACTTTTACCCCCTTAGCTTCTTTACCTTCCCTTTATCAAACAAACACCACTTGGACTAAAAAAACACTATCTAAGGAGAGAAAAATCCATTATCGTCATTTTGAAGCCGATATCGTCGATAGGACGTCTGAATCATGAGTAGCGAATCCGACGAGGTAAATACATTAACTGAAAAACGAAAAAAAAAGGGAACCGCAAATGACCTGCGGTTGGACCATGGCTGGACCGTAAATCACCTGCGGTTCAGCCATGGTCCAACCGCAGGTCATTTGCGGTCTAGCCATGGTCCAACCGCAGGTGATTTGCGGTCCAGCCATGGTCAAACCGCAAGTTGACCGCGCTCAACCGTCGGTTCAACCGCGTGTTGACCGTCGGTCTAACCGCGGTTTGACTGCGGTCGGCACGGTTTTTTTTTTTTTTTTACCTTCTTCTTCTCCGACGAAGCCTTCTTCTCCAGCGAAGGCTGCTGCGCGGGTGGGATCGCGGGAGTTCGGCGCGATGGAGCGAGGTGCAGAGGTCGCTGACGGTTGGCGACGCGAGGTGGCAGGCAGTTGCAGAGGGTGATCGGCGCGATGGAGGGAGGTGCAGAGGTCGCCGACGCAAGGTGGCAGGCGGTTGCAGAGGGTGATCGGCGGTGAGTTGGTGAAGAGGGAGTTTCATAGGGAAGGGAACACAGGAGAAGGTTTAGGTTTAGGGCTTGTTTGTTTCTTTCAATTTTGATTTTTTCATTAAGGGTATACAGGTAATTTGACATCTAAGTTAGGGCGATGTTTAGCAATTTTAAGGGCGACATTTAGCAATCCAGTTCACTTTTGAGGGAGAGGGAGAACTTAAAGGATTTGCATACTACATATGCGTTGTTTGGTTGTTCGAGCGAGTTGGATTGGTCGGTTTGAGACTAATTTTTCGAAGAAAGTCAAAATTAATTATTTGATTGCTTTTCTTATGTGAAAATGGAAATTTTCTGCCCGAAGGTGTTTAATAGACTTATTCACCCCTAAGGAATAGCTTCGGGATGAATCCGTGATCTGCAACCTTCAAAATCAGAGGAAAACGGTATTTCGAAAAAATCGCCTAAAATTTACGAAAATATCCTCTGGAAAAATTCTACCAATTTTCCGCCCAAATCAACGATTAATAGACTTCATCATTGGTGGAGAGTACCCTAAGGCCAAATATGTGATCCGTCGCCTTCAAAATCCAAGGAAAATGGCCTTTCCATAAAATCGCCCGAAATCGGTGAAAGTACCCCTTTGAAATCTGCCAAAAATGGCCCCGGAAATTTTTCGCCCGAATCGGTGTTTAATAGACTTATTCATCCCTAAATAATAGTCTCGGGCTGAATCTGTGATCTGCAGCCTTCAAAATCTAAGGAAAACGGCCTTTCAAAAAAATCACCTACAAATTACGAAAATGCCCTCTGGAAAAATTCGACCAAATTGCCGCCCAAATCGACGATTAGTAGATTTCATCATTGGTGGAGAGTACCCTAAGGCCGGATCTGTGATCCGTCGCCTTCAAAATCCAAGGAAAATGACATTTCTATAAAATCGCCTGAAATCCAAGAAAAAGGAAGAGCTTGTGTGCCTTCAAAGATTTGCGTCTTCTTGTGGGTTGCTTACCAAATAAAGATCTTGACATAAGACAACCTGAAGAAGAAGGGATTCCTATTCTCGAGTCAATGTGAATTGTGCAAGGCCTTTGAGAATAGTATTTACCACATATAATAGCAAAGGTGTGGAGAGTTCAGATAGGCAATTCAAACTCATTATTCACACGTCAATCACAAATATATGTATACGCTCCCCTCCCCCCCCCCCCCCCCCCCCCACCACCACCACACTTAAACACAACATTGTCCCCAATGGAGCAAAGAAAGGCTGGAACGAATTTACTGAATCAATTGGCGAGTGATAGTCGGACTGGAGATGGACCAATTCCGTTTCGATGGAGATGGAGCTTCACAAGGAAACAAACACAAATACATACTCGCACAAGGCAAGGTTATTACACAATAACATTAGTCAACATCACAAGAAAAAGAAAACAACACAATAGTGGGAGTTCAACACACATAATATAACAAACTAAGAACTTAGAGTCGAAGTGGAGAGAAACAAGGTGGAAGTACTACGGTGCCAACATGGCACTCAAATGGTGCCTACCTCTGGCGAGGAGGTGATGGCTGCCACTCGGGGTCCTCGTTGTGAATGTCTTGAGAACGGACAAGCTTCTCTACTAAGAGGTGGGAATGTCGTTGGGCATCTCACTCTTGAGCGAACCAGGAAGAGACACAGGAAAACTGGTCCTCAAGGGTAGTGACTCGATCCTATAGGTCACTAGAGGTGGAAGGTCCGACTCTGGACGATGATGATGCGCCAGCATGGAGATGGTGATGTGGTGGTGGTGGAGCTCTCCATGGTGCCTCCTCCACCACAGGTCGGAACAAGGCAGAAGGTTAGAGGCCATCATGTACTTGATGCCTCACTCAAGTCGAACGAGCCTCATGTACTAAAGTGTCTCCACCGTGGGCACGTGGGTGGTTAATCCGCGGATTGATATCGATCCACCCGCAAATAATCCCACCCGCAAGCAGATGGTGATTGATATGGGTGAATTGCGGATTGATAAATCTCTCACCCGCACTTATGTGGGTGGATTGCTGGTCACCCGAATGACCCGCATCCTATTTTCACATGAAAAAAATGTTGTTTTGACTACTATTATTGGTTATTATGTTGTGTAATATTCATTAGATATTGGATATTGGAATGCAAGTTATTATTAATATCCATTAAATATTGGATGAGAACTTTAAATTATTAATTTTATCAAAATCACAAAATGCGTAAGTTTTCTCTACACAACTGGTTGATAGAGTAGTAAAAAAAATTATGCAAATACTACATGGATGCCTTTGAGAAAAAATGAAAAGTGTTTTGATACAACTAGAGTTACTAATTTATTATGAACTTATTGTAAATTTTATTCGAACTTTCTTAATGGCTAGTTGGAGAATTGCTTTTGCGGGTTAATCCACGATCCAACCGCACTCATCCGCCATCAACCCAACCCGACCCGCAGAAGAATGTGGGTGGATTGCGAGGCACAATTATTCCAACTCGCTAGTAAGCGGGTGAGTCGATTTGAAATGAAAACCCACCCAACCCGCCCATTGCCCACCCCTAGTTTTTAAGTTTTAATTTTGACTACATTGCTCACAGAAATTGCCCATCTTGTCCCGTATAACAGCTCCGAAACCAGATCCCTCTCTTTTGAGACATCCAGCATCTACATTCACCTTGAAATCCAGTCTAAGATAACAATCACTTGAAAACAAGACGTATCAAGGGTACTATGAACCTTAAGCCTTTGAGAAAACCCAACAACCCCTAATTTTCACAAGGAAAACCTAGCCAAAATCCCTCCTATCCGTAACTCTCGGTATACGAGGGAAATAATCCCAGCTCCTCCTATCTTGGTAGGGTGGTAATTGGTCGGTAACCGGTTAACCGGTTATCGACTAACCAGTTATCGATATACTGGTTTCCCCTAATATGTTGCCGACTACCGATACCGGAAGAAAATCGGTTAACCGGATAATCGAATAACCGGTTATTGGTTAGCAACCGGTTAGCCGACTACTACCGAACAAATAAATCCCTAATATTTGTCTCTCCGATCATCACGACTCACGCAGCCCACCAAATCAAAACGCTTACCCTCTCGGAAACCATTCAATTCCAAATCACCTTCTCCGACGACCACGACTTCGCAAAGCAAATACAAAGCGGCCAACGCATGGCGGCGACTGAAGAAGACGACGGTGGCTTGATGGTCGTCGATGCGATGGCTCGACACTATCTGGATTCTGGTGAGAAAGTAGCTTCGGCGGCGTTGGGAGGAACTGGTTGACGACGAGTGAGATAGCGGCGGCGATGGTAGGTCCGACTTCTGCTATGTGCCCAAATCTCCTTCCCGGCGACGGCGATTTTATCTTTGCCTAGATAGCGGCAGCGATGGTAAGAGACGAACCTCTGCCATTCCCTTTCCCGGCGAGTTCATCTTTGCTTAGATCCATTCGCCCCGCATCATCGTAGGTCCGACTTCTTTTATGTGCTTGATTGGGGTTTGATGGTTGATTTACCGTTTACTCATCAGGTGCGAATTGATTGGGGATTTGGGGTTGCTCTCTGGATTTTGCAGATTTGGAGAGGCAGAGTAATGGCTTTTGGAAAGATTTTATTTCATCAGCCAGACGCAATTGGGTTTCTCAGCCTTTGCTCTCCGAAGATGACGGTGGACTTGCGGGAGAGAGGCGACGTCCAGAAACCTTTCTTCTCTACATCGATGAAGGCGATAAGGTCGGAGAGAAGAGAATGGCTCGCATGCAGGGGAAGGGAATCGGTATATTCGGTATATACCGATTTGCCGCCGGTTATTTACCGGATGGGACCGATAGGTGGATTTTGACTGCAGCATACCGATACCGTCGGTTAACGGTATAACCGGTAACCGTTTGGTTACCGGTTATACCGTTAACCGGCAAACCGATTACCATCCCTATATCTTGGTTTAGTTGCATTTTTTTGTTAGTTAAGTACGATATTTTTCATATTTTCAATGCATTATGCATGAGATAATTTGTGATCAACTACCGAACAAACCACACATTATGTGTAAAAAAAAATTACACACGAAGATACATAATCGCAGGATCCAGTGCTAGTTTTTTACAAGAGAGATTACACGAGCAAACACGTAGAACAAGAGGAACGAACATCATTCTATCTCAAACTCCAAACCCAAATTTTTAAGAGCTGAGATTGTCAATGATGGTGGTGTGGAGGGGATCGCTCAGGTGCGTGGCCCAGTTGTTGAGCGGGCCCTTCCCTGTCACCGCCGCCTGAACTGCGAACCCAAGGAACGCCACCATGGCCAGGCGAGCGTGCTTGATCTCCGCCAACTGGAGGGTCGCCTTCTTCTCCGGGTCGCTCGCCAGGCCCAATGGGTCGAATGGGCCTCCTGGGTACAGCCTCTTCTCCGACTCCAGCTCCGCGTTCCTCTGGAACTCGATGTACCCGATCACCAACACCTCGATCCATATCAATGTCGTCAACGAGAACGGCAGCGGCTGCCCCAAATACGACGACCCTTCCACCAATTCCACCTGAACCCAAAAAAAAAAAAAAACCCACCCAATCAACAAATTGAAGAAAAAAAAGTCAATTGACTGAAACTGAAGCATTTCCGAGTAATTAATTGATTAATTAAGAGTGTTTCAAATTGATTAAATGTTGTGGTTACCTTCCCGGCGTCTTGCCAGGTGACGCCGGTGAGCCACTCGACGGTGAGGGCGCCGAGGGTGGCCAGCATGGCCCACCTCCCGTGGATGAGCTCGCACTCACGGAACCGCTGCAGGCCAAACACCTCGCTGTACGGCTGGAACGGCGTCGACTTGACGTCGTCGGTCTCCGTCCGGGTCCCGATGACGTCACCGGCCAGGTTCTTGGCCAGGTTCTGGTCCAGCGAGTCCAGATCGAACTGCAGGTACTCGGCCGGCTTCCCCAGACCGAACGGGTCGAACCCGTAATCGCCGACCAGGCTCCCGTCCAGCCATTCGGGGGCCTGGGCGCCTGGGTACCAAAGCGGGCGGCCCGTGCTGGGCTTGGCCGCCTTCTTCGGCGCGGCCTTCTTGGTCCCGAAACCGAAACGAGCCTGGACCCGGCCGGAGTTGGAGCAGATGTCCGGCAGCCGCGTCCCCATCAAGGAGGACGTGGCTGCTGCGGCAGCTGAGGTGGCAGCCATGGCTGGACTGTGGATTTTTTTGATCTGAAACTCTACTTTGAGATTGGGAGATGGAATTGGGCGGATTCAAAAATTGACTTTGATCGGGGTGGAGTTATAACTGCTAATGGGAACCTCTCCTTATTGTGTGGTTTATCCACGACAATGGATTACTGCCGTTGGATTTAGGATGGGTATCCATCTGACGGACGGGAAGATATCCACCTTATCCCTGCCTTATCTGGATGTGGGGCCCTGGGCCGTGGGCCCGGTCACTACTAGCTAACGCTGTTTGCTTCTCATACGATCTCGTTATTGGCTGATGCTGCCACCAGAAAATCTGCTTTGATTCTTTACAGGATTGGGGGAGAGGATGCAGATTTGGATCCAAGAGCTGGGCTACTAAGAGTTGGGCCATCTCCCCGCAGCTAAAAGCCTAAGTAGAATGTAAGAACAGAGAGGCCCATTCGGCATTGAAGAAGCAAGCCCGTGGCCCAAACTGCTAAGAATAATCCTACTAACGGGTCGTAAATTTAAAAAAAAAAAATGAAGGTTTTAGTTTTGGGTTTTGTAAAATCATGAATACAATTGTCAGTTTCTAGTATTTTTGTGAAAGTTAATTTTGTAGAATTTTTCTGTGTCCTTAAATCTTCCATTCTCAATTTCTCAACATAAGTTCAAAATTTACTCCAAATGTAACACCTATCGAAAGGATTCAATGTTTTCCTTCAAGGAATAACTCAAAATTTCAAGCCAAATACAAACTTTGATTGCAGAATCATGACAATTCGGAGTGGAAAAAAGTGAATCAGCTCAAACTGTCTCCAAGTCTCGTTTTTTGTCCGTTTTGACAGGGTTACATTACAAAAGAAGATAAGTTAAAGTTCCTACCAGATGTGATTACCCCAAACCAAGCGTATATAACATGTATATTATCCGTTACAAAAGAATGATAATACATACAAAATCAGCAGAACATGAACAAAAAGGCAGCAGCAAAATGACGGGGGGAAAAACAGATAAACATGGATACCGGCATCATATCCTCTACTACAGCTACCCCCCGCAACCTAATTCCGACCATTTCTGCATATCTCTCTTCAGCACTCAGATTCTCTAGTAGGCAGACCAGAATATGAATATGGAAAACGCCAAGCCGGAAAACAAAGGGACAGATTCCACTGACCAGTCGAACGTAGCACTCAGCATTGATTATCAGAACATGCTTCAGCTCGAGAGCTGGAACCTGCCACTAGGTTTTCTCCTTTTCCATCCCTATGAATGTACAGGAAATGAATATGGTCGCATTATCACATACAAGTCTAAGGTACTAATAATGAAAGAAGAGAATGACGGAGATGAGAACAAAGTAGAACGTGAAACTTACAAAGGCAGTGTAATATACGAAAGTCAAGCCCGCAAGAACAATGAATGCGATTTGGAACACATTGTACCTGCAAGATGAACAACTCAATCAGTCAGTGCTAGTTTTGTCAGACAGATCTCCAAACATTCGGAACTCGCATATTACAACTCACTTGTATAGATATTTTATGCCACGCAGAGATTGCAAAGTGTGGCCAAAAATTTCTTGAGCCGCAGTTGCTTGCGCATAATACCCAAAAGCTGTGGCACAAAACTGGATGACACTGAAATAGCAGGCAGAATAAAAGGCAGTCATATTCAAAGCCAGAGGGATAATACTATCTACCCCTTAGTAGAGTCGTTTGCATCAGGCATATCTTAGCTAAACAAGGGACCTGAGATCAGAAAATAAAGCTTTTAGGTCAAGGATACAATCTAGTAGATAAAGACACCAACCTAATCGAGCACAGGAGAATGAGTCCCACGTTGAAAAGGAATGAGTTCATGAGAGTTCCACCCCACCTGTTAAGTCCCAATCTCACTTATCAGTGATACTAAAAAATGTTGAAACATCACAACTGAACATAAGAGTTCAAGTTCATTACTTCATGGGATGGATTGTGATGAAAACCAATCTGAGGCCCAGCATCATTGCACCAGCCACCACAGCAAGAAGAAGATAAAAGCAAAAGAAAGCAAATGCTGCAGTGCCAAGAAGACCTAGCAGCATAGCACGGAGTACATTCATAAATGTTTTAGATTTTGGCCCAACAAAAATGGTTAAACAGATAGTTGATAGAGAGATACAATACAACAACGAGAACCTCACCCCACACATCGTCCAGCTTAATGAAAACCTCGTTGAGGAAAGGAGAAAGAGGAGGGTCAATCAGTAGATATATAATAATATGCACAATCCAAGCCACTGAGACAATCAACCTAAAAAAAGGAACAAAGGGTGACCACAAAATGATTCAGAATGGATAGTGACTTATACGGAGAGATAACAATTATTTAATGGATGCAGACAAAAGTTGCTGACTAGGCAATATATATGTTTTGAGGTCTTACCCCAAGACTCCCAATACAAGTTTTGCCAAATAACCAAGTATAGTCAGAGCCCAAGTAGTCTCGGCCTGAAAATGCCAGAAATGTAGTTTCAAAACCAAGAGAAGGAAAACAAATGTGTCTATTTAATATTTATCCAATCGCAAGCTACATTCACACCTTTTCTCCTTGAGGGTACATCTCTTCAAGCAAGTTTACATCTTCTTCCAACTGATGCAACTCCTGAAAGTTTAATCATGCCAAAGAAAAAGCCTCAATAACTTAAAGGGGCAAAACCAACCTACAGCATGATCAGCATACTATGTTTAGGTCAAATGCATCACCTTTTCAACTGCTTTAACATTTTTACGCCATTTTCTCCCCTTAGCACCACCTCTCTCTTCCTGATGAAGTGAATCAGCTGCCTTCTTAAGTTCTCTTGCTTTTTTACCAAGCTCTGTTGCTTCCTGCAGATTGTAAACAGACATGAACTTAGGAAACTCTTCAATTGCGTATTTTGGACTAGTGTATCCCGGAATCACCTTAATATACTGTGAACGAGTGATAACAGCCTTTGGTCGCCGGATGAATGAAAAAATGAGTCCCAGAGGCAAACACGCAATGCCAACTCCACCAAATATCTTAACATTTGCAAGACAGCAACAAAATGATCAAGTCATTGGAAAGGACAAATATGACTGCCTTCAATTCTGAATATAGTGTCACTGGAGAGCACATATAAACATTCCAGTTCCCATCATCCATATGAAACAAAATGCTAAAATAAATCTTCATGGAGAGCAGAAACAGACATCAATACATCTTCATGGAGTAGAATGATCTCACCGAAAAAAGCACAGATCCAGCTATTGTAGCAAGTGCAACAACATATTCCGGAAATGTAGTTTGCATAGTCCATGTCTTCTCTGAAGCGGCATTGGCAAGGTACGCAGAGCACTGTAACCAATGGGGAAAGCTTTAGAAGGTGAGAGAGAGAGAGAGAGCAGGAGGATGGTGGACTGAAAAACAGCATAAGTTCGAGGTGTCCTCAAGGGCAGAATGAGTTTATATGAATAAAGGAATAAATATAAATTCTTGAACAATCAGCAAAACAGAAGGCCAGGCAACATCAAGATAACCTGGCGAGCATTATTTCCGATACATGGTTGACTCGTTGAGAAACTCCAAGACGTAGGAAAGTTCGTTGTGGTTGAGGAAAGATGCCTAACAGTGAAATCCACCTTTCCAACTAGCCCTGATATAAAACCAACAGAACGTAAAGTCAATACGGGTTCCAATTTCAGTAAGACATTTCTAAGTAGGTCATCAAACATTCATGGAAGGGTTTCAAGAGGAAAATCCTCCATGATTAGCATGTCCTTCAAATGAACTTCTAACAGCATAATCACAGTCTCTAGAAGCAACCAATACGTTCACGCCTTATAACTTCCTAACTCAGATACTGATCACCCCACACTCAAAAACAACAAAAGCACTAACCATATAAGATGCCGAGCAGAAGCGCGCACACAATAGCTGTCGTTACCACCCACATCAGTGCGCTCTTAATCCGCTTGCCCACAGTCCTACAACCAAAAAAATGAGCCAGGAACCCAATTCACGAATGACCAGTAGATCATTATGGATAGCTAAAACGATGCTTTTCCGGCTTTCCAGAGAAAAGGAAAGGGACAAAGGTCACCAACTTGTCCTGGTCCCCTTCGTAGTAGAACATAGCGAAAGGGATGATGAAGAAGACTAGCAAAGCGTCGATAATATAGACAGCGATCCAGAGATCCTTCATTGGCAAAGTGAGATTACAGGCGCCATTGTATATCGCGTGGCGACAAGCCTGCCGGTTGGCGACGTCGGCCGGCAGCATCAGTATAGAGATGACGGCAACGGAGAGGCCGAGAACGACCACGAATTTGGGGAAGTAAGCTTGGTTCTTGTCATCCGGGTGCTGGTAATTGACCAGAAGGTAGACATTGAAGATGAAGACGATGACGCACACCACTATAGCGACGATTATCAGGGCGAGATTGAAATCGCCCATCCTTGCCTAAATCAGCTCTCTCCGTATTCTCAAATGGCACCGCGACCGATCAAGAGATTGCGACAGAGGAACCCGCGAATTCGATGAAATGATTCGAAATGGGAGGGGTGGAATTAGGGTTCTTTAAGAATTTTTTTTTGTGTTAGATCTGGTTAATTTTGGGGGAAAAAAGGCGAAAGGGAAGAACGCGGAGGGAAGTGTCAGGTTCGGCTCCGGTGAAGAGGCGATGTGTCTTCTTCTGGGGTCGTGTGAGAATTTGACGATTGATGTGATGAATGACGATTCTACCCTCCATCGGGTGGAGGAATTGAGACGGGGTCACGTGGGAAATGGCTTAGATGGTTTGTGGCTTAACTGACCAAGCATCGAACGCTTTAATAATTAAAAAAAAAAAAGACCAAGCATCGAACGCAAACAGCCTATCGAGTCACTGGAACATTTATTCCTATCATGTCGTGTGGCACCAGCCCTCCGTCATCGGTGTAGCTTACAGCTGCCTCCGGGAATTTTTCCAAACACGCATTTGTCCATCTTTTTAAGGCACATTATTCTCGATTTCGATCATTCTACCATAATCAATTGGGTTCTCTTTTTTTGGCGACTTTGGAAAGGGCGGAACAATGTTGTCTTCGCACCGTATGCGCAATTTACCACTGCTTCCTTGTACCGTCAACTCCTTTCACATCATGCCTCTCATCAAATTGCCGTCCTTCCCTGTCAGTCGCCTCCGCTACCAACCAGACCCCGGTCCAGTTCTCGTCCGTTGCTTCATTCTAGCTTCCGAATTGCCGTTGATGGGGCTACCAGGGCTCCGACTCATGGCGCCATCGGTATGGTTGGCTTTGATCGTCTTGTGCCAGTTTTTGCAAGGGGTGGGTTCTTCCCTGGTCTTTTTCATCCGAAGATTATGGAGGTATTGGCAATACGGGAAGCGCTTTTATTACTTCGACAATGGCAGTGGCAGGATCGACCGGTCGTGATCACAAGTGATGCTCTTGCTGTTGTTCACCATTTGGCGGATTGTGATGCCAACGATGTTCTTGCGGGAGCTATCTTACGAGAAATCATCTTAATGTTACAAGAAATGCCGCTGGTTTCTGTTGTTTTTACTCCTAGAGAAGCGAATAGGGCTGCCCATGTTGTGGCACGCAATGCCTTATGCTACTCTGGCACTAGTAGTGTTTGTTTTAACTGTTCTTTCCTCCTTTGACTGTTTTCTCACGAAGAAGCCGTTGATTTGTGGCTATCTCGTGCTTATCTAGTTAATCCGCAAGGGTTTCTATGACAACAACAAAAAAAAAGAGTCGAGACACAAATCCTTTTTTTTTTAACGGTTGCTGGTTGTTTCATTAAAACGAAACACGGTGTACAGAGTTACAATAACGCTGAAAGGAAGGAACACCAACTGAACTAAAGAGACCAAAGAGTGGGCAGACAAAGGCCCGAAGCAAAAAGCCCAACCCCGATCCAAACACTTTGGACAACCCACCCTAGGTAACCCTAGCCCATCGGCCCAATCTACAAGAAGTTGGCCGCCAACTGCATTCTCCATCTCCGATCCAGCGCCGCCTTCAACCACTCTGCCCACACAGGTCCTTCGCCGGGGAGACAACGGAAGAAGCAGAGACACATCTCTAACCACCAGTGGCTCCAATTGAAGGACGATGCGCCCGCAAGAAGCAGAAAGCAACAAAATCACCGGGGAGAACCGTACCCAGAACCGGCTCCGATCTCCACTCGAAAAAACAAGCAAACTCGAGAAGAAATCCCGACCACAGACAGATAAGAGGCGACCGATTCACCTCCGATCAGAGCAAATCGACCGAGCACCAACTCCGAAGAAGATTTCCCTGCCCACAAGCTTCCTGAAATGACATCCAAGACAACAAATGGTCCATGCATCTCCTATTCATCCCCATTTATGGATGAATAATGTGGAGGTAGATGGAAGACCAGGAAGGAGCAGACGAACCGACAAATCGGCCCCCTTAACCACCTACCAAGGGAGCATCCACACAGATCTGGAAACCAGTCAGGTGGGGAACAAAATCGTCTCACATGGAGACTGGAAAAACATCACCGCAAGGGTGGAAGAGGCGACGAAAGAGAGAAAAAAACCACAAAGCAAGGAAGGAAAATGACCAAGAGGAAGCAGGGGAAAAGATCAACAGAAAGAAAGAAGAGGGAAGGGCCGCCCCCGGTCGCCGGAAACGGCGCCGGTGACAGCCCGGGAGATCCTTGAAAGAAGAAGCTCTAGAGTCTAGAGAGAAGGCAGAGTAAATTGAAAAAGGAGAGTCCCAAAAATTATTTCCTAACTTATGGCTAAGTAGTAAGTACCAATAGGGATGGGCAATAAATTAACTCTAAACTAGTTAGCTCTCCAACTAAACATAATAACTTAATTAACTCTACAAATAATAATAATTTAATGAAATATAATTTAAATAGATATAAATTCTTAATGCTAAGCAAAATTAACTCTATAAAATAAAACTAAATGCAATAAATTAACTCTAATAATCATTTAAATAAAAAATAAAAAATAAATATTTAACACTATGCCAATTACCACTAAGCACAAAAAATTAAATAACCTAACTACTACAAAATAATTACACCATGCATAAAAAAATAATTTAAATAATTTAAAACACAGAGTAGAGTAGCCCATCTGCTGGTTGGAGTCGGACCGAGAGTCGTCCGCTCGTCTGCGTCGAATGGGGTCCGCTCGACGGCGTCGGTCCTCGTCCCATCGCTGATGTCGGACCCCGTCCGTTCGTCGGCGTCAGACGACTCTAAGCGATCTAACGTCGGAGAACGGACGGAGTTGACGACTATATAAAAACCGATGGTCCTTCCATGTTACCTCATTCGCTGGTTCCTCAAATGGTGGTTTGAAGCGTTGGTGGTCTGCCGGCGGTTTAGTCTGGCTGTGGTGTAGGGGTGGGCATACGGTTCGGTAAAACCGAACCGAACCTAACCAAACCGAATATAACCCGAATCGAAACCGAATTAATGTTATTCGGTTCGAAATTCGGAAGAGAAAAGGGCATATTTCGGAAATCAGGGTCCTTTCGACCGAACCGAATTTCCGAATTCCGAACCGAAAAAATGAATCATTATAATTGCAAGCTTTAAATGGTGGACTTTTATGTTTCTACTTATTATGAGACTTAAATATATGAATCATGTTAGTGTTTTATGACTTATGTGTTGAAATGTTTGATTTTATCATTAATGATGCATATTTATTGTTTACATTATGGGTGAAAAAAATTTAAAAAAGAGAAGATACAAGCTAACCTCACTATTTCGGTTTTGTATGAAACCGAACCGAATTATAATTTGGTCTGAACCGACTAAACCGAATTATAATTCAGTTCGAATTCGATTTGAGGTTTGATAGAATTCGGGGACCCGGTATGCATAATTTCGGTTCGGTTTGAACCAACCCGACCGAATGCCCAACCGTACTGTGGTGGTTCGCCGACGGTAGCTCCAGCGATGTTGGTGTGGTGGTGTGAGAGTGATGTAAAGAGTGCCGATTGGTGTGAAATAACCTTTGTTGGAATAGAATATAAAGAAATTGATGAGAACAAAAATATCATTTTAACATAAAAAAGGGGTGATAAATAGTAAAGGAGTGGGTGGCAAATAAGAAACCTTAATCTAAATTCTAAGCTACTAAGAAACAAGGTTGTTAACCCACGGATCCGCCTGCAAAAATGGGCGCCAGCTGCCCGTTGAGAATTTCGCCCGGAACCCGTCGGCCTTCCTCGCCGCACGACTCCCGGACACCAAACCTCTTCGACAATCCGACGATTTTTCCTCCCTTTTCCACCCAGCTCCCAGCCTCCTGCTATTAGCCTCCGATGTCGTTTGGTAGTATGCAGATCGACCTTCTAATTCTCTCTAACAGCAGACTTTACCGTGAAGTCGATGTACGAAGCATTAGCAAAGGAGAAGTTCACACCGGAGGAGGCGTTCCCGTACAAGATAATTTGGCAGCATCCAGGGGCGGAGCTAGGATTTTAAGTTCGGGGGGCCGAAAATTTTACTATCGTAAAAAAAAATATATAAATGTCACCCCACAAAATGTTATTAAAGATAATTATAAGCACTAAAAGTATGATTTAAATTAAAAAAATTTATCAACGACATGTTCAAAATTATTAAATAAATTTCAACAAAAAATAATGCACCATGTTCTTCAATTTATGATAAGTAACAAATGAATGTCTATAGAAAATGGGAAAATAATTGAATTATTTGCTATATATTTAAAATTATGTTTGAAGATGTAAATGTATAAGTTCAATTAAATTTACCTTGTTTGAACTTAAATTACGTATGAAATCAAAGTATGAAAAATCAACTTAAAAGACAAGTAGTAGTAAAAAAGTAATGAGAGAGAGAGAGAGAAAAACGAGAGAGAGAAAAAGCTCTCCCCTCTCTCCTTGCTTTTTCGCCTTTCTGCGCCATTAATGACCGTTGGGGGAGCTCCTCCCCAAACGGAGGCAGACCACTGTCTGAAACCGCCGGACGGGTCTCCGCCGGCGACGCCAGGCCAACCGAGTAAAAAGGCAAAAGCCTGTACGAGCGATGCCTTCTCGGGGGAAGGAGAGATGGAGTTCACCATTGTCACTGCGAGAGCTGAAGCTACGGAGGAACACAGAGAAACGGATGTGCAGATGAGATCAAGTAACCTGGAAGAGAGCAGGAATGACCCAAAGCCAACTGAGGGGAGCAAAGAACAGGGAAGAGCCAAAGCTTCCTACAGGGACTCTTTCCTGGGAAACGGCCCACCGGACGAAATTCCCCAGGGAGACGATCTAATGTCCGACGAATCGGATGGGGAAAACGTTGACGACGACCCGGAATGCCCAACAATCCGGATCAAGAAAAGCACGGATGCCAGAGTTCGAAGTCGGTGGAAGAGAGCTATCACCTTCCGTGTGCTGGGTAAGACTTTCCCCTTCGCTTTCATCCATAGAAGAGTGCAGAAAATGTGGGCGAGAACTGGGGGTATTAAAATTGGGGATATCGGGAATGGTTATCTGCAAGCAACTTTCGATTCCCAACTGGACCACGATCGTGCACTGTATGGGGGTCCCTGGACTATTGAGGATCACTACATAGCATCGGAGCCTTGGCGCCTTGACTTCGTTCCGGATTTTGACTCAATCAGCCATGCTTCAGTCTGGGTCAGGCTTCCACGCCTTCCTCTTGCCTATTTCGATGAAGAGATCTTGCACGACATTGGTGAGAAGCTGGGAAACGTGGAGAAAATTGATTACAACACGGCGAATGGATCAAGGGGTAATTATGCTAGACTTTGCGTGCAAATAGATC